TTGATTCCTCAGTACCACATAAATAGAAAAAGCCAGAAGTGGCACTGTGGCTCAAGTGGTAAAGTGGCAAAAAAAAAAAAAAAAGCTCAGGGACAGTGCCCAAGCCCTGAGTTCAAGCCCCAGGACTGGCCAAAAAAAGAATGTCTATCTGGGGGCTGGGAAGGTGGCTCAGTGGTAGAGCGCTTGTCTTGCATGCATGAGGCCCTGGGTTCGATTCCTCAGTACCACATAAAAGAAAAAAGCCGGAAGTGGCGCTGTGGCTCAAGTGGTGGAGCACTAGCCTTGAGCTGAAGAGCTGAGGGAGAGTGCCCAGGCCCAGAGTTCAGGCCCTACGACCGGACGCAAAAAAAAAGAATGTCTATGAGACTTATCTCCAGTTAACTACCAAAAGAAGCTGGAAGTGGAGTTGTGGCTCAAGAGGTAGAGCACTAGCCTTGAGGAAAAAAAAGCGTCAGAGACAGCTCCTAAGATTGGCACCAAAAAATAAAGCAGCTGGGTATTTTGATGTTAACAGGCCCAGTGGCTCGGCCTGTTATCCTAGCAACTCAGGAGGCTGAGATCTGAGGATGGCAGTTTGAAGCCAGCCCAGGCAGGAAAGTCTGTAAGACTTGAATTTCCAATTAATCACAAAATGCTGGAAATGTTCAAGTGATTGAGTATAAAAGTTCAGAGACAGAGCCCAGGCTGAGTTCAAGCCCCAGGACGAGCACCAATAAATAATTTATCAGGACATTTGGAATTAAAGCTCATAGCCTTACATACATAGTGTTGAGAGATACTGATATGTAAGTCATACCTTAACTCTGTTACACATTCAAATTCTAGAGCCTTAAAACATACTTTAAGGCCCTCCTTGGTGGTTGCCTATTCTTTTGTGTATATGTGTATATGTGTACACAAGCACACCTGCTAGGACATCATGCTCTCCCTTAGCCTTCCTTTCAGGCTCATGGGTGGCATTCCATATTCTTCCCATGCTTCCAATCCAGCCTTCCCATCCCCCCTCCCCGGCTAATTGGAGATAGGAGTCTTGGATTTATCTGCTTAGGCTGGCTTCAAACCACAATCCTGAGATTTAGGTAGGATTACAGGCATGAACCACCAGGGCCTACCTGGACATGTGTGTGCTGGTCCTGGGGACCACTGTCTCAGCTTTTGTGCTCAAGGCTAGTGCTGTAATGCTTAGCTACAGCTCCACTTTCAGCTTTTTGTTTTTGTTTGTTTATTTTTTTGGTTGGTCATGGGGCCTGAACTCTGGGCTGGGCCCTGTCCCTCAGCTCTTCAGCTCAAGCCTAGCCCTCCACCTCTTGAGCCATAGCACCACTTCCAGATTTTTCTGCTTAAATGGTACTGAGGAATCGAACCCAGGACATGCAAGGCAAGCACTCTACCGCTGAGCCACTTTCCCAGTGCATACTTTCAGCTTTTTTGGGGTGGTTAATTAAACGTAAGACTCTCAGACTCCCCCCACCCCACACCCTATCCCCATTTCTGGGGCTTGAACTCAAGGTCTGGGCACTGTCTCAGCTTCTTTCACTCAAGGCTAGCACTCTACCACTTGAGCCACAGCACCACTTCCAGCTTTTTCTGTTTTTCTGTTTATAAGGAATTGAACCCAAGGCTTCATGCATGCTAGGCAAGCATTCTACAACTAAGCCACCAGTCCCAGTCCGAGTTATCAGGCTTTTTCCTGCCTGATCTGGCTTCTGATTTCCTCTGATCTCCCTCTGAGTAGCTAGGATTACAGGCCTGAGACACTGGTGATTGGCAGGACTTTTGATTTTTTTTGTGGAGGGGGGGGTCTGGTCGTGGGGCCTGAACTCTGGGCCTGGGTGCTGTCCCTCAGCTCTTCAGCTCAAGGCTAGCACTCTACCACTTGAGCCACAGCGCCACTTCCAACTTTTTCTTTCTGCTTATGTGGTGCTGAGAATTGAACCCAGGGCTTCATGCATGCAAGGCAAGCACTCTACCACTGAGCCACCTTCCCAGGCCCAAGGACTTTTGATTTTTGAGACAGGATCTCTCCTTCCTTCTCCCTCTCCCTCCCCACCTTTTTCTCTTTCCCTCTCTCCCTTCCTACCATTCTCTTTTCCTCCCCTCTCCTCCCTCTCTTCCTGACCCAGGCTAGCATAAAAATCATGATCTTCCTGAAGCCTCCTGAATACTGGGATCATAGGAGTTTGCCATTCACTAGGACATTTAAACTCAGTGATAAAATAAGGGCTGTAGTCATGGTTTGTGCCAGGCCCAAGTTCAAACCCATAACCACCAACAACCACAGGGGAAAAGAAAGAAAAACCTAGGCTGCCTCTTAGCCATGCTGGGGTTTGGACCCAAGGGCTTTACAAATAAATGCTAGGCAAGAGCTCTACTACTGGGTAACACCCCCAGTCTTACTCTGAATAGTAGACCAATATCCACCCCTAATTTTATGAGTAGAAAATCTGAACTTTTAAAGTGTAATGTCAGGGTTGGGAATGTGGTTTAATGATAGACTACTTGCCTAGCATGCATGAAGCCCTGGGTTCCATTCCTCAGTACCACATAAACAAAAAAGCCAGAGGTGGCACTGTGGCTCAAGTGGTAGAGCGCTAGCCTTGAGCAAAAGAAGCTCAGGGACAGTGTCCAGGCCCTGAATTCAAGCCTCAGGACTGGCAAAAAAATAAAAAATAAAAGTAATGTCAGCTACATTTATCAAGAATTTTCTGGCTTTTTACCAAGTGTGAGCTGATGTGGAAATTTTCACTCACTGTTCTGTAATATGTGCCAGCACAGATGCAAATCACAATGATAGGAAAGAGTTTTTTTTTTTTTTTTTTTTTTTTGGCTGTCATGGGGATTAAGCTCTGGGCCTGAATGCTGTCCCTTAGCTCTTCAGCTCAAGGCTAGCACTTACCACTTGAGCCACTGCACCACTTCTAGGAAAGTGTTCTTTTTCTTTTTTTTTTTTTTGGTCCGGTCATGTCGCCTGAACTCTGGACCTGGGCGCTGTCCCTCAACTCTTCAGCTCAAGGCTAGCGCTCTACCACTTGAGCCACAGTGCCACTTCCGGCTTTTTTCTTTTTTGCTTATGTGGTGCTGAGGAATCAAACCCAGGGCCTCATGCATGCAAGGCAAGTGCTCTACCACTGAGCCACCTTCCCAGCCCCAGGAAAGCGTTCTTATTCTCTGTATACAATCATTAGGTGTTTGAGTGCTTGCTGTGTGTGAAGCATTGTCAGTATGCTTGGATCTTAACAGATGATTCCCCCTGGAGTTTCCACAAATCTGGAACTAAGCATATTCCTGAACAGAAGGGGCATTGGTCCCCTCCAAGTGCTTGCTTATCCTATTTATTCATGTTTAGAATGAAGAAATTAGTAAGATGACCTCTAGGACTTGTTAGGGCTTAGAGAGTCACCAACTTGTTAGGGCTTCAGAGAGTATTCCTGAATGTATTCCAAGTTAGTTTGGTACCCCTGTAGCTCACAAAGACATGCTTAGGCTAATTAAGTTCAGTTGTTAGCAATATACTTTATGTGTATGTGTGTGTGCCAGTCCTGGGGCTTGAACTCAGGGCCTGGGCACTGACCTGAGCTTTCTGCTCAAGGCTAGCACTCTACCACTTGAGCCACAGCGCCACTTCTGGCTTTTTCTGTGTATTTGGTACTGAGGAATGGAACCCAGGGCTTCATGCATGCTAGGCAAGCACTCTATCACTAAGCTACGTTTCCAGCCCAGCAATATACCTTTATTCCTTTGATTTCTCATCTTGTCTTCTCCCTCTACTGTCCCTCTTTAGGAAGGTGTGGGAGATCTTGAGGTGACAGGGCTGTATCTTAAATATACTCAGTCAGCCAGGTACTCCCAAGCACATCCAGTCATGAGGCTAGGCTTTTCTAGGGAGGGATGTTCCTGAGGTCACATCTTGATCCCTTTAGAGCAGCCACCTGGGGTTACCTTCTCTGCTTTGGCCCACTGACACTTAGTTCACCCTGGGTAGGAAAAGGATTCCAGGAGGCAATTGGGCTCCTAAATCCAGCAGGTGCTTGTGAGGTGTTACATGTTGGATCTGGTCTCTGTGTAGGAAGGCTGCTGGGCCCCCGGACACACTAGCAATAGACACTTCTTGGGTAGATGGTCCTGAGAGGACAATGAAGGCAAGGATCCATCCCCAGGAAATCCGAACCATTGTTTTTAAGGACTTATTAAGCCAGTGGGGAGGCCAGGAAGCAGCCACCGACACGCACACACATCGCCACACGTGTGCCCGAAGGGAGCCCCTCCTGGGTGAGGTAGAGAAGTCTTGATTCCCTCGGGATCCCGGCGGCCCAGCGCCCGCCCCGCCGTGCGTGCAGGGACCCCTGGCCCAGGGGCCCTTCGCCGGAGCCGCCCGTGCGCCCGGGGCGCCACGACGGGAGGACGCGGACCCCCACTGGGGCGTGGGAGGGAGCAGCCATTTCGAGACCTGATGAGTACGGAGAGGACCATATTGGGAATGTTGGGCGCCTGGGGGCCGCCATTTTAAGAGTCGCCCTGTACGGCGGGGCTCGGAGGCGCGGGGGCCGCCATCTTGGACGGGCGGCAGCGGGCGCGGCCATCTTAGGCACCTGCCGCCCCTTTCCAGCCGCGCCCCGCCCCTGCGGGTTCCCGGATCCGCAGTCGGCCCTCCCCCGCCCCTCCGTCGCCGGTAACTGCCCTTCCCTGGCTCGGCCCCGCGGACCCCGGCCCCCCTCCCCCCGCCCCTACCTGGTCGCGTCTGTTCAGCTTTCCCGCCGCCCGGCCGTTGGCGCGGTGAGTGCGAGGCCGCCCCGCTCCGCCCAGGCCGCCGTCTCCGCGGCCCCCGCTGGGGGCGCCCGCGTGCCCGGCCCCGGGGAGCGCCGGTCATCCAGTGGTTCCCCGGGCATGGCAAACCTAGTGACCGACGACCCTGCCCCCAAGAACGCTGACCCCGGAGCTGCCCGCCGGCTCGGGTGACTTTATTCCTCAAACGGGTTTCCCCTCCCCATGGCCCCCGCTGAGCCCGGGAGCCAGCCCCCCGCACATCCCTCTCCCCATTGTCTCCGGCGGGTCACCGAGGGAGGGGGCCAGCCGCGAGCCGCAGGCTGGCAGCCCCGCGGGGGACCCCTCTGGGTGGGGCGGAGGGTGCCCGAATCACGGGGTGCTGGGGGAGGGTCAGCCTCAGGGGTGAGGAGATGGGATAGACGTGGGTGCGGAAGGTTCTGTGCTTCAGGTGATGTCACAGGGCGAGGAAAGGGCTGCGGGGAGCCCCCCGGGTCCCCACAGTGACCGACCTAAGGGCTCTGGAGAGGGAGAGGGAAGGACTGAGAGGAGGGAGGGGGCAGCTCAGAGGAGGGCACAGAAGAACTTCTTCTCCCGGAAGGGGTTCTCCGAAGTGGGCACCGGAGTGATGAGGGGGTCCTCACAGGCGTGGGCATCACAGTAAGTCATCAGGTCGGCTGCTGCCTTGGACACCTGGGGCACAGCCAGGGAGGGGAGAGTTAGCAAGAAGCCCTGGAAGATGCAACCTCTCTTCCCCAAAAGGGCTCCTGGCAACAGCCTTCGCTTTCACCCCTACAAAGGCCTTGGGCTGGGCGGGCTCTCCCATCAGAGCCTCAGACCCCAGAGAGTCAAGGAAAGGAGCATCTCTTATCTGCTGGGGAAGCTGCCCATGGGGCCTATGAATTAAGGGGAGCCCGGGCCCCACCCACCTTTATCCGGCACAGGCTGGCCTCGATTTTAAGCTGCTCCACCATCTTGCGAGCTTGCCCAATACTCATAGTGCTGTTCACTGGAGTCTCCCCTTTCATCCTGGAAGAGAAGACAGACACAGCTCAGCGCTGTCTCAGCTTCACGCTCACTCTTCACCAACCTTTACAAGGTTGGGTGGTGCCCCAACATTTTCTTCCCCTCCTTTCCCACCCCTCTTAGAGGCCTGTCCCAAGAAAATCCTCCCCAAATTCCCACACCGTCTAGACCCGAGGTGATCAAACTATACAAATGATTTTAAAGCTTTTCAGCTCTTCAAGCCACCTGCTGTGAACGCTTCAGCCAGAAAAGGCCCTACCCTGATGAGGCCATCACCTCAGCCCCACTTGTCCCCTAAATTGCCAGTGGGAGAGAAACAATGACTCCCTTACTCACCTGAAGCCACAGGCGGCAGCAGTAGCAGCCTCCTTGGGATGTCGGGTGAGTGCGGGGCACCAAACCCTGCCTCAGATGGGTGCCCCACCCCTGCAGGCAGTTGCAGCCGAAGATGTCTGTAGCACAAACAGCTATTCCAGAGAAGGCCTCTGGTCAGACCAGAGGTCCGTGGGAGGGGGTGGAGGGGGTAGTCACAGTTTCTGCAATTCAAGCACTCACTGCCCAGATGGCTGGTACCTGAAGGATGAAGGATGCTGGAAGGAGCTGCTCAGATCCTGGAACATACCAACTGCTTGGCCAGTGGGGGAGCCTGGCTGCTGCCTGCATCCCCTGCGCACACCCCCACCCTTACAGTCTCTCTCCCTGCCCCTCCCCCATTGCAGAAGTCCCCAGTCTGGGCTAGAGCCCTCCCCAAAGGAACTCAGGCGGAAACAGACTCCCCCCCTTAAATGAAGGTGGTCTAGGCCTGTGACAGTCTCTGCAGTAGAGTACACTTGGTTGCGGGGGACCCTGCTCATTTGAAAATCTGACATCAGCTGGCCATTCACCCCCCTCCTCCCTTTCTCCCTCTACCCTGACACAGCATTTAGCGTCTGAGTCTTCATTTCTTGCAGTGACCCTCCATTCCCCATATCCAGGAAAATGTGATGCGTACAGGTGGTCCGCTGCTAGATCCCCACGTTCTAGCCAAAAGTGACTCGAGTGGGAGATCCAAAGGCAGCGGAGGGAATCGTCGGGAAGATGTCTAAAGAAATGACAGACCAAAGAGAAGCTGGAGGAAAAGAGGGATGCGGAGACCAGATCAAAGGATCGGACAAGGAGGAGGTAAGACTTGTAAAGGGATCAGTGGAAATATTTTGAAAATAACTGGGCTTCCCGGGATGGAGTGTGGGGGTGACAAACTGCGTGGTGATATTGACGTGAAATTGCAGCATCACGCAAAAAGATGTACACAACCCTGGCCTGGCCTTCTGCAGTGCCTTATCTGGGGGTGATTAAATTAGACGTATGTGAAATAGAAGATGCCACCGATGGAGGGCTAGACTTAAATGTCTGGTTCTGAGGAAAACGGAATCAATCCACTTAGGGTCCAAGGAGGATCCATCACGCAGCGTTAAGCTGGGGACCAAACGCTGGGCTGAAATGCATGCTTTGTAAATAGCGGACAGCAGGCCACCTGCACAACACCAAGTTGCACAGGTTCAGGAAGAATGCGTCATTCTCTGGGCGAACCCTCTCCTCCGACGCCCACGGGTCCTAGGAGCTGTGCTAGCTGCAAATTAGAGCCCCCTGCACCATTACCATCCCCCCGCTCCCCGCCCCCTGCCCTGTTTGGGCTCCTGGGGTTACAAGGAGGAAGGTGATCTAGGCTGGAGGGTGAGAGCATATATGCCCTGGGGGTATATTTGAGCCTGGTGGGAGGCGCCTTTTCCCGGTGGTCGGTGGTCACGTTAACCTAAAGGTGTTGGACTCTGTAGGAGCTGTGGGAAGCCCTTCACCAAGTGGGCCCCGCCCCCGGCACCAGGTTCCCGCCCCCGGGATAGGCCACGCCCCTGGGCCGTGGAGGCTGCGGGCTGAAAGAGGCGGGGCTTCTCCGGCAGCCGGAAATCGCTTCTCGCGGTTGCCTCGGCAGCGCGCGCGCGAGGCTGGTGAGGGCCGAGCTGCGGCGTCTGCCCGCTGGTTTCCATGGTGGCGCGGCCCGGCGCGGCGCGGGGCTGAGGGTGGGGGGTGGGGTCTCCGGCGCTGAGCGCACTGGCCAGCCGGAGGGCACCGGCGGGGAGTGGCCGTTGACTGCAGGACGCCCTGCCCCTGTGAGGCGCGCCTCGCCGGGCTTTTCTCATCCTGAGGTGAAGGGGAGAGACTTGGGAGGCATTTGTGACTGCTCTTAGGCTACGGGCTTCCGAGTCCAGCTGTGCTGCCTCAGGCAAGTCGTGCCGCGTCTCTGTGCAGCCCGCAGAGAGAATTGTAAGGAGCCCATTCTCTCTGTTGAGAGCGTGTCCCTGACCCAGATGGCTGGGGGCGAGTTAGATGAGGAGCTCTGGCACTGCTGTGAAAGGGAAGGGGTAGCTGGCAGAGAAGCGCCATCACTTGGAGAAGGGTCCTAAGGAACAGTGATTTTGCGTTGTCCTCCTGTTTCTTGTCCCTCGAAGCCACGTATGTCTTTTCTATCCCCAGCTTTCCCCTTCTCTTTTTTCCAGGAACCTCCAACTGCCTCATCCCATGGCCAGGGGTGTCGTCCATGTGGCAGAGCAACAGCTAAGAACTCAAGACCTGAACCTGGGCCCAGACCACCTCCTCTCCCCGCCATGGTCAATGACCCACCAGTGCCCGCCGTACTGTGGGCACAAGAAGTGGGCCATGTGTTGGCAGGCCGTGCCCGCAGGCTGCTGCTACAGTTTGGGGTGCTCTTCTGCACCATCCTCCTCCTGCTGTGGGTGTCTGTGTTCCTCTATGGCTCCTTCTATTATTCCTACATGCCAACAGTCAGCCACCTCAGCCCCGTGCATTTCTACTACAGGTGAGAGGGGCTCGGTGAGAGTTGCTGGGAGCCTTTTGGAGTTTCTTCAGTCATCTTATTTACAGCGGAGGAAAGATGAGTCCATTCTGCTAATAGGACTAACCTTCACCACTGGAGGATGCAGCAGATCTAGACTGTGGGGAGCTCAGGTCCTAATTCCACCACTGTCACTGAATTCTGAGTAAAAAATTAGAAAGCAAGGGGTGACATTGGCCTAGAAGCATTGTACTCATAATAATCTGATATATGGAATTGTACTACCAAATAATAATAATATAAAATATATGAAGAGGCTGAGCACTAATGGCTCCCACTTGTAATTGTAGGAGGCTGAGATTTGAGGGTCACAATTCAAAGCCAGCCTGAGCAGAAAAGTCCATAAGACTCTCATCTCCAATAAATTACCAAAAAGCCAAAAGTGGAGCTATGAATCAAGTGATAAAGCACTGGCCTTAAGCAAAAAAAAACAAAACAACAACAAAAAAAAAACCCCAGGGACAGCACTCAGGCCATGAATTCAAGCCCTAGGACCAGCACAAAAAACAAACAAAAAATTTTTTTCCTCTCCTAAATCCATAGTCATGAATTGTAGTTTCTCAGGTAGATCTTGAACTTATAAGAGATATGGATCTTATGAAACCTGTAACCTATCCTCTCATGAAAGTACCTGCATGCCCAGACATGCTGCATACCCACCCACCTCATGCAATTTCAAGCTAGGCCCCAAGTCAGAACTCTTGGATCCGAATCTGGAGCTGGGATCCTCCATGAGTGTTTAGAAACACTAGGTCCATAGGTTCCTATCTAAGAATGTCCGCTATACGGAAGTGCCAGGAAGAGAAAGTATTATTCTAGCATCTCAAACCTCCTGGCCACCCCTGTTCTCTTTAACAGACAGGAGTGAAGTAGGATGGGAGGGCCAAGAAAATGTGTGGAGAGACAGGCAAGGTAAACTCTTAACTTAGCAGAGGATCATTGCCCTCTTCTCATTTAGGACCGACTGTGATTCCACCACCACCTCGCTCTGCTCCTTCCCTGTTGCCAATGTCTCATTGGCTAAGAGTGGACGTGATCGGGTGAGTATGCAAACTAGAGAAAAGTTTCATGAGATTGTAGGCTTGAGAAGGGTGTGAAGAGCAAACATTGAGTAAAAGAGACAAAGACCAGGGCCCTGAGTGAAAAGGAAGCTAAAGAGAAATTAAGATCTCAATGACTTGAGCATTTGAATCTTTCTGCAAGAGACATTAGGGGAAATCTGACTGGTCACCTCTGCTAGAAAGTGTAGTGTGCTGTAGACTTTGGTGAACAAACCAGCTATTTGATTACAATAGTATGGCTTGCACCCTAGAGTTTAAAAAGCTTGTCTAGAAAATTATAAGATGATTAGAAAGTGTGTGTGACCTATTATTACAAAGGGTACTGTGCCAGAGGACTGGCCAGATGCCAGTGTGACTTGAACAAACATGGAAACCCTAGTGAAGGTACATGGAGAGTTAGCCTTCTATATTAGGTAAGCTGATCGAGGCTCTGTTAAAGCATGGGATCCCTGAACTAAATAAGTATCATGTGAGGCCTGGGAATGTGGCTTACTGGTAGAGTGCTTGTCTAGCATGCATGAAGCCCTGGGTTCCATTCCTCAGTATCACATAAACAGAAAAAGCCAGAAATGGCACTGTGGCTCAAGTGGTAGAGTGCTAGCCTTAAGCAAAAAAGAAGCTCAGCCCAGGCCCTGAGTTCAAGCCAGAAGTCTAACAACAAAAAGTATTGCATGTGCACATGCATGTGTGTGTGTGTGTTCTAATCCTGGGGCTTGAACTCAGAGCCTAGGTGCTGTCCCTTAGCTTTTCTGCTCAAGGCTGTACTACTTGAGCCACAGTTGGAGATAAGGAATCTTTCGCTGAGCCCCTGTAATCCTGGCTACTCAGGAGGCTGAGATCTGAGGATCATAGTTCAAAGCCAGCCGAGGCAGGAAAGTCCCTGAGACTCTTATCTCCAATAAACCACTCAAAAAAACCAGAAGTGGCGCTGTGGCTCAAGTGGTAGAGCACTAGCCTTGAGCTGAAGAGCTGAGGGACAGTGCCCAGGCCCAGAGTTCAAGCCCTCTGACTGACAAAAAAAAAAAAAAAGAAATCTCTCACACGTGCTTGCCCCAGTTGGCACAGTCAAGTTAGGTGGCTGGGATCTGAGAATTATGATTCAAAGCCAGCCTAAGCAGACAAATCTTTGAGACTTATATGTCTAATTAACCAGCAAAAGCTGAAAGTAGAGCTGTGGTTCAAGTGGTAAAGGACCAGCCCTGAGTCAAAAAGCTTAAAAGCCTGAAGGCCCTGACTTCAAGTCCCAGAACTACCCTTCCCACCCCCCCACCTCCACCCACACACACCCCCAATAAAAAGATGAAGGATGAGAGGAGATGGAGCCCAAGTCCCTCATTACTAGAGAAAACTGAACATTTTTTGCTATTGAACATTTTCTAGTGAATTAATAAAATAATATGTGTGAACTGGGTAGCACTCTTCAGCTCACATGATTGATAGAAAATATACACTGAATGTATCTGTAGGCATTCCAAAAGAATTTGGAAGAATTAAGCCAGGTGCCAGTGGCTCACTCCTGTAATCCTAGCTACTCAGGAGGCTGAGATCTGAGGATCACGGTTCAAAGCCAGCCTGGGCAGGAAAGTTCATGAGACTCTTATCTCCAATAAACCACTAGAAAACCGGAAGTGGTGCTGTGGCGGTAGAGCACTCGCCTTGAGCTGAAGAGCACAAGGACAGCGCCCAAGCCCAGAGTTCAAACCCCACGACCGACAAAAAAAAAAAAAAAATAGAACTTGGAAGAATTAGAACAACATAGTCTGGGACAGTATGAGACTATGGAGGTAGTAAGCCTCCATGATATTGTTGTAGGAGAGGGTGAATATTATGTAGGATGAGGAGAATCTTCTATGAGGCAGACGAACCTGACTAAAAGATGGACTTGTTCACCAGGTGCCAGATTCTTCTAGTATTAGATTATGTGGATGGGGGCTGGGGGTTAAGCCCAGCAGAAGGGTGCCCACCCGGCGCGCGCAAGGCCCTGGGTTCAGTCTTCAGCCCTGGGGAAAAAAAAAAAACTACAATAGATTATGTGGATGTCCTTTGAGAAGATGAGATTTTTTTTCCCTTTTTTTTTTGTCATTCATGGGGCTTGAACTGAGGGCCTGGGTGCTGTCCCTGAGCTCCTTTGGCTCAAGGCTAGCGCTCTATGGGCTGGGAAGGTGGCTCAGTGGTAGAGTGCTCGCCTTGCATGCATGAGGCCCTGGGTTCGATTCCTCAGCACCACATAAGCAGAAAAAGCCAGAAGTGGGTGCTGTGGCTCAAGTGGTAGAGCGCTAGCCTTGAGCTGAAGAGCTGAGGGACAGCGGCCAGGCCCAGAGTTCAGGCCCCACGACCGACCAAAAAAAAACAAAAAACGGCTAGGGCTCTACCACTTTGAGCCACAGTGCTACTTCTGGTTTTCTGGTGGTTAATTGGAAATAAGAGTCTCACAGAGGGGCTGGGAAGGTGGCTCAATGGTAGAGCGCTTGCCATGCAGGCCTGAGGCCCTGGGTTCGATTCCTCAGCACCACATAAGCAAAAAGAAAAAAGCCAGAAGTGGTGCTGTGGCTCAAGTGGTAGAGCGCTAGCCTTGAGCTGAAGAGCTGAGCGACAGCGCCTAGGACCAGAGTTCAGGCCCCATGACTGGACCCCCCCCCCCCCAAAAAAAAAAAAAAGAGTCTCACAGACTTTTCCTGCCTGGGCTGGCTTTGAACCTCAATCCTCAGATCTCAACCTCCTGAGTATCAGCTAGGATTATAGACATGAGCCACCAACACCTGGCTTAAACTTTTTTTTTTTTGGGCAGTCCTAGGGCTTCAACTCAAACCTGGACACTGTCCCTGAGCTTTTCTCAAGGCTAGTATTCTACCACTTGAGCCACAGCAACACTTCTGGCTTTTTCTCTTATAGGTAGAAAACTACCCATTTTGGTTTTCCAAAAATTAGTGAGGCAGCTGGGTTACAATCGCCTGGCCTCCATTGGAGAAAGGGTTAGGAATCTCATGAAATCCTTTTTTTTTTTTAAACCAATAGTTAGTTGAGCTGGTACCAGAAACTCACACCTATAATCCTACCTACTCAGGAGGCTGAGATCTGAGGACTGTGGTTCAAAGGCAGCTCAGGGAAGGAAAATCCATAAAAATCTTCTCTCTAGTTAACAACTAAAGGCTGGAAGTAGAACTGTGGCACAAGAGGTAGAGCACCAGCTTTGAGCACAAAAGCTCAGGGGTAACCTCTAGGCCCTGAATTTGAGCCTCAGGACTGGCACTACACAAAAGCCAGGCACCTGTAATTCTGTCTACTCAGGAACTGAGATCTGAGCCTTGTGGTTCAAAACCAGCCTGGCTAGAAAGTCTATGAGACTCTTTATCTCCAGTGAGCCATGAGAGCCAAAAGTAGAGCTGTGCCTCAAGTAGTAGAATGGCAGCCCTGAGTGAAAAAACGAAAGCGTAGCACCCAGGCCCTAAATTCAAGCGCTAATACAGGCACAAAAAATAAATAATAAAAACACTGATTCCCTTCTGATTCAAAACAAGCGTGGAGAGGGACTAAGGATGAAGCTCAGTGGTAAAGTGTGTGCTTCGCATGCGCACAGCCCTAGCTTAAATTCGCAGCACTAATTAAATACAAGAACATAGAAATGTTCAAATGTTCAGGAGAGCAGGATGGCTCACATCTGTAATTCTAGCTATTCAGGAATCTAAAATCTTAGGATCGCAGTTCAAAGCCAGCCCAGTCAGGCAAGTTGGTGAGACATCTCCACTTAATCACCAGAAAACCGGAAGTGGCACTGTGGCTCAAAGTGGTAAGAGTGCTAGCCTTGAGCAAAAAGAGCTCAGGGACACCGCCCAGGCCTTGAGTTCAAGTCCTACAACCACCACCACCAAGAAAAAGAAATAGTCAGCCAGGTGCTGGTGGCTCACGCCTGTAATCCTAGCTACTCAGGAGGCTGAGATCTGAGAATCACAGTTTGAAGCCAGCTGGGGCAGGAAAGTCAGTGAGACTCTTATCTCTAATAAACCTCGTAAAAAACCAGAAGTGGCACTGTGGCTCAAGCGGTAGAGCGCTGGCCTTAAACTGAAGAGCTGAGGGACAGCGCCCAGGGCCAGAGTTCAAGCCCCATGACCGACTAAAACAAAACAAAAAAAGGGAGAGAGTCACTGTGGCTCAAATGTTAGAGTACTAGCCTAAAGCTGAAGAGCTCAGGGACAATACCCAGGCCCAGGCCCAGAGTTCAAGCCCCATGACCAACCAAAAAAAAAAAAAAGAAAGAAAGAGGGCTGGCAAGGCAGCTCAGTGGTAGGTTGCTTGCCTTGCATACATGAGGCCCTGGGTTCGAGTCCTCAGCACCACATAAGCAGAAAAAGCCAGAAGTGGCACTGTGGCTCAAGTGGTAGAGTGCTAGCCTTGAGCTGAAGAGTTGAGAGACAGCACCCAGGCCTGGAGTTCAGGCCCCACGACTGGCAAAAAACAACAAACAAAAAGAGAAAGAAAGAAAGGAAGGAAGAAAGAGTCAGGAGAAAGTAGGGTATGTGTAGATGTAAAACTTTAACCTCTTGAGTCAGACATTGGCAGCTCACACTGCAATCCTAGCTACTGTGGAGGCTGAGATAGAAAATTCATAGTCCAAAGCCGGGTTAGGCAGGAAAATCTGTGAGACTCTTATCTCCAGTAACCACCAAAAAGCCATATTATGAAGCTATAACTGAAAGGGGTAGAGCACTAACCTTGAGCAAAAAAAGCCCAGGGTTAGCACCTAGGTCCTGAGTTCAAGCTCCTGTACTGACAAAAACAAAAAACAAAAAACCAGACATTTTAACCTCTTGAGATGGAACTCTGTGAGGAAGTATTTGCACTGTGAATCTCAGTCCTACCAACAGAACCAAGAGTAGGAACTAGAGCCTGATGTGCTGCCGCTTGTAAGTCCCTAAGTCCCAGCTATTCTTGAAGCTAAGACAGGAAGATAGCTAACAGGACTCAAGAAAGCCCAAAGAAAAAGTAACAAGATGATCTAGGAGCTCTGTGATTGTACCAGAGCTGGCTAGGGAGGCAGAGCACTGCCGGCAGTTGATTATAATTAATCATGTAAGTGAGGGCAGGCTGGGTCCATGGGGACAGCCACACTGGTACACAGGCCCCAGTCACACATGGCCCAGTTGGCAACATAGTTCACTTTTGGGAAGAAAAAAAAAAAAAACAGAGTAGCTAGTCATTCAGTACAGCCAGCAGGATGCTGAAGGCTTGGGATTGCTACTTGGATGGGAGCTACCAGGAGGGGGCAGCACCTGCTTCCAGCATGAGCAATGAGAGGGCCTATCGTGCTATCCCCAGGGGGGCTGTGGAGTATTAGCAGGCACAGCACAATTTTGAAAAGCTTTGAAACAAGATGATGGCTACCTTTGGCAGGTGCTGATGTATGGACAGCCTTATCGCGTCACCTTAGAGCTTGAGCTGCCAGAGTCCCCTGTGAATCAAGATTTGGGCATGTTCTTGGTCACTGTTTCATGCTACACCCGAGGTGGCCGCATCATCTCCACTTCTTCGCGCTCGGTAAGTATGTGTGGACACTGGGAAACTGTGGAGAATGACTGCAGAAGTCTGAGATCCCAGAAGAAATCCCTGGTTCTGATGTCAGGGGCCAGTCCAGATAAGGGAAGAGGAATCCATTTACCAAACCACAAACATTTTCCCCACTATCTGATGAGCATGTCCATCTGAGAATAGAGGCCGAAGTAACAGGTTCAGCTGGGTATGATGGTGAAGGCCTAAAATCCCAACACTTGGGACAAGGATCATGAGTATGAGGCTGCCCTCATGATTGATAATGATTTTGATTGATTGATTGATATTCACAAGGCCTCTCAGACACAAACAGGTTTTATTATCAGGCCCCGGTTGTGGGGCCTGAACTCTGGGCCTGGGTGCTGTCCCTCAGCTCTTCAGCTCAAGGCTAGCGCTCTACCACTTGAGCCACAGCGCCACTTCCGGCTTTTTTCTTTTTGTTTATGTGGTGCTGAGGAATCGAACCCAGGGCCTCAGGCATACAAGGCAAGCACTCTACCACTGAGCCACCTTCCCAGCCCCACAAGCAGGTTTTAATAGTCACTGCCTCATAATAAAACTGAGAAAATGTAAAGTTCTTATTAGATATAGTGTGTGTTCAATCAGTATTGGACCTCATCATTAATAAGCTATTACCAGAACCACATCATGAGAGTGTGCCATGGGGCGGGAGCTTCAGATGGTGCACTGTGCACTGGCACTTATTCCATCCAGGATGACAGAAGTACAGGGGAATGGTAGATCAGAAACAGTGTTATGCTAAACACAGAAAAGTGTCAGAGAAAGAGCCTTTACTCTGTTAGTATAAACAGGTGTTTTCACGCCTGTAATTATTGCTACTCAGAGTGTGAAGCCAGCCCTGGTAGGAAAATCAATGAGAGTCTTTTATTTATTTTCCAATCCTGGGACTTGAACTCAGGGCCTGGGCACTGTCCCTGAGCTTCTTTTGCTCAAGGCTAGCACTCTACCACGTGAACCACCAACCCACTTCCAGCTTTTTCTGTTTATGTGGTATTGAGGAATTGAACACAGGGCTTCATGCATGCTAGGCAAGCACTCTACCACTAAGCCACATTCCCAACCTCCATGAGACTTATCTCCAGTTAACCCCCAGAAAGTGGGAAGTAGAGGTATGGCTCAAGTGGTAGTATGTCAGCCTTGAGTGAAAAAACTGAGGAACAGCACCCAGATCCTGAGTTCAGTACTAATACTGGCACCTGCACACACACACAACCCCTACACACATATAAAAGAGTGAACAAACTGGACGTTGGTGGCTCGTGCCTGTCATCCTAGCTACTTAGGAGCCTGAGATGTGAGAATCATGGTTCAAAGCTAGCCTGGACAGGAAAATCCATGAGAGTCTCCAATTAACCATCCCAAAATACTGGAAGTGGAGCTGTGGCTTAAAGTGGTAAAGCACTAGCCTTGAGCAAAAAGGCTCAGGAACCACACCTAGGCCCTCAATTCAAGCCCCTTGACCAACCAAAAACATAATAAACAAATGTAGTAGCATAGAGACTGAGGGGCAGGGAATGAAGTTGAGGGAGCAAGTGCCTGAAGAAGGGGCCCTTGGGTGGTGTTCAGGGGTGGGGCATTGGAACCTGGGCTATCTGTCCCCAACCTCTTCCTCCTGGCCCTGGTAGGTGATGCTGCATTATCGCTCTGACCTGCTCAAGATGCTTGACACGCTGGTCTTCTCCAGCCTCCTGCTGTTTGGCTTTGCAGAGCAAAAGCAGCTACTAGAAGTGGAGTTGTATGCAGACTATAGAGAGAACTCGGTAAGTGAGGTGAAGGGTGAGGAGAAGGAGAAACATCCCTGTTGGCTCTGTTGGTGCGGGGAAGGCCATGGAGACTGGTAGTGGGCCTCTGATGAGGCTGATAATTGGCCCAGCACTGCCTTTACTTCCTCAATCCTGCAGTATGTGCCTACCACTGGAGCAATTATTGAGATCCACAGCAAGCGCATCCAGATGTATGGAGCCTACCTCCGCATCCATGCCCACTTCACTGGGCTCAGGTAAGCCCTGAAGGGAGCCATGAGGTTCCATGACATGGAACTCAGCAGCTCTCCTGGGAGCTGTCCTTAAATGAAGAGGATCTTGGGCAGAGGTAACAAGCATGGCCAGTTCTCTACATGGCTGCAATCAGCATATTGACTTCCTAAGGAACCTTTTTTTTTGAGGAGGTGGGAGCGGTGGTGGGTGCCATTACTAGGGCTTGAACTCAGGGTCTCAAGTCTGGCACTCTTCCACTTGAACGTGCCTCCACTTGCAGATTTTTTGGGGATTGTTTGTTTTGTTGGTTGTGGGGCTTGAACTCTGGGCCTGGGCGCTGTCCCTCAGCTCTTCAGCTCAAGTCGAGCGCTCTACCACTTGAGCTACAGCGCCACTTCCGGTTTTCTGGTGGTTTATTGGAGATAGGAGTCTCACGGTCTCTCCTGCCCGGGCTGGCTTTGAACCGCGATCCTCAGATCTCAGCCTCCTGAGTAGCTAAGATTACAGGCGTGAGCCACCAGCGCCCTGCACTTCCGGCTTTTTCTACTTCTATGATGCTGAGAAATCGAACCCAGGACCTCATGCATGCAACGCAAGCACTCTACCACTGAACCACCTTCCCAGCCCTGACTTGCAGCTTTTTGATAGAGATAAGTTTCAAGGATTTATCTGCTTAGGCTGGCCCCTAAACCTTGATCCTCAGATCTCAGCCTCCTGAGTAGCTAGGGTTTACAGTCCTGAGCCACCAGTGCCTGGTAGCTGAGGAACTTTTTAAAAACACCATGTAAGTTGGTGCATACCTATAATCTTAGCATGCCGGAGACCAAGGCAGCAGAATCAGATTTCAGGCCAGCCTGGGCAGGTAGTGAGCTTGAGGCCATAGAAAAAATACCTTGTCTCAAAGAAAAAAAGGTGAATGTGCTTGAGGGGGGGCTCAGCAGCCAGTGCCTACCCCAGCGAGCATGGGGCCCTGGGTAGGAAGAAGGAAAGAAGGGATGGAGGGAAGGAAGATGGGAAAGAAACCACTTGAACCAGGTGTGGTGCTAGGAGCCTGTAGTCTTAGCTACTTGGGAGGCCAAGGGATCAGGAGATCCAGTTGCTCCCAGAAGTTTGAGGCCAGCCAGGGCAACATAACATTAGATTGCAGAGTTGGAGGCATGGCTCAATGGGTAGAGCACTGGTCAGTGAGTGAAAGCATCAAGAACCGAGTTTGAGTCCTGGTCTCAGACTAGAAAGAAAGAAAGAAACAACACTAGAGTCTCCGCACCGAAATATAGCAGAATACTCATAGAGTCTATTGTCTTGATCCATGGCCTCAGGAAGAGTTTGGGTGGCTCCAGAGATATTCAGGAATGCTGCTGCTGCCCCAAGTCCTTGACCTTCATTAGAACCTGGGGTAACCAGGTCTGGTATATGAATGGGGGACATAGAGGCCAAATCCAACTCTTAAGTCAAACTCAGTAGGAATTACATCTGGGAAACGTGACGGCTGGTTCTGCTGGTAACTGCTGTTCCCTTCCTCCTATCTCTTGCTTTTCAGGTACCTGCTGTACAACTTCCCCATGACCTGCGCCTTCATCGGTGTTGCCAGCAACTTCACCTTCCTCAGCGTCATCCTGCTCTTCAGCTACATGCAATGGGTGTGGGGGGGCATCTGGCCCCGGCACCACTTCCCTTCGCAGGTTAGAAAGGGCAGGAACCCCATTTTCCTTCCCCTCAGGATCTTTCCTTGTGGGTGGTCCAGGAACATGTTGGGGCTTAGGGAACAGGGGCCTTGGTCACTGGAGAAAGGATTCCCACCTTGTTGCTCAGTTGTCTGTCCCCCACCCGCCCCCAACAGACTAGCATGAGAAAAAGGGAGAGTTCACGCAAGGAAGCCCTCCGCCGGATCTCTACCAATCAGCCAGGTAAAAGAGTTGCCTGGGTGGTGGTGGGGAGGTGGGCTGGCAAAAGAGGCCACCTACCTCTCTCTAGTAAGAGGCATACAGCCATCACACTGAGTCCACAATTAGGAAAAAGGCTCAAGAAGGTAATGTTGGATCTGCCCGCCTGGCACAGCCACCAACCCCAGGTCTCTTTCTCTTGCTTTGGAGGCTCGGGGACTGAAGGCACTCAGGAAGAATCCACCCAGCAGTCAGATGTGACAGAGGATGGTGAGAGCCCTGATGATCCCTCAGGGACAGGTACTGCTCAGTCCCTCCTCTTGACTCCTCAGCTCTCTCCATCAGCCTCTGGGTCCCATTCCCCCCTGCCCCCCCCCTGTGGTTTCTCACCTGTGTGTCACCCTCTTGGTCACAGAGGGTCCTCTGTCTGAGGAGGAGAAGCCAGATCAGCAGCCCCTGAGTGGAGAGGAGGAGCTGGAGCCCGAGGCCAGTGATGGTGAGGGCACGAGGGGCGGGGCAGCTGGGGTGGGGGCAGGGCCTCCGGTTAATCTAGTAGCTTATTTGGGACTCTGGATTCTGGCCCAGGTTCAGGCTCCTGGGAAGATGCAGCACTGCTGACCGACGCCAACCTGACTGCTCCTGCCTCCGCCTCTGCCTCCGCCTCCACCCCGGCCCTTGCCCCGGAGACACTGGGCACCTCCGAGGCCTCTGTGGATGGCCTCCGGCAGCGCTCCACCTGCTCCAGTTCTTGAGGAAAAGTGGGCAGATTCCTCACATTCCAGCACTTTGCCAGCAAACCCTTTTTCTCCTGTTTTCCCCTTAATAAACTATTTTATGCCAGCTGCTTCACCGACTCAGGACTGGATTTTGGATGATTTGAAAACTCCGATTCCCCTCTGATTCTACCTTAGGGGAAGTTGTCTTGGCAGGGGGAAGCCTCCAGACCTGGGCTGGCAGTGGAGGATATTGTTTTTATGTTTGTTTTGGGTCAACACAGGGTCTTACTATGTAGCTCAGGCTGGCCTCAACTTCGCTATGTAGCCCAGGACGGCCTTGAACACACAGTGCTCCGTTCTGCCTGCCTCTGCCTCATTGAGTGCTGGAATTAGGTGGTTTGCCACCATGCACGGCCTGCGCTGTTTTAAACACATCTGTTTCCAACCAGAAACCTAGGAAGTGCAAGGATCTGGGCCCCTAGAAAGCTTCCCGCTCCATCCATGTGACTTGTCTCCCCCCAGGGGTGGGGGATAGGACAGGGCGGGTCTGGCGAGCCCAGATCCACCATCCTAGCCTTTACACCCCTCCCTTTCTCTGTCCATTGGGAGGCAGAAGACAGGAAATGACTGCCATAAATGTGGTGTGATTTTTTTTTTTAACCCAAACAGTATTTTATAAGTCAGGCCCCGTGCTGTCCGCAGCTGTTTTCCTGTCTCCTGCCAGCCAGGTGGCCCTCCCTCCTCTCCATGAAACTCCATTCCCCAAGTCTTCACATGATTTCAGCCTTTGGGTTCTCAGCTCCTGGCTGCTTTCCACACCTCACTCCTCTGTCAGAACCCAGGCATCCTGGCTTCCAGCTGAAACACTGCATGTGGCTTCCCCCATTCCAGGCCTCATGACTCAGGCCCTGTGAGGGGACCAGCCCTCTTGGCACTCACCAGGGAAGGGGCTAGGTGGTGACATCAGGGTTGAAGGGTATAAAAGCTTTCAGCCAAAACTGAACTGAAATTGAAGATACAACCTGACAGTGTGGCCTGCGCTGCTGGGAACGATTTGGCGGACACCATCGATACTTGCTTGCAGACTCCCAGTGGTGAGGGGGTCTGTGGGTCTGAGGGGAGGCAGGGACGGGCAGGGAGGGGGACTGCTTTGATAATATTTGCATGAGATACAGGTGGAGAATAAGGATTCTGGGTTTTTTTCTTTCTCCTTTCTGTTCTTAAGTTCTCTTTCTGAGTTTTTGCGTGTGTTGCTAAGATTCGTTTGCTAAGATTTCTCAGAGTGGCAACCAGAAATTAGTCTTACCTTTTTCTCCCCTGATCACCCCACCCTGAGCTGAGTAAATCATTTCTTCCTCATCTTTTACCAGCCCTGAGTTGGCAATGTGGCTTAGTGGAAGAGTGCCTACCTAGTATGCATGAAGCCCTAGGTTTGATTCCTCAGTACCATGTAAACAAGAAGCCAGAGTGGTGCTGTAGCTCAAGTGGTAGAGTGCTATCCTTGAGCAAAAGAAGCTCAGGGGCTGGGAAGGTGGCTCAGTGTTAGAGTGCTTGCCTTGCATGCATGAGGCCTTCGGTTCGATTCCTCAGCACCACATAAGCAGGAAAAAAAGCCGGAAGTGGGGATGAGGCTCAAATGGTAGAGCGCTAACTTACAGCTAAAGAGCTAAGGGACAGTGCCCAGGCTCAGAGTTCAGGCCCTACAACCGACCAAAAAAAGAAACCACAACAAGAAGCTCAGGGACAATGCCCAGGCCCTGGGTTCAAGTCTCAGGACTAGCAAAATCAAAAACAAAAAAAACCCACTAGCTTTTTGTAGCACGTTTGCATATTTCTGGCCATGCATCTCATGTGTTGGGCTGGATTTCATTTGTATGTGTGTGTGTGCCAATACTAGGGCTTGAACTAGGAATGTGACTTAGTAGAGTACTTGCCTAGCATGCATGAAGTAGAAAAAAAATCCCCCAAAACCAACAACAACTCAATCCTCAGGCTGGGCTCCAGTGGCTCATGCTTGTAATCCTAGCTACTCAGGAGGCTGAAATCTGAGGATTTCAATTTGACGCCAGCCCAGGTAGGAAAGTCCGAAAGACTTTTTGTTGTTCGTGATGGTGGTTGTGGGGCTTGAACTCTGGGCCTGGGCGCGGTCCCTCAGCTCTTCAGCTCAAGGCGAGCGCTCTACCACTTGAGCTACAGCGCCACTTCCGGTTTTCTGGTGGTTTATTGGAGATAGGAGTCTCACAGTCTCTCCTGCCCGGGCTGGCTTTGAACCGCGATCCTCAGATCTCAGCCTCCTGAGTAGCTAGGATTACAGGCGTGAGCCACCAGCGCCCGGCTGGCGCTGTCCTCTTTTGTTCAAGGATAGAATTCTACCACTTGAGCCATAGTACCATGTCTGGTTTTTGAGTGGTTAATTGGGGATAAGAGTCACACATAGACTTTTCTGCCCAGGCTGGCTTTGAACCATGATCCTCAGATCTCAGCCTTCTGAATAGCTAGGATTACAGGTGTGAGCCTCCAGTGCCCAGTCCTTAAGATTCTTAATCTCCTATTACTCACCAGAAAACTGGAAGTGGTGCTGTGGCTCAAAGTGGTAGAGGACTAGCCTTGAGTGAAAAAGCTCAGGGACAGCACCCAGGCGCTGATCAACAAAAACAAAAAACAACTCAATCCTCAGATTTCAGCCTCCTGAGTGCTAGGATTACAGGTGTGATCCCCCAGTTTTGTTTATGTAAATAAGTTTCATTCTCACCTCTTTCCTCTTTCAATCTTTTTTTTTTTTGGGTCTGGTTCTGGGGCCTGAACTCTGGGCCTGGGTGCTGTCCCTCAGCTCTTCAGCTTAAGACTAGCGCTCTACCACTTGAGCCACAGCGCCACTTCCGGCTTTTTTTCTGCTTATGTGGTGCTGAGGAATCGAACCCAGGGCCTCATGCATGCAAGGCAAGCACTTTACCAACTGAGCCACCTTCCCAGCCCTGTCCTTTTTCAATCTTGATCCTCACTTGTTTCCCTGTCCTTAGAAGGTCTGCCTAGGAAGGCAAGGGGCCCTAGAAAGCAGGACTGACATCTTTTACCTCTTCACCCCTACCTTTCCAGACTCCATGCTCCATTCTCTTTGCCTTCTGTGGCTCCTGGCCATGGCCTTCTCCTTGGTTCCCAGAGCTCAGCCTTTGACCCCTCAAGACTTGGAGGAGGATGAGGAAGATGAGACGGTGAGCACGCCTCTGCTGGCTCTCCGCTGTGACTATGACCGATGCCGCCACCTGCAGGTGCCCTGCCATGAGCTGCAGAGGGCTGGGCCGGTGGCCTGCTTGTGCCCCGGCCTCTCTAGCCCCGCCCAGCGACCTGACCCACCACGCTTGGGAGAAGTTCGCATTGTGGCCGAGGAGGGCCGCGCTGAGGTCCACTGGTGCGCACCGTACTCCCCAGTCCACTACTACTGGCTGCTGCTTTGGGAAGGCTCTGGGGAGCCACAGAAGGGGGCCCCTCTCAATGCTACAGTCCGAAGAGCAGAACTGAAGGGACTGATGCCTGGGGGCACTTACGTCATTTGTGTGGTGGCTGTTAACGAAGCTGGGGAGAGCGAGGTCCCTGGGGCAGGTGAAGATGGCCAGGAGAGGGTGACGACCTTCCCTTCCTTTGGGCCCTGTGGCCAGATCATTGTGCCACCCAGACCCGCTACCCTGGTTCATGCCGCTGTGGGGGTAGGCACAGCTCTGGCCCTCTTGAGCTGTGCTGTCCTGTTCTGGCACTTCCATCTACGTGAGCGTTGGGGCTGCCCCCGCCACCGCCCAGCTGCAGGGACTGTCTGATTGGACCCTGGGTCACCCCCATTTGGCAAGAGTGCAGGGACTTGGGGACGCATGGCACTAATCTGACAACCAAGCAGAGCCAGGTCCAGATAATGGGGCCACCACTGAGATCTCAGGGTTGAGAACTTTTTAAGGTCCAGGGCTGAGGACTAGGAAGAAATAGCAATTTTCCTCCAAACTGTGAGATCATGAATGATTTAGGCTTTGTGAGTTTGGAAAGATAACATCAAGAACATTATGTAGTTATGTATATAGCCATTTAAAATATACAGATGAAAATGTAAAAACTAAGCAGGGAGGAGGTGGCTCACATCTGTCTTTCTAGCAAATCAGGAGGCTGAGATCTGAGGATTGCAGTTTGAAGCCAGCCCAGGCAGGAAAGTCTAGGAGACTCTTATCTCCAATTAACCACTAAAAAGTCAGAAGTGGAGCTATAGCTCAAGTGGTAGGGTGCTAGTCTTGAGTGAAAAAGCTCAAGGACAGCATTAAGACCCAGAGTTCAAGCCCCATTACAAGCACAAGAAGAAAAAAAAAAAGCAAAAAAATAAAAAATGGTTTTAGCCCATGCTTCCAAATCAAGTACTCTTAAAAGTTTTATTACTGTGGGTGGCTTCATTGGGAGTTAAGTGTGTGTGTGTGTGTGTGTGTATGCGTGCTCACACACATGTACTTGTGCTTAGATGTGCATGCTAATCCTGGGCTTATATTCAGGGCCTGAGCACTATCCCTGATCTGCTTTTGCTCAGGGCTTGTGCTCTACTACTTGAGCCACAGTCCCACTTCCAGATTTTTTTGGTAATTTAGTGGAGATAGAGTCTCACAGATTTCCCTGCCCAGGCTGACTTTGAACTATTATCCTCAAATCTCAGCCTCCTGAGTAATTTAGGATTACATGCCTTCCTAAGTAGTGAAGATTCCAGGAGTGAATTTTGAAAATAAGCTTGATCACAGTGGGAATTTGGGGTTGGAGCCACATCTTTCTGTGACCTTTTGTTTAGTAATGGTGGGTAAACCCATCCAGGGCACAGTCCACTTATGTCTGAGGAGGGAGGAGACAAAATTGATATGGGATGGAAAAGACAGGAAAGGACCATGCTGGCACAAGTTAGTGGGTTTGTGTATGTGTGCACGCGTGCATCCTAGAGATGGAACTCAGGGTTCCAACCTCTCCAACTGAGAGGTGTCTCTGAGCGTTTTTGCCAAAGGCTAGTGCTGTACCACTTGAGCCACACAGCTCCACTTCTATTTTTTGCTGGTTAGTTGGCGATCAGAGCCTAATAGACTTTCCTGCCCTGGCTGGCTTTGAACCATGATCCTCAGATCTTGACCTCCTGAGCTCCTGAGTAGCTAGGATGATACAAGTGAGGCACTAGCACTTGTCTTAGTGTTCCTTTAGGTAAAACAAAACTAACAGCAATACCTAGGAATCCCCGTCCCCATTTGTGTTGACTATATATCCACTGTGATAACATTAAAGGAAATTTAAAAGGAGGCCTTCTCAGATCCCTTTGGATTGCTTGTTTACACACCTGTTTTCTTGATTTTCTGGTCCTGGTGCTTGAACTCAGGGCCTGGACTGCTGTCTCTGAGCCTTTTTGGGCTCAAGGCTAGTGATCTACCACTTGAGCCATGGTTCTGCTTCTAGCTTATACATACACACACACTTTTTTCTTTGAATGAAGATCTTTATATGTAGCACGAGCAGGATTGGGATTTTATTTATTTATTTATTTATTGCCAATCCTGGGGCTGGAACTCAGGGCCCTGACCTTCTTTTGCTCAAGGTTAGCACTCTACCACTTGAGCCACAGAGACGTCTGGCTTTTTCTGTATATGTAGTACTAAGGAATCAAACCCAGGGCTTCATGAATGTCAGGCAGGCCCTCTACCACTAAGCTACATTCCCAGCCCAAATTTTAGATTCTGCTCTTTCAGTTTCTGGAGTGCTAGGATTATAAGCATGCACTGCCACACATACCAAACCCAGTTATAGTACATATACTTTCAAATCCTTTTCCTTTCTTTCTTCTTTTCTTGTCTTTTTTTTTTTTTTTTGGTCGGTCGTGGGGCTGGAACTTTGGGCCTGGGCGTGGGGCTGGAACTCTGGACCTGGGCGCTGTCCCTGCGCTCTTCAGCTCAAGGCTAGCGCTCTTCTTTGTAAACGAACGGCGTGGTAGCTGGTGGCATTCTCCGGGAACCTGTCTTCTGGGAGGCAGAGGCAGAGAATCTAGGTCAACCCGGGCTACAAAGCAAGACCCTGTCTTTCAACGAAACAAAATAAAACAGAGGGCCTGGGGTGCCGGAGGAAAGTAGCATTTTTAGTTACATCCGAGATAGCTGAGATGCCAAGGTTTCAAAGCCCGGAAGGTGATAAGACTGTCAGACACAGTGTTGCAAAAATCCCTTTGGCAATCGGGCAAAGAACAGCTCAGTTCCCAGGCGAGGATGAAAGGGCCTGAGAGCTGCCCAGGCTGGCTCTGAACCGCGATCCTCAGAGCTCGGCCTCCTGAGTACTTAGGATCACAGGTGTGAGCCAGTGGCGCCCGCTTTCCAGATTGACCTCTCAGGAGGGCTTCCTTCCCCGCCGCGTGCTTAAAAGCGGCGGGACCTTCCCCCAGCATGATATCCGCGGCCCGCGGTTGGCTGAGCCCGACCCGCATTCCCGCCCCCTTTCCCTCCGCCCCGCCCCCGCCGGCGTGCGCAAGGTTCCGGCGACCGATAGGAGGGGAAGACTTTTGGCTCTCCGCGGCCCCCGTCCACGCCCGCTCCCACGTGACCCAAACAGACTCGGGTACTTCCGCTTCCCTTCGGCTTTCTTCTCGTCGGTGTCCCCGGCGGGTCCCGAGCCGGGTGAGTTGAGCGAGCGCCGGTCCGCGGGGGTGGCGTCGAGGGCGGCTTTGCCCCACGCTGACCCTCGCCGCCTGCCTTCTCACCCTGCCAGGTCCCCGCGGGAGCGGTGGCTGGCGTCGTCATGGCGGAGCTGACGGCTCTGGAGAGTCTCATCGAGATGGGTTTTCCCAGCGGACGCGCGTAAGAGCGCCCCGAGCCCCCCATCTCCCCGGTCCCCCGGCCCCGGGGTGGAGGGCCGCGGATCCGTCCTGGCCTTTGCCCCAGTCGGCCCGTCACGATGGCCGGCGGGCGCGTGTTGACGGTGTTTCTGCCCCCAGGGAGAAGGCTCTGGCCCTCACGGGGAACCAGGGCATCGAGGCCGCGATGGACTGGTGAGCGGCCGGGCCGGGGGGCGCGGGGAGGCACCGGCGGAGGGGCGGCGGCCTCACGGCCAATTTCCCCTGCCGACTTGCCCTGCCAGGCTGATGGAACACGAAGACGACCCCGACGTGGACGAACCTCTAGAGATGCCTCTCGGACATATCCTGGGACGGGAACCCACCTCCTCAGAGCAAGTTGGCCCTGAAGGTCCTGACGGGGAGACAGCCGATTTACTGGCGAGGGCAGAAGAGAATCCCACGGGGTAGTCATGCTTGTTGCTTGTTTGTAGGACCTGGGTCTGCTGCTGGCGAAAGCAAACCAACTTTGACCGAAGAAGAAAGACAAGAACAGACTAAGAGGTCCAGTAAATACCAATCTTACTTTCCCCGGGGATCGTGTTTCACTCCTCTCAAATGTAAACACCCTTTGTCGGATACCTTAACACATTTCCCGTGTATTTTTTGTTTGTTTGTTTTTGGTCCGTCACGGTGTTTGAACTCTGGACGCTGTCCCTAGAGCTCTTCAGCTCCAGGCGAGGGCTCTACCACTTTGAGCCACAGTGCCACTTCCGGTTTTCTGGTGATTTAATTGGAGATAAAAGTCTCTTGGTTTGATTTACCTGCCCAGGCTGGCTTTGAACCGCAATCCTCAGATCTCAGCCTCCTGTGTAACTAGGATTACAGGCATGAGCCCTCGGTGTCCGGCATCTTTTTTTCTTTTCTTTTCTTTTTAAAGTCCTGGATCTCCTGTATGCTGAGCATGTGCTCTACCAATGAGCTAGCTCTCTTCTCCGTGTGTGTGTGTGTGTGTGTGTGCGCGTGTGTGCGTGCATGTGCATGCATGCGCGTGCGCCCTTGAAATCTGGGGTCAGTGCCCTGCCTTTTTCCCTCTACCACATCTCCACTTACTGTTTTTTTGGCGATAAATTGGAGGTAAGAGTCTCAAGGCTGGGAATGGGGCTTGGTTGAATGCTTGCCTAGAATGCACGAAGGTTTGAGTTCAATTACTCAGTATCACATAAGAAGAAAAAGCTGGAAGTGGAGCTGTGGCTCATGTGGTGGAATGCTAGCCTTAAGGAAAAGAAGGCGCGGACAGTGCCTAGGCCCTGAGTTCAAGACCGAGGCCTGGCAAAAAAAAAAAAAAAAAAAGTTTCAGGGACTTCTCTGCCCCAGCTGGTGAGGCTCAGAGCCCAACCTCAAGCCACCAGCACCTGGCACCTCTCTTATTTTTAATTGTCTTTTAATTTTTTTTTCATCTATTTTGGGACATGTTTCCTGCTATTTCTCAGAGTTCCTTTTTATACACTCAGCTATTTTTCTTGAACTCTTTCCTTTCTCCAACACAGAATGTTGGAGTTGGTGGCCCAGAAGCAGCGGGAACGTGAAGAAAGGGAGGAGCGGGAGGCATTAGAACGAGAAAAGCAGCGCCGGAGACAAGGCCAAGAGCTGTCGGCTGCCCGACAGAAACTACAAGAAGATGAAATGCGCAGAGCTGCTGAGGAGCGGAGGAGGGAAAAGGCTGAGGAGTTAGCGGCCAGGTCTGGGTGATGGGCAATGGTTGAGAATGAAATCAAGATTTTTGCTTGACCATGTCCAACCTGCTTTCTTTCTGTCTGCATTCCAGGCAAAGGGTTCGAGAAAAGATTGAAAGGGATAAAGCAGAAAGAGCCAAGAAGGTGGGTGACTGACAAGACCATAGAAAGGACTAACTCTTTTTGTTTGTTTGTTTTTGTCATGGGGCTTGAACTCCAGGCCTGAGCGCTGTCCCTGAGCTCTTCAGCTCAAGGCTAGTGCTCTATCACTTGAGCCACAGTGCTACTTTCAGTTTTCTGTTGGTTTATTGGAAATTAGAGTCTCATGGACTTTCCTACCCCAACTGGTTTTGAACCTGGATCCTTAGATCTCAGCCTCCTGAGTAGCTAGGATTACAGGTGTGAGCCACCAGCACCGGCATTAACTTTCTTTTCTAGCGTCAGGTAAAAAGCTGGTTACAGCATTGCTTTCTCCTGGTCTGTTTCCTGACAGTACATGAGTATCTGACTGTTTTACTTTGTCCTACAGTATGGCGGTAGTGTGGGTTCTGGGCCAACCCCACCAGTGACAGAGCCAGGTCCTGTCCCCTCCTCTCCCAGCCAGGAGCCACCCACCAAGCGGGAGTATGACCAGTGTCGCATACAGGTACTAATTCTGATACTTTTTTTTTTTTTTTGCTGGGCTTGAACTCAGGGTCTGGGGGCTGTCGCTCAGCCTCTTTGTGCTCAAGGTTAACACTTTACCACTTGAGCCACAATACCACTTTGGGCTTTTTCTGGACAGTTTATTGGAGATAAGAGTCTCATGGACTTTTGTGCCCCGGGTAGCTTAGAACAGCAATCCTCAGATGTCAACCTCCTGAGTCTAGGATTACAGGTGTGAGCCACTGGTGCCCACCTTGATACAACTTCTCTTTTCTTTTCTTTTTTTTTTCTGTTCTTTTCTTTTCTTTTGGTCCGGTCGTGGGGCCTGAACTCTGGGCCTGGGCGCTGTGCCTCAGCTCTTCAGCTCAAGGTTAGCGCTCTACCACTTGAGCTACAGCACCACTTCCGGCTTTTTTCTTTTTGCTTATGTGGTGCTGAGGAATCGAACCCAGGGCCTCATGCATACAAGGCAAGCGCTCTACCACTGAGCCACCTTCCCAGCCTTTTCTTTTCTTTTCCTTTTCCTTTTCTTCTTCTTTTTTTTTTTTTTTGCCAGTCCTGGGGTCTGGACACTGTCCCTGAGCTTCTTTTGCTCCAGACTAGCACTCTACCACTTGTGCCCACAACCCCCACTGCTGGCTTTTCTGTGTCTGTGGTACTGAGGAATTGAACCCAGAGCTTCATGCATGCTAGACAAGCACTCCACCACTGGGCCTGGACACTGACCCCTTGCTCAAGGCTAGAGCCTACCACTTGAGCCATAGATCTGCTTTTGGGTGCTATTGACGATAAGAGTCTCATGGACTTTCTAACCTGGACTGGCTTTGAACTGGGATCCTTAGATCTCAGCCTCCTGAGTAGCTGGGATTACAGGCATGAGCCATGGATACAGGCCTTGTACCTCTTTTGCTCCTGGAACCTCTTTGTTGGTGTACAAGGCATCCAACTTTATTAAAAATTTAAATTTTTTTTAGCCAATTCTGGGGCTTGAACTCAGGGCCTGGGCACTGTCCCTGAGCCTCTCTGTGCTCAAAGCTAGCATCTACCACTTGAGCCACTGTGCCATTTTCAGATTTTTCTGAGTATGTCGTACTGAGGAATTGAACCCAGGGCTTCATGCATGCGAGGCAAGCAGTCTACCACTAAGCCACATTCCCAGCCCCCAACTCCCTCCCCCCTTTTTTTTTCAGCTATGTTCTGTTTGCCAAATCTCTTCCTTCTTTGTAAATGACTTTTGAAATCCTACCTCTTGTACTCTTAGGAAAGATATCCAATTTCACCTGCTGTAATCATTTTTGAAGTCTGTACCTCCTAATTACCCTTTTGCTTGTTTATGATGTTTTCCTTTCATTACTCTGCTATTTTTGTGATGTGGCATTTATTCTGACATTTTTTTGTATAATCTTGCTCTGTCTGTCCTAGACTGTGAGGAAGCTGGGGCCCTTGCTTTAACCCTTAGTAAGGCCGACAGGATAAGTGTGTCCTCGTTAAGTGCTTTAAGTAATAGTTGTACTTGAGTTGAACAACTCGTTCAGTCCCTCTTAAGAGAAAGAAGGGACCTACTTTAGCTCTTCTTCACCTTTTTTGGGCATCTTACTTAGTTTTGGTGCTCAGAATACTGGAGATCTCCTTTGCCTTCTAGGTGAGGCTGCCAGATGGGACCTCACTGACCCAGACATTCAGAGCCCGGGAACAGCTGGCAGCTGTAAGGCTCTATGTGGAGCTCCACCGCGGGGAGGAACCTGGAGGTGGCCAGGACCCTGTGCAGTTGCTCAGTGGCTTCCCCAGACGGGCCTTCTCAGAGGCTGACATGGAGCGACCTCTGCAGGAGCTGGGTATGACATAGGGACTGGGAAGCAGGATTGGTGGATTTGGGGCATGCTTGGGAAAAGTATTTTATGAGAAAGTATGTGGCCAGGAACTTGGGGAGTAAAAGCAGTTATTATTGTTTATACCTGCTTCTCTTCCATCTTCAGGACTCGTGCCTTCTGCTGTCCTCATTGTGGCCAAGAAATGTCCCAGTTGAGGGGCTTTTATCTCACCATCCCTCTCTGACCTCTTCATCTTTGATACAGCACTGACATCTCCTTCCTAATAAATAGATCCTTGGAGTTCTGTATATGCCTGGCTTCTTCCTGAATAATGGGAGGGACAATAGTGAATAGAGGAAGACACTAAAATAAGGCATTTGGACTGGGCAGTATTGGCTCATGCCTTGAATCCTAGCTACTAAAGAGGCTAAGATCTGGAGACCATTCAAAGCCAGTCTAAAACTAAAACCCTGTGAGACTCCATTTTCAATTAACCAGCAAAAAACTGGGTTGGAGGTGTGGCTTATTGGTAGTGTACCAGCTTGAGCAACCCCAGCTTTCAGGCTATGAGTTTTAAATTCCAGGACAGGCAAGGGGAAATTAAAAGGGTGTTTTGAGTAGAGCCTCTTCCTCTTCTTAAGTTTCCAACAAAGAGACTTGTTTCTTCATCTGTTTGCTGCTTCAGAAGTGAACAGGTTGCAGGAGCTAGAGGCTCATGCCTATAATCCTAGCTACTCAGGAGGCTGAGATCTGGGGATCACAATTTGAAGCCAATCCAGGCAAGAAACTCTTGAGGATTGACCCCAATTAACCAGGAAAAAGTTGGAAGTGGGATGGGAGAAAAAAACTGAGAAAATGTGAGGGAAGGGTTGACATTGTTCAAAAAGAAATGTACTCTTTATCTGACTTATGTAACTCCTCTGTATATCACCTTTATAATAATAGTAGCAATAAATTTGGAAGTGAGCCACGTGCTGGTTGCTTACACCTGTAATCCTAGCTACTCAGGAGGTTCAGATTTGAGGATTGTTCTTTGAAGGCAGACCAGGCAGGAAAGCTCATGAGACATTTATCTCCAATTAACTATCAAGCCCCAAGTGGAGCTGTGGCTTAAGTAGTAGAGTGTCAAAGGGCCCTGGTCCCGAGTTCAAGCCCCTAGCAGATGTTAAAAAAATGGTGGGGAGGGATTACAGAGGATACATTGCACGTCACCTTTTATTCTGTAGGTGGGGTACATAAATTGAAATTCCTCACTAGTTGTATGCCTTGGCTTCTTTAAGCCTAGTTTTTTCTTTAGTAGAGTAGGGACAATATTACCTGTTTCTTGGGTTTGTCATGAGGTTGACTTTTTTTAGCACAGTTTCTTGGTAGTAAGTCCCTAGTAGATTTTAAATTGTGGGTTTTTTTCAATGGGGAAGGGGTTGAGTGTGTATGCAAGTGCTGGGAGTTGAACCTAGGCCTTGTAAATGTTAAGCAAGCATTCTACTATTGAGCATCCTCAGCCTACATTTTTTAAAAAATGTGTGCCCATCCTGGGACTTGAACTCAGAACCTAGTCATTATCCCTGAGTTTTTTTGCTCAAGGGTATCACTCTACCACTTGAGCCACAGCTCTACTTCCAGCTTTTTTTGGTGGTTGATTTGAGCTAAGACTCCCATACTTTCCTACCTGGACTGGCTTTGAACTGCCATCCTCAGATCTCAGCTTCCTGAGTGGTTAGGATAATCGGTGCCTCTTTTTTTTTTTTTTTTTTTACTCCCCACCTGACCCATAGAACACTTTTTACAGGTCTGTCCAAAACATGGAAAGGAAAGGAACATTATAGTGACTTACAAGACAAATGCATGTGTTCTAATGTTGAATACTTCATATATAAAGTTTTTTTAAATATATGCTTGAGGTATGAAAGCAGTGTTCATTACCTAAATATAGGCAAAATTTATCCCACTTCAGACTTCAGGATATTGAAGCCTCAAGTGACTGTAGGAGTAGTAAGTACTAGAACCTGCAGCTGGGTCAGGTTCTGACCCTCAAGGCTTTTCCATGGGCCCCTTGCTGCTGCTGCCAACCTCTACCTATTATTCAACTGCCATCCTAGATCTCAGCCTCTTGAGTAGCTAGGATGACAGGCATGAGCCACCAGCACCCAGCCTGTGGCTGCCCACTTATTCCTGAGTGTAAGGAAGAAGCATTAACCCTAAAAACCACACACAAATTATTATTTTCTCAGTCATGATGCCTGAACTCTGGGCTTGGGCGCTGTCCCTCAGCTCTTCAGCTCAAGGTTAGTGCTCTACCACTTGAGGCACAGCACCAATCCCGGCTTTTTCTGCTTATGTGGTGTTGAGGAATTGAACCCAGGGCTTCATGCATGCAAGGCAAGCACTCTACCACTGAACCACCTTTGCAGCCCCAATCAAATGTTTTTGTTTTTTTACACAATTTTATACATATGTGTGTGTGTGTGTGCACACACACATACCACTTTTCAAATGTTTTTAAAGTTATGACTACACTGCTGTTCATTTCTGAGTCTGAACCTCAGTGTTTAATTGCTGTTCTAAATACTATTAGTATGCATGAGGCCCTGGGTTCAATCTCTCTTAAAAAGCCAGGAACTGGTGGCTCAAGCCTGTAATCCTAGCTACTTAGGAGGCTGAGATCTGAGGATTGCAGTTCAAAACCAGCCCTGGGAAGTAAAGTTGGTGAGACTCTTATTTCCAATAAACCACCAGAAAACCGGAAGTGGTGCTTTAGGTCAAGTGGTAGAGTTGCCCTTGAGCTAAAGAACTGAGGGACAGTGCCCATCCCCAGAGTTGAAGGCCCATGACTAAAAATCCCCAAACAAAAAAAAAATCAACAAGATGGGCTCCATCTTCAGATCTGTCTCCTGAGTAGCTAAGATTACAGCTGTGAGCCACTGGTGCCCAGAGTCTAGGAGGCTCTAATCTCTACTAGTAGAGTGCCAGTGTTGAGTGAAAAAGATAAGGGACAGCACCCAGGCCATGAGTTCAAGCCCTAGTGTCAGCACAAAAATCAAAACGACCAAGAAGTGTGATTAGGTTTTGCTTCCTGTAGGGTTCCAAACGTTTGGCTTTATTTTATATTCAGTGGCATCTTGAAGAAATCAGAATTATAGTGGAAGATTGGGATTCCAATTCAATGACTGGAAATTAGTGAAAAGCATGTGAATGGAAGTCCAGTACATTTATTACTTGATAGTTCTATTCCAGAAATGTGCACTTCACATTTCTAAGTTAATCTTGAGGGCAAGAAGCCTTTGGGGGGGCGGGGGAGGATGGGAAGGAATGGGAAGGGGAAACAAAGGAGGAGGCTACAATGCTTGATAAGAAATATTCATTATCTTGCCCATGTAATTGTAACCCCTCTGTACAGTATTTTCACAATTAAAAAAAAATAAATCCTTTGAGGGGATTTGATGTGAAAAAAAAAAAAAAAGCCAAGGAAAGCAGTCTGGCACATCGAATTGCTAGATGCCCTTCCAACCCTGCCCAAAGGCCCTATAGGTATTCATTGCTAAGAAGATATTCAAGGAATAGCTTTGCCACTGGAGCCACAATGCCAGCTCCAGTTTTCTGGTGGTTAATTGGAGATCGGAGTCTCACAGACTTTCCTGCCTAGGCTGGCTTTGAAGCGCCATCCTCAGATCTCAGCCTTCTGAGTAGCTAGGATTACAGGCGTGAGCCACGGGTAAGACTATTACCTGAGCTGGGCACCTGTGGCTCATGCTTGTAATACTGAAGAGCCTGAGATCTGAGGATCAAGGTTCCATACTAGGCAGGGCAGCCAAATCCTCAAGACTCTTTTATCCAATTAACCAGTAAATAGCTGGAAGCGAAGGTGTGGCTCGAATGGTAGAATCGGCCGAGAGCAAAAGCTAAGCAAGAACATGGAAGTCCTGAGTTTAAGTCTGGCTCTTCCCAGAAGCACACGCATACGTAACACCACGTGACCCGATTGTTTTGAAAATGTGGTCACTAAGCCTGCTGGGCTTTTAGGGGCAGGAGAGCAGTAGCATCCAGGGGTGCCCGCAGCGCCGGCCCCCACACCTAAGCACTTGGAGGGGTCCTGCAGAGCTCACTCTCGGGACAGACAAGCAGGATTTACTGTTCGATGTCCGTCACATCCGACCTCCATGCCGACTCAGGCCGGGGACGTGCACAGGGGTTGGAGGGAACCTGCTCCCCCGAAGCCACGGTCCAGGTCAGGACTCCCCACTTGGCTCGCAGAGAAGGGCCGGCCCGTCTCACTCCGACCTCCCGGGGTTGCTAGCCAACCAGCGCTTCCTCCAGGCCACGTTCTCCTGCGTGGCCGCGGCCTTCTGCAGCGTCTCCATCACCAGCTGCTGCCTCCAGCTTGCCTCGTCCTGGATCCGCGGGTTCTGCTCCGGCATCTCCTGCGGGGAGGAAGGAGGTTCGCAGTCTCCCGGACACCCACCCACCCACCCACCCCTTCCGGGGCTCCCAGGTCTACCTTTAGCATGCCCTTCTTCTGCAGCTCTCCTGGGGTCACCAGCGCAAAGAGCACGGAGCCCACGGTGGCCCCGACTCCCAGCAGGGCGGCCACCTGCAGCGGTTTGCTCATGGTGCTCATGGCCGACCGCGCGGCCACAGAGGTGCGCGCCGGCGTCTCTCGCAGCCTAGAAGGGCAGCCGCCGCATCTCGGTGCTCCTGCGCGGGCTAGAGCGACGCTGAGGCCGACCGCGGCGGGGACGGGGCGGAGACCATAGAGCTGGGTCGGGGCTAGAGAGGACCTAACCATAGAAAAGTGGAGTGCTGAGCGCCTGGGTCTTTGGAGTGGAGAAGGCGCGATTGGTGGGTGTAGCTCGGCTGTAGTTTTTCTGGCCCACCGGAGACCCACCCTAGGCCTGAGTTCAATCCCCAGGCTCACAACAGAATAAACAAAACAATCTGATTTACTCTCATGCAATGGGGGGGCGGAAGCAGACATTGGGAGGACCTTTATAGCCTGGGACACAAAAGCCAGATCTTACATTGACCTTTCCCAATCTCTTTCTCAGGCCCCCCTCCCTTTCCCTCTTTGAATTTCTCTTACTATCCTCCCTTACTTTTTCCCATTTTTGTTTTTTTAGTAGCATACATTAGATGAATAATGGGAGTTTCACGGTGACATTTCCATACACGTGTACAATGTACTGGAAATCAACCTCATTCCCTATTATCACCCTCCCTTATTTGCTCATACTCTAAACCAGTTTCTAAAGGCTGCATTTTTCTGTTCATATGTATAAATTAAGAACTTCTATGGCCCTTCCCTCTCCTGCAGACCCTTCCGCCTTTCACCTCCCTCCCCCTCTGTATTAATTGTACCAAGGAGTTTTGCCTTGGTATTTTAGATGTGTATATATTTTAATCGAAATAATCTCTATGGCTCTTCCCTCTCCCAACTCCCTGTTGAGTTTCCTTATACCATCTTCATTGTTGCAATGTGTGTTTAAAAATTATTCATTCTCCATCTTTTTCCTTTCTCTCCCCTCTCCCTCATTTCTTTAACCAGGCTCAGAGTTAGAATCAGGTTCTATGTATATACACTATGTACATGTTTATGAGTTTATGACTGTGTATTTTAGAAAAGCTTCAAGAAAAGAGAGCCAGGTGCTGGTGGCTCATGCCTGTTATCCTAGTTACTAAAGATTGAGATCAGAGGATTGAGGTTCAAAGCAAGCCCAGGCAGGGAAAAACTCATGTCCAATAAACCACCAAACCAGAAGTAGCACTATGACTCAAGTGGTAGAACACTAGCCTTGAGCTGAAGAACTGAGGGACAGCACTCAGGCTGAGTAAGAGAACATGTTATTTGGGTTTTGATTTTTTTTTTTTTAATCCCATTGGTGCTGGTACTGGGGCCTGAACTGAGGGCCTCTTGCTCTTACACTCACCTTTAGGTCTCCACAGAACATGAATGCAACTGACTACTTAGGAGAGGACAAAGGGAAAAATAATAGGGATGGGTATTTTGAAAAGATGAATACTAGATGCTTGAAATATTGTTCATAAGTATAAAAATTAAACTAGGAAACTTGAAGCCAGGCGCCGGTGGCTCACGCCTGTAATCCTAGCTACTCAGGAGGCTGAGATCTGAGGATTGAGGTTCAAAGCCAGCCCGGGCAGGAAAGTCTGAGACTCTTATCTCCAATAAACCACTGAAAAACTGGAAGTGGCATTGTGGCTCAAGTGGTAGAGTGCTAGCCTTGGGCTGAAGAGCATAGGGACAGTGCCCAAGCCCAGAGTTAAAAAAAAAAAACCAAAACCAAAACAAGGAAACTTGTTCAGATTGCTTTAGGAAGGTAGAAAGGAACAGAGAGCAAGTTCCCAACTTTATAACTAAATAAAAGTTCTTGGCCAAATAGTAAACATACTAAAAAAATACAAATAAAAAAATCACGTTGAGAAGCTCAGTAGGTAAAAATGTTCCAAAGCCATTGTTGCTGCTCTTCACTCACAAATCATTTAATCCAGATGCCCTTGTCTCCTCTTACCCTCTCTGCCACCCAGGGAGAAAATAGAAATAAAGCTCCTATCATCTTGAGCATCCCCCCTCCCTAGAAAGCCCATAATCTGCTAGCTTGTCATCCTCCTCTCCTCAGCAGTGATTAAGAAACTGGCTCCAAAGAAGATTAAAGCTGCATTCTGTAAGGTACATAGGGAAGGAGGACTCTGAGTTTGAACTGAGCTGCACTTGTGGAACCACCATGGCCCTTGTGCCAGAGAGCAGTGAGATTAGAACTTGGCCTAGAAATAGCCCAGGCTCCTCCAGGTACCCAGAAAGTCCCAGAAGAAATCATACTGTCTGGAAAGACAGAGAAGAAACTAGCACGGTTGAAGAACATCAAGATGTTCAGGTTAGTATTTTCTCACCCTGTGTCCTGCTGCTGGCTCAGCCTCCAGTCTGACTCATGTCTCTACTGTCTTTACTCAGGCTGCCTCTCAAAATTCCCGCTTACCCTCTATTGTGGTAGAAGCATCAGAGGGGAGTGAAGACTATGGGGAGCTACAATGGCCACATAAAGAGCTGCTGCTGCTCACTGATGATGAAGAGGCTGAGACTTTCTTCCAGGACCAAAATGAAGAGCCAGGTGAGCAGGGTGGCTGGCTTTTCAGATGTCTAGACAGGGCTGGGATGGAAAACCAAGTGTGCTCTTTCAGTTGTTTGACATCAAAGTAGGTATTCAGGTAGTAAATGGGCTACTGGTGTCTTAGCAGTTGAAGGCAGATATTTCTAAGGCTGTTACTGGGGTGTGAACTTACTTTGCAGGAAGGCACTCAACACTTGATCTTTAATTTTCAATCTTTTTTTTTTTTTTTGTCGGCCGTGGAGCTTGAACTCTGGGCCTGGGCGCTGTCCCTCAGCTCTTCAGCTCAAGGCGAGCGCTCTACCACTGGAGCTACAGCGCCACTTCCGGTTTTCTGGTGGTTTATTGGAGTCTCACGGACTTTCCTGCCCGGGCTGGCTTTGAACCGCGATCCTCAGATCTCAGCCTCCTGAGTAGCTAGGATTACAGGCGTGAGCCACCAGCGCCCGGCTTAATTTTCAATCTTAATGACGAGCTCCTTAATTCTCCTTCCCCCAGGCTGGGCTTGGAGCCCACAGGACCCCAGTTCTCCCTTAAGAACATTTAACCCTGGAATCAACTGGGAGCAGGAAGAAGAGCAAGATGATTACTGGATTCCTCACAAAGACTGTCAGGAACCTGCAAACCCCTGTCCTCTTGGGGAGACAGGTTCCTGTGTCTGTAGGAGCTGCTTGGTGGAATATTCTCATCTCCCACCTCATACCACCTTTGGGGGTGAGTATTGTCACCTAGTTCGGTTCAGAAACTCATCTTGCCTCTGTTTTTAGTTGAAAGTGACCCAGTCTTTTTCTGAGCACTCACCCCAGACCACCAGGGTATATTCCATGTAATGGGATTTCTAGGCTGAAAGTTAAGTCAACAGAAAAGTCCAGCCATCCATATTGCAAAGGTAAAGCTACCCTCACATCCCTCCTTGCTAAATGGAAAACACCAGATTGGGGACCAAAACGTGTTTTATTGAGAACCTTTTATCAAATAAGCAAAGTAGGTAATGCCCTTGAAAGGACCCAGCTCCTGCACAGTCACAGTTCGGCCATGGGATCTTTGCTCCAAGCAGGGCAGTCGCACATCAGGGTCTTCATCTGAGAACTGAATCAGGGTCCCTCCAGGGCTTAGGACCCTCAGGCATTCTGACAGTAGCTGGTATGCCCCAGGGAGACCACCCCGAGCAACAGCGTCCCAGGTGCCCTTGTCCAACACTAGTTGGAAGGAACCCGAGGGAGCTATAGATGCCATGTTCTGGGCATCAGCATGCATGAAGCGGAGGCAAGAGGCAGGGTGCCCAGGGCGTAGGGGTGCTTGGTTCTGGCCACCCACTAGGAGGCCATTCATGTGGGCCACAGCCACAGAAGAGAAGTCTATACCTAGTACATCCACAGGGTGTGGGGATTTGGTATAGAGGCCCGCGCTGAGGCTAGAGGTCCCACAGCCCACATCCAGCACCCGCAGTGGGCCAGTGGCTCGGGCCTCTTGCAGCAGAGGCAGGAGAAGTTCCTGGATTTCCTCATAGCCAAAGAACCAGTCGAAAGTGGGGACACCGGCCAGACGGGGCTGGGTGTGGAGCCGATCCCAGAGGCGGCGGTCTGCCAGGCAGCTACTGGCCAGAGAGCCTGTGGATGCAGGCGGAGGGTACCCGGTGCTGGGTTTCAACCTCGCCGCTGCAAAAAACGGCTCAAATGTACCCTAGGGTCCTAAGTCATGATTTCAGCGACAAGGAATAGTCACACCCGCATTCCCCCCCACCTCCCCCCCGCCCTGTCCCACCGTCCCTACCGGCCAACATCCGGCGCGCTCGGGCCACCAGAGTCGGCGCTGGGAGCGGTGGGCGGAGCGCGGCCATCCGGAGGTCCCGGCAAGGTCGCGGCGCTGGCTCACGTGGCGGGGGTGGGGGATGGCCCGCACACAGCCTGCGGGACCGAGCCTCGGGTGTAAAGGAGGCGGATGCCGACCTGCGTGGACAGCCTTACTGGCGGCAACAGTACCATGAAGGGAGGAAACACGTCAGCTCTCCACTACGGGGCGGCGAACGCAGACCTGAAATCAGAGAGGTGTGTGAGCCCCTCGCGGAAGGGAACCGCTGCGCTTCACATGTTCCGCCCGGATCGGGGACGCGTGTCCCGGCGCTTGAGGATAGAACCGGCGTACGAGAAGCCGCCGGCACCGAAGACATGACGCCGAGAGGGCTCGAGCCCTTTCCTTCTGCCTCCGTACATAACGGAGATCGGGACTGCACGCCCGCTCCCCGCCAAGAAATGGAGGGCTTGATGGATGCAGGCCGCCTCCCTTCACCCCCGGAACGACCGCTGCCGGCCGAGAAGCCGCCGGAACACGACCCACTTACCAAGGATCCCTTCGAAAGGATACAGCTCGGCGCGAGGTCTCTTATATAGGACCCTGGCACGCCCCCTTGCCGTGATTGGTCCGATGGGATAGGGGGCGGGGTCTCGCGGACGACGCGAAGAGCGGAACTGCGGCCCCGAGTGAACCACGCTGCGATTATGGGTGCTCCGGGAGGAAAGATCAACCGGCCACGAACGGTGACTGTCTGGGAAGTGGGGGGCCGTTTGCGAATGTTTCCCCAAGCTTTTTCAGAGTCTTCTCCTGCACTAGATCGATGGGAAACGGGCTGCCAAGTGCCAGAGGGAACCCGGGTGGCCGAACGCATCCTCAGCTGATTCCATGCTTCCCCCCCCCCCCCCCCCCCCCCGCGCTTTGTAGGAGTTGAAGAAGAAGCTGTTCAAGCGCCGGCGAGTTTTGAACCGGGAGCGAAGACTGAAGCGCAAGGTGGTTGGGGCGGTGATAGACGAAGGGCTGATCACGAGGCATCACCTCAAGAAGAGAGCGTGAGTGCCGATCCTCTTTTCCCTTGGTCCTCCCCATTGATTTCTTATTGTCCTCCCTGCCTTCCAAGCTCCAGAGCAGCCAAAACCTCCCCTGGCGTTTTCTTGAACGCTCATGTTAATACAGAAAAAGTCTCAGCTGTGTTGGTTCCTAAACTATGCTAGCCGCTCACCACACCCGCCTTACAGCTTCTGCAGGATTGTCACTATCACATCTTGTACTAGGTATGTACATTCACTTAAGTTTTTTTTTAAGTACGCTTACTTTTCATACAGAAAAGTGCATCTGTAAGCGTACACAATTCTTTGAATTTTCCTAAAGGTACACACAGGATTTTACTTATGAATGTCAAGACTCTTGATTCTGGGGAAGAGTTTTCATTCGTTAATTAAAGTTTAGTTAAACTTTAATGTTTACTTAAGGATTTTAGGTAAGCAGGATGCTGATAGCTGAAGCCTGTAACCCCAGCTACTCAGGAGATGGACTCCAGTCAGGACCAGAACGTTAGTGAGACTCTTAGCTCCAATTAACAACAGGAAGCTGGAAGGTGTGGTTCAAATGGTAGAGTGCTAGCCTTGAGGGGAAAAAAGCTAAAGTCCCCAGACGCTGTGTACCCACACAAAAGAACAAAAAGGACTTTATTTAATAACCTGATCCTGAAGAGTATGTTGGTTGGAATTAAGTATGTTGGACTTTACTCACAACATGAAAGCCCACACTTTAAGACACTTAAGTTATTTGAAATCAAAGGCTCACTCTTGAAATCAAAGAATCACTCTTATGACCTGGGTTGGTTCAAGTTGACTTGTGTATCCTTGTTTCCTATCTATTGTTCAGGTCCAGTGCTCGGGCCAACATTACTCTGTCTGGGAAGAAGCTCAGAAAACTCCTACAGCAGATCCGGCTTGCACAGAAAGAAAAAGCAGCTATGGAAGGTGAGACTGGGACACAGAGATGGAAGTGAAAGGAAAACAGGGCTTGTTTGGGTTCTTCAATGTTTCCTTCTTCCCTTTGTTCAGTGGAAGCCCCTTCAAAGCCAACCAGGACTAGTGAAGCACAGTGCAAACTACCAAAGAAGATAAAAGCCCCCCAGGATGTAGACATGGAGGACCTTGAAGGGGAGAGCTAAACTCCTCTACCTGGATATTCTCAGCTGGAGCCAGAAGGATTTGGTAGTTGCTTTAAAGGACTTTGGAGAAAGCATGAACCTCTTTCATTTTTCTCAGATTCCACTTCCACAGTGGTCTGCTGACCTTCCCAGGAGGGATGTTAGGAGGGAAAAAGTCACAGAAGAAAGACTGGAGAGCATCCTCTCTAACAATCAAATCCATTTGTAATAAAACCCTAGAGTTTGACTGAGGCATGTATGATTAAGTGTAGAGATGGAGATGGGCTTTGAAAAGAGTATAGGCGGAGATGGGCCAGAAGCAGGACGCACAGAATTTCCTTGAACAAAGGCAAATAAAAACCAGCCTCGCTTACTGGGTGCCAGTAGCTCACACCTGTAATCCTAGTTACTCTGGAGGCTGAGATCTGAGGATTACTGTTCAAAGCCAGCCCAGGGCAGGAAAGTCCATGAAACTCTTAACTTCTAATAAACTACTCAGAAAAAGCTGGAAGTGGCACTCTGGCTCAAGTGGTGGACTAGCCTGGAGCACAAAGAGGCTCAGGGACAGTGCCCATGCCCTGAGTTCAAGCCCCAGAACTAGCAAAAAAAGAAACCAGCCTCTCCAATGGCTCAGCCTCCCTAATGAGTGACACTGTAGCTTTCCATTTCTAACAAAAGTAGAGATTATTAGAGGGGAGGCAGGTATGGATGCTGGTACCAGTCCTGCCCCTACCCCTGTGGTTTTGCCAGGTTGGGCAAATTACGTTACCTCACTTAATCTTGCTTCTTTGGTTTGATGTTTTTAATAAAATAAAGACCAAATGTTTCCCATTGTCCTTTTTTCTTGTGTTGGAGATCAAACCTAGGTGTTCATGCATGATAATCAAGCATTCTACCACTACAGAATCAGCTTCCATATTTCATCTCTAATTAGATACCGTTAATAGACAACTTTTGGGCTAGGAATATGGCTTACTGGCAGAGTGCTTGCCTAGCATGCATAAGCCCTGGGTTTGATTCCTCAGTACCACATAAACAGAAAAACTCAAAAGTGGTGTTGTGGCTCAAGTGGTAGAGTGCTAGCTTTGAGCAAAAGAAGCTCAGAACAGTGCCAAGGCCCTGAGTTCAATCCCCAGAACTGGCCAATTTTTTTTTTTCCTGTCAGCCATGGATCTTGAACTCAGCATTGGTGCTGTCCCTGTGTTCTTCAGCTCAAGGCTAGTGTCTATCACTTGAGCCACAATGCCACTTTTGGTTTTCTGGGACATAAGAGTCTCACAGACTTTCCTGCCCAGGCTGCCTTTGAACCATGATCCTCAGATCTCAGCCTCCTGAGTAGCTAGGATTACAGGCATGAGCCACCAACACCCAGCTGGGACCCAGTGCTTTATTAATTAAGCCAGGCTTTTTGCCTTTTGTTTTTCAAGTAGGGTCTCACTTTTTGCTGAGGCTAGCCTGAGTGGTGATGCTCCTATTTATGCTTCCAGGATGACAAGTGTGCCACCACACATTTCTTTATTTGGTAAGATGGAGTTTCAAGAACTTTTTGTCAAGACGGTCCTGAAATGTCAATAGTAATCTCTAGACCTGCCCCCCATTGAACACAGCGTCTCTAGCTGTTGCTTAGCTATTTGCTCACTGTTGTGGTTCTATCACTTGAGCCATTCCTCTAGTCCTCCATGGCAAGATTACTAAACAGCCATGTCCCAGTTTTTTGTTTTTTGTTTTTCCTGTCCTAAAGCTTGAACTCAGGGCATGGGCACTGTTCTTGAGACTTATCTCTAACTAGCAAAAATATGGAAGTGAAGCTGTGGCTCAACATGGTTAGATCACTAGCCTTGATCAAAAAAGCTCAGGAATGGAGTGCCCAGGCCCTGAGTTCAAACCCCACAACTGATAAAAAAAAAATTCTTGGATTTTCTTGCCTGGGCTGGGTTCAAACCATGATTCTCAGATCTACAAGCATGAACCACCAGTGCCTCTTCCATTACTTTTTTTTTTTTTTGTCGGCCGTGGGGCTTGAACTCTGGGCCTGGGCGCTGTCCCTCAGCTCTTCAGCTCAAAGCTAGTGCTCTACCACTTGAGCCACAGCGCCACTTCCAGTTTTCTGGTGGTTTATTGGAACTAGGAGTCTCACGGTCTCTCCTGCCTGGGCTGGCTTTGAACTGTGATCCTCAGATCTCAGCCTCCTGAGTAGCTAGGATTACAGGCGTGAGCCACCAGCGCCCGGCTCTCTTTCATTACTTTTTATGTAATTATTATTCTACATAATTATACATTAATAATAATTTTATTATTATTACTGTTATCTTTTTTTGAGACAGAATCTCGCTATGTATGTATCCCAGAGAGTCCTGGAATTTGTGGTCCTCCTGTCTTAACCTCCTGGGAGTTGGGATTGTAGATGTATACCAATATGCCTGGATATCGCTGTCTTTTGAAAAGCTCATGAGCTTCATTTTAGTAATTTTATCATTATAAAAATAAGGTTTAAGCCGGGCGCCGGTGGCTCACCCCTGTATTCCTAGCTACTCAGGAGGCTGAGATTTGAGGATCGCGGTTCAAAGGCAGCCCGGGCAGGAGAGACTGTGAAACTCTTATCTCCAATAAACCAACAACAAACGGCAAGTGGTGCTGTGGCTCAAGTGGTAGAGCGCTAGCCTTGGGCTGAAGAAGCTGAGGGACAGCGCCCAGGCCCAGAGTTCAAGCCCCATAATGGAAAAATGTTAAAAAAGAAAAAGAAATCTGGCTGGGACTGTGGCTTAATGGTAGAGTTGTCTTGCATACATGAATCCCTGGGTTCGATTCCTCACTACTACATACACAGAAAAAGCGGGAAGTGGTGTCTATGGGCAGAGTGCTAGCCTTGAGCAAAAGAAGCTCAAGGACAGTGCCCAGACCCTGAGTTCAAGCCTCAAGACTGACAAAAATAAAAACAAAAACACAAAAATCGTGAAATCCATGTGAATGTCACGCCAAGCCTCAATCTGTCAATGGTCCTTTGGCGAGTGGGGTGGGAGGGACGTGTTGATCGGCCGACTTCCTGCTGTCTTCAACGCGCTGCGGAACCCAAGTGCTCGGCTCAGGAACAACGTCGGTTTCGTTTTCCTGTGAGGCTTCCGCGCTAGTTTCTTTCGCGTCTCTCGTCAACGCGCATGCGCCGTCTGAGCTCCGCCGCTCCCGCCTCGGGCTTGGGGTAGGGCTCCGGGATGTCCGCGTTGTGCGACCCTCCCGGGGCCCCGGGGCCTCCCGGGCCTGCCCCCGCCACCCACGGTCCCGCGCCTCTCAGGTAGTCAGAGCCCTTGGTATCTTCCCCCACCGCGCGGCCCCGCGCCGATCCCCAGCCTTCTCGGTAGATACCCGGATCCTACCCCAAGAACTCGCGTCAGGGTTCTAAGAGATTCCGGTTCGCGTCCTCCCAGAACCTGGGGATTGCTTCTCTTAAAAACCCTGGGCTCCAGTGCCCGCCCTCCCAAGATCTTGGTCCTGCCTCTCCCTCCTCCCTATTGCTTACCTTCTCTTGGCTGTGCGGATAACAGAACTCTTGGGAACCTAAGTCATTCTATCCCTTTCAACCTGAAGGAACCCAGAAGGCCTTGACTTTCATAGACTGTGATAATCCAGGTGCAGAAACGTATTGAATGTTTCTGGTAGACTTTTCCCTTGCACTCTCTCCTCATCTTGGGGGTGGATTTTATTTTATTTTGAGGAACCAGAGAGGAATGGCACAGAGGAATGAATGCACAGCCCCTAAAGGATGCTTTCTTCTTTGACAGAAAAGGCAATTTGCCTCTTGCCTTCTAAGAAGGAACCCATATGTTTTCAGAAGGGCAAGGTTGGAAGGCATTACTCTTGTCTGTGCTCTAGGACACTCGATTCTCAGGCACTTTGAAGGTGTTGGGTAGGTGGTGAGTGGCTAGGATTTTTGCACAATATGGAAAGAACAGGTGTTAGGAGGGAGAGCCTTTATTTAGTAAGGGGGTTAATGAGTTTCCATTGCACGGGATTCCAGGATGCTTTTGTTGTGCAGGGGAGTGAGACACAATGTATTTACTCAATTCAACAAAAATTTATACCTCATGTACACCAGCACCTCAATAAAAGGGGATTTAGTGTTGAAAAGTGAGGGAATGGTTCCTATCCTTTTGGAATGTATAGTCTGATCACTTAATTTTGATTATCTTAACTGTAGAGTGGATCATAATTGTGCTTCTTTATTGATCTGTTGTCTGGATTGAAATAATACATGTAAAATAATTTAAAGAGGATCTGTCCTGGCTAGGGGGTGTAGCTCAGGGCAGAACATATGCTTAGCATGTGTGAAGCCTGGGTTCAAGCTTTAATGCCCCCCCTCCCAAAACAAACAAACAAAGGTAGCTGGTCTTTTTGTGTATGTGTCTTATTCAGCATTTTGGTTCACAATTGGCACTCTACACTGGAGCCACAGCTCCAGATCAGCTTTTTTTTTTGCTTGTTAATTGAAGATAGTCTCTTGGACTTTTCTACCAGTGCTGGCTCTGAACTGAGATCTTCAGATCTCAGCGTCCCGAATAGCCAGGATTACAGATGGGAGCCATCAGACCCTGACTGGCAGTTTTTGTTTTGTTTTGTTTTGTTTTTGTCGGTTTTGAGGCTTGAAGTCAGAGCTGACAGTTTTAAGTTATTGACTGCTAGTATTTTTGTTATGGAAAGAAAATGAGCATTTATTGAGTGATAGCTAATGTGATACATGTTTCATAAGCTCTTGTGAAGAAGGTACAATTTATTTTCCTTGTTTTATATAGAAACTTAAACTCACAGAAGGACTGTAACTTACCTAATCTCTCCCAGTGCTGTAAGTCTGCTTTTTTTTTTTTTTGCTTCCTTGTAGTGCTCAGGAGCTGTCCCAGGAAATCAAGGCTTTTCTCACTGGTGTAGATCCTATCCTGGGTCACCAACTCTCAGCCCGGGAACATGCTCGCTGTAGTCTTCTGCTGCTGCGCTGTTTGCCACCTGCTCGGGCTGCTGTGCTGGACCACTTAAGAGGTGTTTTTGATGAGAGTGTCCGGGCCCATCTAGCTGCCCTAGATGAAAGCCCTGTGGCTGGTCCTCCTCACCTCCGTCCACCTCCACCTTCCCACGTCCCTGCTGGGGGACCAGGTCTAGAGGATGTGATACAGGAAGTACAGCAGGTGCTGTCTGAGTTTATCCGTGCCAATCCAAAGGCCTGGGCACCTGTGATTAGTGCATGGTCTATTGACCTCATGGGTCAACTGAGCAGTACCTATTCAGGCCAACATCAGCGTGTTCCCCATGCTACTGGCTCTCTCAATGAATTGCTGCAGCTGTGGATGGGTTGTAGGGCCACCCGTACGTTAATGGACATCTATGTGCAGTGCCTCTCAGCTCTCATTGGTAGCTGCCCAGATGCTTGTGTGGATGCCTTGCTAGACACTTCAGTCCAGCATTCCCCACACTTTGACTGGGTTGTGGCACATATTGGCTCCTCCTTTCCTGGCACTATCATCTCTCGAGTCCTTTCCTGTGGGCTTAAGGACTTCTGTGTCCATGGTGGGGCTGGAGGTGGAGCTGGTGGTGGCGGTGGAAGTTCTCAGGCTCCGTCCACAGATCCATTCCCTGGATCTCCTGTCCTCCCTGGGGAGAAACGGGTGCCCAAGATTGCCTCAGTTGTAGGCATTCTAGGGCACCTGGCCTCCCGCCATGGAGACAGCATCAGGCGGGAGCTCCTGAGAATGTTCCATGATAGCCTGGCAGGGGGCACTGGAGGCCGGAGCGGGGACCCTTCCCTTCAGGCTACAGTTCCCTTCCTACTGCAGCTGGCGGTCATGTCACCAGCTCTACTTGGCACGGTCTCTGGAGAACTTGTGGATTGCCTCAAGCCCCCAGCTGTGCTGAGCCAGCTGCAACAACACCTGCAGGGATTCCCCCGAGAGGAGCTGGACAACATGCTCAATCTGGCTGTGCACCTGGTGAGCCAGGCCTCAGGTGCAGGTGCCTACCGCCTGCTGCAGTTCCTGGTGGACACAGCAATGCCTGCTTCAGTCATCACCACCCAAGGCCTGGCTGTACCAGACACTGTGCGAGAAGCCTGTGACCGCCTGATCCAGCTGCTGCTGCTGCACCTGCAAAAGCTGGTTCATCACCGGGGTGGATCTCCCGGGGAAGGGGTGCTGGGCCCTCCCCCACCTCCCCGCCCAGTGCCCTTTCTGGATGCACTAAAAAACCACGTTGGAGAGCTGTGTGGAGAGACATTGCGGCTAGAACGGAAGCGCTTCCTCTGGCAGCACCAGCTTTTAGGCCTGCTTTCTGTCTATACCCGGCCCAGTTGTGGACCTGAGGCGTTGGGCCATCTACTAAGCCGAGCCCGAAGCCCTGAAGAATTGAGTTTGGCAACCCAATTATATGCAGGGCTGGTGGTCAGTCTCTCTGGCCTCCTCCCCCTGGCTTTTCGAAGCTGCCTGGCTCGGGTGCATGCAGGGACTTTACAACCTCCCTTCACATCCCGTTTCCTGCGCAACTTGGCACTGCTAGTGGGCTGGGAACAGCAAGGTGGTGAAGGCTCTGCCGCCCTAGGGGCTCGCTTTGGAGAGTCTGCCTCAGCCCATCTGTCTGACCTGGCTCCTCTCTTGCTACATCCTGAGGAAGAAGTAGCTGAAGCTGCAGCTTCCCTCTTGGCCATCTGCCCCTTTCCTCTGGAAGCCCTGTCTCCCTCCCAACTCCTGGGATTGGTCAGAGCTGGGGTGCACCGCTTCTTTGCCTCTCTGAGGCTACACGGCCCCCCAGGTGTGGCCTCTGCCTCTCATCTCCTCACCCGCCTTTCTCAGACTTCCCCAGCTGGGCTCAAGGCTGTCTTGCAGCTACTAGTTGAGGGAGCCTTACATCGAGGCAACACAGAACTGTTTGGAGGGGAAGTGGATGAGGACAATGAAAACCTCTCACTTGTTTCAGCTCCTTTGGCATCGGCCTCCCTGTTGGACACAAACCGGCGGCACACTGCAGCTGTGCCAGGGCCTGGAGGGATCTGGTCTGTTTTCCACGCTGGAGTCATTGGTCGTGGCTTAAAACCACCAAAGCTTACGCAGTCTCGAAACCAGCAGGAAGTGATTTATAACACCCAGAGCCTTCTCAGCCTCTTGGTGCACTGCTGTTCTGCCTCCGGGAGCGCTGAATGTGGGGGTTGCTGGAGTGCGTCTACCCTCAGTCCAGAGGCAGCCAAAGCAGTTGCAGTGACCCTGGTGGAGAGTGTGTGTCCAGATGCGGCTGGGGCAGAGCTGGCCTGGCCCCCAGAGGAGCACGCCCGGGCCACTGTGGAGCGGGATCTCCGCATTGGCCGACGCTTCCGAGAACAGCCTCTGCTCTTCGAGCTGTTAAAGCTGGTCGCAGCTGCTCCCCCGGCCCTGTGCTACTGCTCTGTGCTGCTGCGGGGGCTGCTGGCCGCCCTGTTGGGCCATTGGGAAGCCTCCCGCCACCCTGACACGGCTCACTCCCCCTGGCACCTGGAGGCATCCTGCACCCTGGTGGCTGTCATGGCTGAGGGAAGCCTCTTACCACCTGCCCTGGGTAATATGCACGAAGTATTTAGCCAGCTGGCCCCTTTTGAAGTGCGCCTGTTGCTGCTCAGTGTCTGGGGCTTTCTCCGGGAGCACGGGCCCCTGCCCCAGAAGTTCATCTTCCAGTCTGAGCGCGGCCGCTTCATCCGGGACTTCTCTAGGGAGGGTGGGGGCGAGGGCGGCCCGCACCTGGCAGTGCTCCACAGCGTGCTCCACCGCAACGTCGATCGCCTGGGCCTCTTCTCCGGCCGTTTCCAGGCACCCTCACCACCCACCCTCCGTCAGGGGACCTAACCTCCCCCCACCCACCCCGCACCAGCAGCCCACGGAGGTTGAACAGTGAGAGAAGACTTAAAGAGCTGTGCCACAGGAGGGTTCATTTCTACATCCTTAGCTTAATAAGTGCTGTCACTTTTCCCCCACTCTACTTTTTTTCTAAATAAAATTTGCCGAGTTGAGACGAACAGTCCAGTGTTTGTGCCTAAGGTGGGGAGCTGGAGAAATCTTGACAGCACTGAGCGCCCCGCCCCGCCCCGCCCCGCCCCGCCCCGCCTCGGGAGCAGGTAAGGTGTGTGGTCTGCGGATAGGACGGACGGTCGGCCCCTCTTTGCATTCGCCAATCAGGAGGCCGGAAGGGGAGGGCTCTATGATACGTGGCCCTGCGTGCGCAGGGGCGGGGCCGCTCGGGGTCAAGGAGCAAACCGGGCACAAGATGGCGGCGGTAGCGGCAGTGGCGGCGCGTAGGAGGCGGTGAGGAGTCCGGAACCCGGGGGGCGCACCCGGATGCCCCTAACTCCCCAGACCCCATATTGCTCCCTTCCTTACACCCTGTCTGCCACCCTGCTCCCCCTGGCCTCGCGGAGACCCTTTGTTCCTCGAGGCGGCCTCAGGCGCCTCCAGCCCCCCGCGTCGTGGTGGCCCTGGCCCCTGGGGCTCCGGGGCCAGCCCCGGAGTTCAGAAAGGCCGCACCTGCGCGCTCTTCTCGGCCCGGGCCTCTCTCCGCTGCTTAGCTTCCCCGGCGGTTCGCGACACCCAACACCGCCGCCTTCCTCCTGCAGTAGCTGGGTCGTCGGGGGAGGCTAGGGTGGGGGTGCGGGGGGACACACGCACTCCCGTTTCTGGCAAAGCCGCCTGTTGCCTTAGGGCCCTTTAGCCGGGCTGGAAGCTCGCGTCCGCCTCGCCCCGGGGTCTGCCTGGGCTCCATCCCTACTATTGTTATCTTCACGTGAGCACCAGCCCTGGCTAGTGTTCACTTCGGCTGGGGTAGGATCTGTAAGTTCAGAGTCTGCATGGATGATGTTGCTCAAACACGACACGTAATCGAATGGTCTAGTCCTTGCTCTGAAGTTTTAAGTACCGGGGGGCAGAAGGGGAAGGGGTTGGAAACACATCAGCTCCACAAAGCGTTTACCTAACGGATATACTGGGGAAGAGTGGATCATAAACTTAAGCTCTGGGAAGCCTGAGACAATAAACAGGTCTTACTTGCCCTGCAGCTCATGCCTGACTTTTTAGCTTATGAACTCTTCTTGTTAGGGGTGCTCAGAGCATCCCTGGATTCCTAGCTCCTTTAGACAGAGCATAATTAAAAGATATCTAGAAATCCTATTCTCTGCTAAGTGCAGGTATAACTCAAGCTTGTCCATCTTGCTACTCAGAAAGCTGAGATCTGAGGTCAAGGTTCGAAGCCATCCCAGGCAGGAAAGTTCATGAGATTCTTATTTCCAATGAACCAACAAAAAGCCAGAAGTGGAGTTGTGACTCAGTTGGTACAGCTTCCAGGCCCTGAGTTCAAGCCCCAGTACTGGCACAAATCAATAAAATTTGATTCCCCATGGTCATTCCCCCAACTCTAAATACTCCACAGAGTATTTGACGTAACACTGTTGCTTAGGGAAGGATGAATATGGACTCAGTGGTCCAAGATGCTTACTATAGCCATTCTTCAAGAACTCCGCCACATGTCCTTGGCTGAATTTTCTGATAGCATTTATTTTGTTCATTTTGCTGATACAAACCTTGCCTTTTTTCTCACTGGTCTGCTGTGGAGTGCTCACTTGGTAGCCTTGTGGCCCTAGAAAGCTTAGATGTGGGGGCTGGGAAGGTGGCTCAGTGGTAGAGCGCTTGCCTTGCATGCATGAGGCCCTGGGTTCGATTCCTCAGCACCACATAAGCAGAAGAGGCCGGAAGTGGCGCTGTGGCTGAGGTGTTAGAGCGCTAACCTTGAGCTGAAGAGCTGAGGGACAGCGCCCAGGCCCAGAGTTCAGGCCCCATGTCTGACCGGAAAAAAAAAAAAAAAAAAGATACAAAGGCTAAATCCAATGTGTATAGTAGGTCCATCCTGTCTTTAGTAATTCTATTACAAATTGCAAAGTTTTTTTTTTTTTTTTTTTGTCGGTCGTGGGGCTTGAACTCTGGTCTTGGGCACTATCCCTGCGCTCTTCAGCTCAAGATGAACACTACCACTTGAGCTACAGCGCCACTTCCAACAAATTGCAAAGTTTAATTGCCAAGAAGAAATCTGTGTCCCTCTTCTCTACCTCCCCACTTTGGAATCTTCTCCAGCAAGTGCTCCTATACTACTCATATAATAAGAGTTACCAGCTGGCCAGGTGCCAGTTGCTCATACCTGTAATCCTAACTACTCAGGAGGCTGAGATCTGAGAATGGCATATGTGTACACACATATATGTATATTTATTTATTTAGCCAGTCCTGGGGCTTGAACTCAGGGCCTGGGCACTGTCCCTGAGCTTCTTTTTGCTCAAGGCTAGCACTCTATCACTTGAGCCATAGCACCACTTCCAGCTTTTCCTGTGTATGTGGCACTGAGGAATCAAACCCAGGGCTTCATGCTTGCTAGTTAAGCACTCTACCACTAAATCATCAGCTCAAGGCTAGCGCTCTAACACTTGAGCCATAACACCACTTCCAGCTTCTTCTGCTTATGTGGTGCTGAGGAATCAAACCCAGGGCTGCTTGCGTGCAAGGCAAGCGCTCTACCACTGAGCTACCTTCCCAGCCCTCTGTGAGACTCTATTTCCACTAAAACTAAAACTACCAAAAAGAGGGCCGGGAAGGTGGCTCAGTGGTAGAGTGCTTGCCTTGCATGCATGAGGCCCTGGGTTCGATTCCTCAGCACCACATAAGCAGAAAAAAGCCAGAAATGGCTCAAGTGGTAGAGTGCTAGCCTTGAGCTGAAGAGCTGAGGGACAGCACCCAGGCCCAGAGTTCAAGGCCCATGACTGGCAAAAAATAAATAAATAAATAAAAACTACCAAAAAGACAGAAAGTAGAGTTGTGGCTCAAGTGGTAGAGTGCTAGCCTTGAGCAAAAGAAGCTCAGGGATAGTTCCCAGGCTCTGAGTTTTAAGCCCCTGGCCTGACCCTCCGCTCCCCCCAACAACAAAAATACTGAAAGAATGCTGGGCGCTGATGGCTCATGCCTGTAATCCTAGCTACTCAGGAGGCTGAGATCTGAGGATCACAGTTCAAAGCCAGCCCAGGCAGAAAAGTCTGTGAGACTCTTATCTCCAATAAACCACTAGAAATCCGGAAGTGGCGCTGTGACTCAAGCTGTAGAACGCTCTCCTTGAGCTGAAGAGCTCAGGGACAGCGCCCAGGCCCACAACCGACAAAAAAAAAAATAGTGAAAGAAAAGGAAAAAGCTGGTTTCAGTGGTACATACCTGTAATACTAGCACTCTGGAGGCTAAGGCAGGAGGATTGTGAGTCCAAGGCCAGACTTGATTATATACTGATATATAGATCTATATATATTTTTTTTTTGGGGGGTCCGGTCATGGGGCCTGAACTCTGGGCCTGGGCACTGTCCCTCAGCTCAAGGTTAGCACTCTACCACTTGAGCCACAGCGCCACTTCCGGCTTTTTTCGTTTTGCTTATGTGGTGCTGAGGAATCGAACCCAGGGCCTCATGCATGCAAGGCAAGCACTCTACCTCTGAGCCACCTTCCCAGCCCCTATATCTATTTTTTTTAGTGTGTGTGTGTGTGTGTGTGTGTGTGTGTGTGTGTGTGTGTGTGTGTGTCCTGGGGTTTGAACTCAGGGCCTGGGCCTTGCTGTCCCTGAACTGTTTACTTCAAGGCTAGCTCTCTGCCACTTTGAGCCATAGTAGCTCTACTTCTGGTTTTCTGGTAGTTATTTGGACATAAGAATCTCATGGGGGCTGGGAAGGTGGCTCAGTGGTAGAGCGCTTGCCTTGCATGCGTGAGGCCCTGGGTTTGATTCCTCAGCACCACATAAGCAAAAAGAAAAAAGCTGGAAGTGGCGCTGTGGCTCAAGTGGTAGAGTGCTAGCCTTGAGCTGAAGACCTGAGGGACAGCGCTCAGGCCCAGAGTTCAGGCTCTACAACCAGACCCCCCCCCAAAAAAAAAAAAAAAATCTCATGGACTTTCCTGCCTGAGCTGGGCTGGCTTTGAACCGTGATTCTCAGATTTCTTTTTTTTTTTTTTTTTGGTCGGCCGTGGGGCTTGAACTCTGGGCCTGGGCGCTGTCCCTGCGCTCTTCAGCTCAAGGCAAGCACTCTACTGCTTGAGCCACAGCGCCACTTCTGATTTTCTAGTGGTTTATTGGAGATAAGAGTCGCCCGGACTTTCCTGCCTGGGCTGGCTTTGAACCTTGATCCTCAGATCTCAGCCTCCTGAGTAGCTAGGGTTACAGATGTGAGCCACCGGTGCCCGGCTTATTTTTTTCCTATATATTTTTGAAATGGAAAAAGTTTCACTATGTTGCCCAGTTGGGCCTTGAACTCTTAGGCTCAAGCAGTCATCCTGCCTTAGTTTCTAGAGAGCTTTCAGATACCCAGACCCTATTCCAGTCCTGTTAAATCATGTTTTCAGAGGTCGAGACTAGAGCGTTAATACTTTATAAATTGCTGGTAGAGTCCAAAGTTAGGGATATAATACAGCCAACCCCCATGGCTGTGTTATAGGTCATTAGAGTTACAGTTCTTGCTCTTTTCAGCCCTGGATGGTGATGCAAAAGTAGACATGGGGGCTAGGAAGGTGGTTCAGTGGTAGTGTTTGTCTCACATGCATGATGCCCTGAGTTCGATTCCTCAGCAACACATAAGCAAAAAAAGTCAGAAGTTGCACAGTGACTCAAGTGGTAGAGCGTTAGCCTTGAGCTGAAGAGCTGAGGGACAGCGCCCAGGCCCCACGACAGAAAAAAAAAAAAAAAAGTTGACACGGGAGGAACAGAATACCTGGTATACTGTGGGAGTTAGGATCCTTAGGAAATGTGACCTGCAGGCTCGGTAAGGGTGCATCTTTAACTTTACAATTGTAGCTTGAGCCATGCCCATTCATGAAAGGCACAGTTTTCTTTGTTTCTTAGATCCACACATATGGTACCTCCATTTCCTCTGGGATCAGCTGTTATTTTTCTTCTTGAGAGGCTGATGTAACCAGAGTCAATACCAGGACCTCTGAAGACCAAAGTTATTTGTTCCCTTCCTCTTTTCTTTTCTTTTTCTTTCTTTCTTTTTTTTTTTTTTGGCAGGTCCTGGGCTTGAACTCAGGGCCTGGGCTCTGTCCCTGAGCCTCTCTGTGCTCAAGGATAGCGCTCTACCACTTAAGCCATAGTGCCAACTTCTGGCTTTTTCTGAGTAGTTTATTGGACATTAGAGTTTCATTGACTTTCTTGCCCGGGCTAGCTTTAAACCCTGATCCTCAGATCTCAGCCTCCTGAGCTCTTGCCTGTTTTCAATTGTACCAGTACTGGGACTTGAACTCACGGCCTGAAACTTGCTTGGCTTTCTCACTCAACGTTTGTATTTTTACCACTTGGGCCTCAGCTCTAGTAAAGTCTCAGATTTTTCTACCAGGACTGGCTTCAGACAGGGACCCTTAGATCTCCGTGTCCTAAGTAGCTATGTGAACCACCAGCACCTAGCCAGACTTTTTTTTGTTTGTTTTTTGCTGGTTAATTGGAAGTGAAATTTCTTAGACTTTCGTGCCTGGACTAGCTTTGAATTGTGATCTATATCTCAGCTTCTCTGAATAGCTAGGATTACAGGTTGTTTGCCTGGCTTTTAAATTTTATTTCTTATTTTTATTTTTGGGTTGTGGGGTTTGAATTGAAGGTGTGGGCACTGTCCCTACCACTCTGAGCCACAATTCCACTTCCAGTTTTCTGGTGGCTAATTGGAGATAAGTATCTCACAGACTTTCCTGCTTGGGTTGGCTTTGAATCTCAATCCTTTTTTTTTTTTTGTTGGTCCTGGGGCTTGAACTCTGGGCTTGGGTGCTGTCTCTCAGCTCTTCATCTCAAGGCAAGCGCTCTACCGCTTAAGCCACAGCGCCACTTTCAGTTTTCTAGTGGTTTATTGGAGGTAAGAGTCTCATGGACTTTCCTTGCCCCGGCTGGCTTTGAACTGTAATCCTCAGATCTCAGCCTCCTGAGTAGCTAGGGTTACAATGAGCCACTGGCGCCACCCGGCTGGGGTCTCAGGCTTCTAAGTAAGATTACAGGTGAGACTCAACAATGCCCAGCTCCCCTCCTCCATAAAACAATTTGAATAGGTTTCATTTTTTATTTTCATATATGCAAAGAAACTACATCAACCATATTCATCCTCATTCACCCTCTTTGTTAGCCTTCCCTCATCATGTTTGTTCCTTATCCCTCCCTTTCCCGTTCAAGCCTGATATTTTCCTGTTTGTTTTGGTGCTGGCGCTTGCTGTCCCTTAGCTTTTTTACTCAATCCACCTCTACTTCTGATTTTTTGCTGCTTAATTGGAGATAAGAGTCTTAAGGAATTTTTCTGCCTGGGCTAACTTTGAACCATAATCCTCCTATCTTATCCTTTAAAGTAGCTTGGATTACAAGCATGAGCCTTTTAATTTATGTGTATTAATTATATCAGTTGGTTTCAATATTGTATTTTAGATATGTTTATATTAATGTTTTGCTGAGAATAACCCTGTTATTATTTTTTGCTTCTTAAGTACTTTTTATTTTATTGTTATTATTTGGTGGTAATCTAAGGGCCTGAACTCAGGGCCACACAATGTCCCTGAGATTTTTTGCTCAAGGCTAATGCTCTGCCACTTGAGCCACAAGCTCTATTTCCAGCTTTGTTGGTTAATTGGAGAAAAAAAAGAGTCCCTGCCCAGACTGGCCTTCCAACTGTAGTTCTCAGATCTCAGCCGTCTGAGCAGCTAGAATTATTATAGATGTGAGCCGCCGACAGTTGGTTCTCAAGTCCTCTATTGATCAGTAGCTTTCATTGAGGTCCTTACACTGTATTCATACATAGTTGCTCCTCTTGTCTTTTGAAGAGAAGATGTGAGTAAGTCGACTCTTTAGGACCTTCTACCTTGTGTCTACTCTGCCATCTTTTTCTGCTATCTTTTGTATTTAATGTGACTCCATCTTCTCTTTCTCATGAGCTGTCCTATATAGCTATAACAGGCATGGGGCTCTTCCTAACCTCCATGTTGATTCTATCTCTTTGTCCTTTTGTTCCATAGGTCTTGGACAGGCTTGGTACTGGCGTGTTTAGGAGTCTGCTTGGGGATTACCTTTGCTGTGGATAGAAGCAACTTCAAGACCTGTGAAGAGAGTTCCTTCTGCAAGTATGTTATTTGTGGGAGAATGGAATGGAAATGAGGGTAATGTTGGAGGTGGCAATGAATACCTTAGAGATACATAGGAATATTGGGGTACTCTCTTTATTTCCCCATTGTTGCACTTGGCAGGAGGCAGCGCAACATACGGCCAGGACTTTCTCCATATCGTGCCTTGCTGGAGACTCTGCAGCTGGGTCCTGATTCTCTTACAATCCATCTGATCCATGAGGTTACCAAGGTGAGGCAGGGCAAGGAAAAGTAGTAGAGTTAGGGGCATGACTACAGGATAACTTGGGAAGGGGGAGCTTACAGTGAACAGTCTGTGTCAGCCTAATCATTGGCTAGTTATACTTTGTAAACAAATCTAATCTTAGGCCCTTTAGGTCCCTTCAAGAGGGACTGGGTTCAGGGACTTTGCATGGTATAGTCCCTCTAATTTCTCCAAATCCAAACCTTTATCCCCACAGGTGTTGCTGGTGCTGGAGCTCCAGGGGCTTCAAAAGAACATGACTCGGATCAGAATTGATGAGCTGGAGCCCCGGCGGCCCCGATACCGTGTACCAGATGTTTTGGTGGCTGATCCCCCTACAGCTCGGTAAATTTGTCTGAGAAACATACCTTTCCTTTTTGCTCTTTGTCCTTCCCAATGAACTTTTTTTTTTTTTTTTTTTACTAGTCTTGGGGCTTGAACTCGGGGCCTGGGCACTGTCCCTTACCTTCTTTTGCTCAAGGCTAGCACTCCACCACTACCACTTGAGCCACAGTACCATTTCTGGCTTTTTTTCTGTTTATGTGGTACTGGAGAATCAAACCCAGGGCTTCATGCATGCTAAGCAAGCACTCTACCGCTAAGCCATATTCCCAGCCTTGAACCTTCTTTAGGTAGCCAATTTTCCTACATCAGGGTAATACTTAAGTGTTACACTGTGCTACTCTGACTCTTTTTCTATTGCACTTTCATTTACTCTTTTTTTTTTTTTTTTTTTTTTGGGTCCTGTTGTGGGGCCTGAACTCTGGGCTTGGGCACTGTCCCTCAGCTCTTTAGCTCAAGGCTAGCGCTCTACCACTTGAGCCACAGCGCCACTTCCGGCTTTTTGCTTATGTGGTGCTGAGAATCGAACTCAGGGCCTCAGGCATGCAAGGCAAGCGCTCTGCCACTGAGCCAACTTCCCAGCTCCTACTCTTTTTTTTTTTTTTTTTTTTTTTGTCATTTACTCTTTATCTTCATTCAGTAAGCAAGTATTACTTCATCTTCTGTACCTTGGCTGGCCTAGGTGCTGGTTTTATAAGAGAAAGTAAACAAGGCTGATTTCCTACCTTTAGAAATATACTATTGCCGGCCCCATTACTCCTCCACTCCCATTCTATGTTTTTTTTTCCTCAAAAACTACTCAGAATAGCATACTCCATATTTATTTATTCATTCATTCATTTATTGTGCTGGTGCTAGGGCTTGAACTGAGATCCTGGGCTCTGTGCTTGACCTTCTTTTTGCTTAAGACTAGTGCTCTACCAGAGCTCTACTTCTGGTTTTTGGTAGTTAATTGGAGATAAAAGGCTCATAGACTTTCCTTGCTCAAGCTGGCTTTGAACCTTGATCCCCAAATCTCAGCCTCCTGAGTAGCTATGGTTACAGGCAGAAGCCACCAGCACCCCAGCTTTCCCCTTGCCCTTTCCTGTATCCCTTTTCATATCTTTCCCAGGCTTTCTGTCTCTGGCCATGATGACAATAGTGTTGAGCTAACAGTGGCTGAGGGACCCTACAAAATCATCTTGACAGCTCAGCCATTCCGCCTTGACCTGTTAGAGGATCGCAGTCTTCTGCTCAGTGTCAATGCTCGAGGACTCATGGAATTTGAGCACCAGAGAGCCCCCAGGGTCCCGTGAGTACAGGGGTTGGAACAGCAGGGAGTCTACTATGGGAGAGTGTAGGGATATTGTGGGGTATCTAGGTTCCTGGGAGGAGATGGGGTGGCAAGACTGTTGGGTAGTAGCTGGGGGCTGGAGGGGTTGTAGTTTTCTCCATTTTCTATACAGATCAGGAGGCTGTTGCTTTTGTCCCTGAGCTGTGCTTTGGGCACCTCCTCTGGGAGGCCTGCCTGGGTCTATCTCTCCCTCTTCCCCTTCTCATATCATCATATTCCCCATATTTTTTTTCTTTCTTTTAAAAGACATTTATTTATTTATTGGATTCTTTTTCCCCCCATCTCTGGAAGTTTGTCGACTGAAACTCACTTTTATGTTTCTGTTTTTGTGTTGGTTTTGTGCCTCCTTTTCCCCTTCCCTACTCATTTCCTCCTGCCCCAGTTTTTCGGATAAAGTTAGTCTCACGCTCGGTAGCATTTGGGATAAGATCAAGAGCCTTTTCTCTAGGTAAATCCATGGCCACTGGTACTGTATGTGTTCTTCTGTCTTTACCCACCCGTCACGCTGGTCCTCTTGGAAAGGGATCCCAGATCTTTCCATGCCCTGTACTTTACCTCTCCTGCTTTTTCCCACTGTGTGATGTTTTGGCCCTTGTTTTGTGTTGCTCTGGCTAACACACCCCTGGGAGAAAGAAGATGAAGTGCTGCAAGTCCTTAAGGAATGTTAGGAACTTAGTGTTTTGCCAAGGGGTGGAAGGATACTGCTTGTTGCTGGGGTTCTTTACCCTTAGCTGAGGTGGAACTGAGGTCCCAGACAGCCGCTTGCCAGCTGCCTGAGAGCATTCTTTAGAAGAACCTTTTGAAGTTTTTGTTTGTGTCTGGAGAAGTTTACTATGGTCTGACTTCCCTTGCAAAACCATGTGTCAGGCCAAGTGTCTGAAGCCAGTGAGAAAGTAGCTGGAATCAGAGTATCTTAGGAGAGGCATCAGAGCTAGGAGGACTAACATTCAGAACTCAGGCCCCTGAACCACCCTGCTTGTCTCTTCTAGATGCTGGCAGAGGCTGGTGATTTGCCCCTGTATGTAGAAAGTATTTCCTGGTGGGAGGTGCACACAACTCCTCATTTTCTTTTCTCAGTTTGTTCCCCATCTTTTGAAAACTTAACTGGTTCCTGGGGTCCCTCTCCAAGCTTTAACGTTCAGTCCCTTCCTCCAATGCTTTCATTCCTTTGGACCCTTGGCTCTCTATTCCCCTACCCCTCCTTCCACTAGCCCCTCGTCCCTGCCCCCTCTGGATTGGAGCAGACAGCTCTCCTACCTTCCAGGCAAGGATCAAAAGACCCAGCTGAGGGCGATGGGGCCCAGCCTGAGGAAACGCCTGGGGATGGTGACAAGGCAAGTTGGAGGGGGTGGGTGGTTGGAGGATAGGGCTGGCTGGGATGTTGGATGGGAGAGTCCCATAAGAAACTTTAGATGAGGGAGCTGGGAGACATGGCTTGATTGGTAGACCACCAGCTATAAGTAAAAAAAGCTGAGTGAGAGTGCGAGGTTCCAAGTTCAAGCCCCATAACCTGCATATTAAAAGAAAAATAAAAAATACAAACTCAGCGAGGTTCACCATGAGGGATGGGATTTAGAAAATGAGAGAAAGAAAAACTGGTGTATGATTGGGTAGTGGTCCACTTTCCTTCTTACAGCCAGAGGAGACCCAGGGGAAAGCAGAGAAAGATGAGCCAGGAGCCTGGGAGGAGACATTCAAAACTCACTCTGACAGCAAGCCATATGGTGAGGGGCTGGGAGAGCCCTGGGCAGGGGCACAGGGAGTCCTTGCTTAAGAACAACCACTGGAGCTCAGCCTTGGGTTCTTTTCTAGGCCCTACGTCTGTAGGTTTGGACTTCTCTCTGCCAGGCATGGAGCATGTATATGGGATCCCTGAGCATGGAGACAGCCTGAGGTTGAAGGTCACTGAGTAAGTCCCCTAATGATACCAGAAGGAGGAGGGAGAAGTGGGTGGAAGTCTGATCTTTGGGAGGTGGGTATGATGATGGATAGTCCAGAAAAGCATGGATCACTTTCTTTTTTTTTTTTTTTTTTTTTCTTTTGGGCGGGGAGGGGGGGGGGGGGGTCCGGTCGTGAGGCCTGAACTCTGGGCCTGGGCGCTGTCCCTCAGCTCATCAGCTCAAGGCTAGCGCTCTACCACTTGAGCCACAGAGCCACTTCCGGCTTTTTTCTTTTTGCTTATGTGGTGCTGAGGAATCTAACCCAGGGCCTCATGCATGCAAGGCAAGCTCTCTACCACTAAGCCACCTTCCCAGCCCCGCATGGATCACTTTCTGTGCTTAGTCATTATGGTGGTTCAGAAAGTTCCACATAAGCAAAAAGGAAAAAGCCAGAAGTGGCGCTGTGGCTCAAGTGGTAGAGTGCTAGCCTTGAGCTGAAGAGCTGAGGGACAGCATTCAGGCCCCACGACCGGACCCAAAAAAAAAAAAAAAAAAGAAAAAGAAAGTTCTTTAAGAAAGGACAATTACTTCTCATCACTGACCTGAATCAGGTAGGATTTGGAGTACTGCAACTGGGGCCAGTTCTTAGCTTAGGCCTGTCTGTCTGTTTGCTACCAGGGGTGGTGAACCATATCGCCTATACAACTTGGATGTATTCCAGTATGAGCTGGATAACCCCATGGCCTTGTATGGGTCTGTGCCTGTGCTCCTGGCACATAACCCTCATCGAGACTTGGGCATCTTCTGGCTCAATGCTGCTGAGACCTGGGTTGATATATCCTCCAACACTGCAGGAAAGGTAAGAGTAGGGGGAGAAAGCAGGGCCTGAGCTAGGCAGTGATGGCTCACACCTGTAATCCTAGCAACTCAGAGGCTGAGATCTGAGTTCAAAGCCAGCCCAGGCAGGAAAATCCGTGAGACTTTTATCTCCAATAAACTACTCAAAAAAAGCCAGAAGTGGAGCTGTAGTTCAGGTGGTAGCTTTGAGCAATGAAGCTCAGAAACAGTGCTTAGGCCCTGAATTTAAGCCCTGGGACTGGCACCAAAAAAGAAGAGATTGAGATTTGAGGATCAGGATTTGAAGTCAGTCTGGGCAAGAAAGTCCATGAGGCACTTTAGCTCCCAAATAGCCAAAAGTGGAGGTATAGCTTGAATGATGGAAAGCCAGCTAAAGCACAGTGCCCAAATGCCGGGTTCAAGCCCCATTACCACATACACCAAAAAAAGAAGGAAGAAATTAAGATATGCCAGGTGCCAATGGCTCCTGCCTATAATCCTAGCTACTCAGGAGGCTAGGATTATGGTTCAAAGATCATGGTTCAAAGCCAGCCCAGACAAGAAAGTCCCCATAAAACTCTTATCTCCAATTAACTACTCAAAAATTGGTAATAGAGCAAAAGAGCTCAAGGACAGCATCTAGGCCTTGAGTTTAAGCTCCATGACCAACCGAAAAAAAGAAATAAAGATGTGAGTTTTAAAGAAACTGGTGACATAGCCTGTTTTAGGCATTTTAGAAACCTTCTGCTTTCTCTAGTCACTGCCAAATGCCCACACTTAAGGAAGGCATTGCCAACTGTGGCCTGAGGGCATGCATTTGTTATGGGTATAGCATGTGCTAGGCACTCTTCTAGGTGCTGGGGACATGGGCTTACTGAGCTTTGACAGGTTCTCCATTCCCAGGAAGACTTTCACAGCAAGATGAATTCAAGGTGGTAATTGCTAACATTGAAACAGTCATGGAGATGGGGGTAGGTATGTACTGCTTTAGACAGTGTGGTACACAAAAGCCTTCCTGGGGAGGTGACATTTAATATTAGACCAAAATAAGACATTAGGAGTCAAAATAAGACCTTGAGGAGAATATTGCTGCTTTTATATGGAATTGGAAAATTTAAGGGCTTATTTGCCTTTGATCCCTTCTGTAGACTCTGTTTGGGAAGATGCTTGACTACCTGCAGGGTTCGGGGGAGACCCCACAGACAGATGTCCGTTGGATGTCAGAGAGTGGTATCATTGATGTCTTTCTTCTGCTTGGGCCTTCTGTCTTTGATGTCTTCAGGCAGTATGCTAGTCTCACAGGTAGGTGATTGGGCCCAATCGGCTAACTTACAGCCTCATTTTTTTGTTGTTGTTGTTGGTCGTGGGGCTTGAACTCTGGGCTTGGGCACTATCCCTCAGCTCTTTAGCTCAAGGCGAGTGTTCTACTGCTTGAGCCACAGCGCCCTTTCGGTTTTCTAGTGGTTTATTGGAGATAAGAGTCTCATGGACTATCCTTGCCCAGGCTGGCTTTGAACTGTGATCCTCAGATCTCAGCCTACTGAGTAGCTAGGATTACAGGCGTGAGCCACCGGCGCCAGGCTTACAGCCTCATTTTTTTCCTCTTGTCTTTTGTACACTTTCAGAAGTTTTGTGTTTCAGTCTCTTTACTAGTGCTATACTCTCAGCCTCCTTCTCTTATGTCTCCCTCAGTTTCTGGGACGGCAAGGATCCATCCCCATTAATACCCCACATCCTTTATAAACCTACAGGAACCCAGACATTGCCCCCACTCTTCTCCCTCGGCTACCACCAGAGCCGTTGGAACTACCGAGATGAGGCTGATGTTCTGGAAGTGGATCAGGGTTTTGATGATCACAACATGCCCTGTGATGTCATCTGGCTTGATATTGAACATGCTGATGGCAAGCGGTACTTCACCTGGGACCCTAGCCGCTTCCCTCAGCCCCGCACCATGCTTGATCACTTGGCCTCCAAGAGGCGGAAGGTAAAGGGGTTGCAGCCATGGTCAGTGATCTCTTGGTAAGGCGGAGGCCAGATAGCCTTGGAGATATCTGACCAACCACTTTTGTGTTCTTTGCCCTCAGCTGGTGACCATCGTGGACCCTCACATCAAGGTGGACTCTGGCTATCGTGTTCATGAAGAGTTAAAGAACCAGGGCTTTTATGTTAAAACCCGGGATGGCTCTGACTATGAGGGATGGTGCTGGCCAGGTAGGCAGGCCTAAGCTTGAAGGAGAGGCAGATGGAAGGCCAGGGAGGTAGAATGGTGACTTGGTCCTGGGAGGAAGAGGGAGGTATTTGACCACCACCTTTATCCCCTTCCAGGCTCAGCTGGTTACCCTGATTTCACTAATCCCCTCATGAGGGCCTGGTGGGCTAACATGTTCAGCTTTGACAATTACGAGGTAGGAAAGGCTTCTCCTTATGACTCTTGTTCTTCCTACCCTGCCTGCATGATAAAGAGCCTTCCTGGTTGCCACTCTGCTTTGTTTGGATGCCTGTGACTTTCTGTGGGCCCTTGATCTGAGGAAATAAATCTTTCTAGATTCCTAGGAACTCTCAGACTGACACTGCCTGTCTTCTTCCTTCTTGTCTTCTGTCCATATTACCTGCTATATTCCCAGGGCTCAGCTCCTAATCTCTATGTCTGGAATGATATGAACGAACCATCTGTTTTCAATGGTCCTGAGGTCACCATGCTCAAGGATGCCCAGCATTACGGGGGCTGGGAGCACCGAGACATCCATAACATCTATGGCTTCTATGTGGTAAGAGACTGAGAGAGGAGAGTTGGTGGAAAGAAAAAAGAGAGGCTGGGAATGTGGCTTAGTGGTAGAGTGCTTGCCTAGCATGCATGAAGCCCTGGGTTTGATTCCTCAGTACCACAGAAACAGAAACAGAAAAAGCCAGAAGTGGCATTGTGGATTGAAGTTGTAGAATGCTAGTCTTGAGGGGGAAAAAAAAAAAGCCAGGTGACAGTGGCTCACACCTGCAATCCTAGCTACTCAGGAGACTGAGATCTGAGGATCATGGCTCAAAGCCAGCCCAGGCAGAAAAGTCCCTGAGACTCTTATCTCCAATTAATCACCAGAAAACCAGAAGTGGCACTGTGGTTTATGCAGTAGAGCGCTTGCCTTGAGCTGAAGAGCGCAGGGACATCGCCCAAGCCGAGTTCAAGCCCCATGACCGACCAAAAAAATTGCCCAGGGACAGTAACCAAACCCTGAGTTCAAGCCCCATGACCAAAAAAAAAAAAAAAAAAGAGGGGCTGGGAAGACAGCTCAGTGGCAGATGCTTGTCTTGCATGCATGAGGCCCTGGGTTTGATTCCTCAGCACCACACAAGCAGAAAAAGCCAGAGGGCTGGGATGTAGCTCAGTGGCAAAGCGCTTGCCTAGCAAGTGCAACGTCCTGGGTTCGATCCCCAGTACCAAAAAAGAAAAGACAAAAAAAATACAGTTAAAAAAAAAAAACCAAACAAAGAAAAAGCCAGAAGTAGAGCACTCACCTTGAGCTGAGGAGCTGAGTTCAAGCCCCATGACCGACAAGAACAAAGAAAAAAGATAGATCCTAGGACTTGAGGATCAGGCATCTTACAACGGATAACAGGACTCTTGTTCTCACTGCCTTTTTTTCTTCTCTCTACTCAGCACATGGCCACTGCAAATGGGTTAATACAGCGTTCTGGTGGAATAGAACGGCCCTTTGTTCTAAGCAGGGCTTTCTTCGCTGGCTCCCAGCGTTTTGGTAAGACTTTGAGTATAGAGCTTTAGCAAAGGGGGAATACCAGATCAAAGGAGCCACACCCAGGCCTAGCTTTTGGAAAGCTGTTCACTGAATCTCCCTATCTCTAGTGTTCTTTCAGTGGAATCAAAGAGGGCAGGAGAAAGTCCCTATTTGAGTTCTTGGGAGTTAGATGCCAGTTGATTACACTTGTAGTCCTTGTTACATAGGAAGCTGAAATCTAAAAGATTTGAAGCCAACATGAGCAGAAAAGTCTGTAAGACTCCCATTTCCAAAATAACCAGAAAAGGCTGGACTAGAGGCCCTGAACAAGGCCCTGGGTTCAAACACCAGTACTAGCATGCATAAATATAAAATTCTTGTGAACGCTGCACCCCTATCTTCTGCTTCTGGGGACCTGAGAGTAGATGTAGAGCAGAGCAGTCACTTTCTTGAAATGCTAAGGCCTTTTCTATTTAACCTCTTGTCTTCTTCAGGAGCCGTGTGGACAGGAGACAACAGTGCTGAGTGGGACCATTTGAAGATCACCATTCCTATGTGTCTCAACTTGGGGCTGGTGGGACTTTCCTTCTGTGGGGGTAAGAGAGGGGAATTTAGGGTCTTGTTTGGTAGGAGAGGGGCAAAGTAGAGGTCTTAGGACCTAGGCATGAACACAAAACTACAAATTGGGAGTTGTGGGTATTTGGCTTGGGCAGTTCATCAGGCAGCATCTTTCCTGAACACTCTTTCCTAATTGCTTTTCCCTCCCTTTCTCAGCGGATGTGGGTGGCTTCTTCAAAAACCCAGAGCCAGAGCTACTTGTTCGCTGGTACCAGATGGGTGCCTATCAGCCATTCTTCCGGGCTCATGCTCACTTGGACACTGGGCGGCGGGAGCCGTGGCTCTTAACAACTCAGAACCAAGATGTAATCCGAGATGCCTTAAACCAGCGATATTCTCTGCTGCCCTTCTGGTACACTATCTTCTATCAGGCCCATCGAGAAGGGTTTCCTGTCATGAGGTGAGGCATTTTGGGGGCTCTATGTAGAGCAGGCTGAGAGTGGCTGGGGAATAGTGGGAACTGGTTCATATCTCCTTTCAGCAGACCTTGAACAGGAGGGAAATCTCATCTTGGGAATTAGAGGGGAGCCAGGCACTGTTGGCTCACATGTGTAATCCTAGCTACTCAGAAAGCTGAGATCCAAGGATCACAGTTCAAAGCCAGCCCAGGCAGGAAAATCTGTGACTCTTATCTCCAATTCACCACACAAAAAAAGTGATCAAGTGGTAGAGCACTAGCTTTGAGCAAAAAAGCTCAGGGACAGCAGCCAGGCTGGGTGTTCAAGCCCTAGTACTGGCACCAAAAAATAAAAATAAAGGAAATATTGGGCATTGTGGCACATGCCTCAGGAGTTGAAGAGTTTAAGACCTGAGCTTCAGAGCTAGACTCTGTAAAAAAAAAAAAAAAAAGTGAAAGACTAACAATAACTAATAAGCCAGGTGCTAGTGACTCACCTATAATCCTAGCTGCTGAGGACGCTGAGATCTGAGGATCATAGTTCAAAACCAGTCTGGGCAGGACTCATCTCCAGTCAATTACCAGACAAGTAGCACTGTGGCTCAAAATGGTAGAGTGCTAGCCTTGCATAGAGAGGCTCAGAGACAGTGCCCAGGCACTGAGTTCAAGCCCCAGGACTAGCAAAAAAAGAAAGAAAGAAAGAAAATTACCAACAGTAATAAACTTTGACAAAAGTAAAACAGGATAATGAAATCAAATGCTCACAAAAATGCTCCTTTTTTTGGGGTGGGGGAGGGGTCAGCATGGGGCTTGAACTCTGGGCCTGGGCGCTGTCCCTCAGCTCTTCAGCTCAAGGCTAACATGCTATTACTTGAGCCACAGTACCACTTTTACAAAAATCCTCTTTGATAAAGCCATGAGTGGGGCTGGGAAGGTGGCTCAGTGGTAGAGTGCTTGCCTCGCATACATGAGGTCCTGGGATCAATTCCTCAGTACCTCATACGCAGAAAAAGCTGGAAGTGGGTGCTGTGGCTCAAGTGGTAGAGTGCTCACCTTGAGTTGAAGAGCTCAGGGATAGGCCCAGAGTTCAAGCTCCATGACCAACAACAACAACAAAAAAAAGCCATGAGTGCTGAGTAAGATGAGTGCTGAGTGCTGAGTTGGATAGACTTTTGTGATCCTGAGGAACAATGTTCCAAGCAGAGCAGGCTGCAAGTCTAAAAATTCTAAAGTTTAAAAAAGAAAAAGTCTGAAGTGAGTTTGTTGTGTTCCAGGAATAGATAAAAAGACAGTGGGCCTTGGGTAAGGACTCCTTAGGAGAGATTGGAATTTAGAAGAAAATCTGATGTAGGGCTGGGAAGGTGGCTCAGTGGTAGAGTGCTTGCCTTGCATACATGAAGCCCTGGGTTGGAGTCCTTAGCACCACATAAGCAAAACAAAAGAAGCCGGAAGTGGCGCTGTGGCTCAAGTGGTAGAGTGCTAGCCTTGAGCTGAAGAGCTGAGGGACAGCGCCCAGGCCCAGAGTTCAGGCCCATGATCGGACCCAAAAAAAAAAAAGAAAAAGAAAATGTGATGTAATCCCGTTGTGCCCCCTGTGCAGTGCACTATACTGCAGCATGCAGGGAGGCTTCTCAGTGGTTGCTGTGCAAAGCAGTTGATGGGTGAGGAACAGGAAGGTGGGATAGACCAGACAAGATAAGGTTGTGACAATTGTCAGCAAACTCCTAGACCTTTCTTACTCCCGTGCTTTTTTTGGTTGGTCGTGGGGCTTGAACTCTTGGGCTTGGGTGCTGTCTCTCAGCTTCAGCTCAAGGCAGGCATTCTACCACTTGAGCCACAGCGTCACTTCCGGTTTTCTAGTGGTTATTGGCGATAAGAGTCTCACCAACTTTCCTTGCCTGGGCTGGCTTTGTACCTGGATCCTCAGATCTCAGCCTCCTGAGTAGCTAGGATTACACACATGGGCCACTGGCACCCGGCTTCCTGTGCTGTTCTTATTGCCAGTTCTTGGGGATTACTGAGAATGTCTTTCTCTTTCTGCTTCCTCGCTAGGCCCCTGTGGGTACAGTATCCTCAGGATGTGACCACCTTCAGTATGGATGATCAATTCCTACTCGGTGAGAATTGGTTGGGGTGGAGCTGAGAAATTCTTAGTTGTGGAGACCCAAGAAGGGTTAGTGTGTGTGGCTGGTGGTACAGGGGACAAATGTTCTGGTGTTGCCCACTTAGCCTGGGACCTGATCCCCTAGTTACAAGTTGATTCTTGTGTGTTTTAGGGGATGCACTTCTGGTTCATCCTGTATCAGATGCTGGGGCTCATGGTGTACAGGTCTATCTGCCTGGCCAAGGGGAGGTGAGTTATGGAAAGGCATAGACAAAAAGTAAACAACATGGAGCCGGGCGCTGGTGGCTCACACCTATAATCCTACCTACTCAGGAGGCTGAGATCTGAGGATCACGGTTCAAAGCCAGCCCGGGCAGGAAAGTCCGTGACTCTTATCTCCAATAAACCACTAGAAACTGGAAGTGGCATTGTGGTTCGAGCGGTAGAGCACTTGCCTTGAGCTGAAGAGCACAGGGACAGTGCCCAAGCCCAGAGTTCAAGCCCCAAGACCGACCAAAAAAAAAAAAAAAGTAAACAAGCTGGGCGTCCCTGTGCACTGAGCAACTGAACATCTTATCCTCACAGGTATGGTACGACAGTCAAACCTATCAGAAGTATCACGGTCCTCAGACCCTGTACTTGCCTGTGACTCTAAGCAGTGTGAGTATACCAGTTCTGTCTGCCTGTAGGTTTCCAGATGAGGAGGGGAACACAGTGTGTGTACTTGGAGGTCTGGTACCTGTGTGCACATAGTAAGAACAGAAAGATGTTGTGGGTGTAAGTGGTGACTTCATCCTAGCACTGCTTTTGTCCTAGATCCCTGTGTTTCAGCGTGGAGGAACAATTGTGCCTCGATGGATGCGTGTGCGGCGCTCTTCAGACTGTATGAAGGATGACCCCATCACTCTGTTTGTTGCACTCAGTCCCCAAGTGAGTGCCTGCGCAGAGAGCCACCTCACCTAACTGCCTGCCATCTTGGGACTCAGTCCCCTGGGGATGAGCTCTTGACTTCCTCTTTGCTCAGGTGCTCAATTGTCCCATTTACTGCTCAGGGTACAGCCCAAGGAGAGCTCTTTTTGGATGATGGGCACACATTCAACTATCAGACTCGCAATGAGTTCCTGTTTCGCCGATTCTCCTTCTCTGGCAACACTCTTGTCTCCAGGTAATGGGATCCCTCTAGCAGGGGCTTGGTCCTTGGGGATGTCACTATTGACCGTGCTCTTCTCTCATCTCCTGACCTTGCTTTGGGTAAGAAGTTCCTTCTGTTTTTAACATCTTTTCCCTGTTGGGCATCTGCTTTTGCCACCTCCAGCTCAGCAGACCCCAAAGGCCACCTTGAGACACCCGTCTGGATTGAGCGAGTGGTGATAATAGGGGCTGGAAAGCCAGCAGCTGTGGTGCTCCAGACAAAAGGTTAGTGACAGATTGGACCCAGGATGGCGGACGAGAGGAAGCAGAGGCAAGGTTGATAGGGTTGGGATGGCCTTTCCTGTTAGCCAACCGTGGTACTCTTGTTCCTCTCTTAGGATCTCCTGAAACCCGGTTATCCTTCCAGCATGACCCTGAGACTTCTGTGTTGATCCTGCGTAAGCCTAGTGTCAACGTGGCATCGGATTGGAGTATTCACCTCCGATAACCCAAGGGATATCTTCTTGGTTGGGGAGAAGGGTGTGGTGGTGGTGAGAGTTAACCCTTCTGCCTTGAAGTTTGACCCTCCCCAGACTTTGCCCTATTCCAAGACCCAGATTCTTACCAACATCTGGGTAGGATGTCAGGACTGTCCTTGAGCTCCAAATTTCTTTTGTGACCTCTTCATTTCTGTTCTCTGACACCAAGCCTTCCCCTTCATCCCGCAACATCCTGTTGCTCTAACTGGAGCACACTCACTTGTGAAGACCTGAGAACTACAAGGTCCTTGCCTGCCCATTTTCTCCTCCTTAGGGACCCTGACTTCCCCAGACCCTGTCCATTCATGTCACTTGTGTGTTGATCCCATTTCTTGGAAGAAGATGAGGGCAGTGAACTTTAGTGTTCCTTTTCTCCTTCCTTCCCACCCCCACCTGCCAAACTGCCCTCCCTTGTTTTTTGTTTTTTCATTCCCCTGGCTCTACTCTGCCAACTTTCCCCTTTCTCTGCCCCACTGATACACTGGGACCACCCCTTACTAGTAAGGGATGAATGGAACAAGAGTGAGGTTGCTTCCCTCTCATCCCAACCACCCTTTCCCTCCTCCCCACTTCTTTCCAGAGCTGCTGCAGTTCTGTGGGGGCAGCTCTATCCCTATCCCCTGGGAGAGAGACCATTTCCACACCTCCTTAACTAAGAAGGGATGGGTGTTAAACTTTTGCCCCCTTCTGGTCCCCTGGGGCATTCAAGATGAAGAAGTCAGTTGTGGTTTCATTGAATCACGGTCACCTGTATTTATTGCTGGGAGAAAGCTGAGGGTGGGGGGAGATGATCATGTGTACCCAGGGTTGGCCAGAGCCCTGGGTGGGAGGTGGGTGGGGAAACTGGGGGAATATTTGTGGGATTTTTTTTTTACTTCCTCTTGGCCCCCAGCTGTGACAGATTTTGATAAAAGGAGAAATAATAAAAAGATAAACCATAACTTACTGCCAAGTGTGTGAATTCTAGTAGTAACCCAAGTATATTCTAGAAGCCCATAAACCTGCCATTTGCATCTGGCTCCAGCATAAGCTTCATCATTTCAATAAGATGAGTAAACAGAAGCCTTCCTCAGCTTGTTAGATGCCAGCAAAGCCCTGGATTTTAAAGTAGACTTGGTAGCCAGGCACTGGTGGCTCATGCCTGTAATCCTAGCTACTCAGGAGGCTGAGATCTGAGGATGATGGTTCAAATCCAGCCTGGACAGGAAAGTCTGTGAGACTGTTATCTCCAGCAAACTACCAGAACCCTGGAAGTGGTGCTGTAACTCAAATGGTAGAGCACTAACTATGAGCTGAAGAGCTCAGGGACAGCACCCAGGCCCAGAGCTCAAGCCCCATGACCAACAATAAATAAATAAACTTGCTTACTAAGTGGTAATCAGAGTTGACAATGTTTCTTGGATATAACAATATCAGATGGCAGTGGTCTCTTGGAGGAAATTAAAGTCATGTTTTCAAAGTAGAAGCTGTTTCTAGATGACAATATTAAAAAAAAAAATCTTCCATTAATCCAGGCACCAGTGATTTACCTCTATAATTCTAGATACTCAGGAGGCTGAGATCTGAGGATCCAGGTTTGAAACCATCTGGGCAGAAAAGTCCCACTGAGACTCTTGTCTCCAATTACCCACTAGGAAAGAGGAAGTAGAGCTATGGCTCAAAGTGGTAGAATGCTAGCTTTGAGCAAAAGAGATAAGGGAGACAGAACCCAGGCCCTGAGTTCAAGACCTAGGACTGACAGAAAAAAGAAACGGACTGGAAAGGTGGCTCAATGGTAGAGTGCTTGCCTCACATACATGAGGCCCTGGGTTCATTCAATTCCTCAGCATCACATAAGCAGAAAAACCCAGAAGTGGTACTGTGGCTCTAGTGGTAGAGCAATAGCCTTGATCTGAAGAGCTGAGAGACAGTGCCCAGGCCCAGAGTTCAGGCCCCACGACCGACAAAAAAAGAACATCAAGATTTTTTTTTTTAAGGAGGCCCTTAGATTTGTTGTTTTGGGCATTGACATTTGTACAATGGAGGCAGAAATTGCTGATTCCAGATGGCTTCTAGGGTTCTGATTTGTGGCCAGTTACATTTTTGAGTTATTCACACTTCTACTTTCTGCTTCTCTTTGTAGTTATTTCTGCATAATTTTTAAAAAGCTTTACACAGGGCTGGGAATGTGACTTAGCATTAAAGTGCTTGCCTAGTATGCACAAAGCCTTAGGCTTCATTCTTCAATACCACATAAACAGAAAAAGCCAGAAGTGGCACTATGGCTTAAGTGGTAGAGTGCTGACTGAGCAAGAGAAGGTCAGGGACTGTGCCTAGGCCCTGAGTTCAAGCCCCAAGACTGTCAAAGAGGGAGGGAAGGAGAGGAAGGAAGGAAGGAAGGAAGGAAAAAATGGTAATGTGGAACTCAGCAAATCATTTAATTATAATTGGTGCAATCAGTCAGCAAAGCCCAGGGTCTAAGAAACCCTAGACTCAGAGTCACTGAGATAGAGCCACCTGGCCACCTGGGGGAGACAAGAGGACCGTTGAAGATAGAAGCCACAGCAAATATTATTTTGGGTCTGGTCATGGGCCTGAACTCTAAGCCTGGGCGCTGCCCCTCAGCTCTTCAGCTCAAGGCTAGCGCTCTACCACTTGAGCCACAGCGCCACTTCTGGCTTTTTTTTTTTTGCTTATGTGGTGCTGAGGAATCGAACTTAGGGCCTCAAGCATGCAAGGCAAGCACTTTATCACTGAGCCACCTTCCCAGCCCCCACAGCAAATATTAGAAATAAAGCATTTCACGCCGAGCGCTGGTGACTCACACCTGTAATCCTAGCTACTCAGGAAGCTGAGATCTGAGGATCTCGGTTCAAAGCCAGCCCAAGCAGGAAAGACCGTGAGACTCATCTCCAATAAACCACCAGAAAACTGGAAGTGGCACTGTAGCTCAAGTGGTAGAGTGCTTGCCTTAAGCTGAAGAGCTGAGGGACAGCGCCCAGGCCCAGAGTTCAAGCCCCATGACTGACAAAAACAAAACCAAGAAAATAAAGCATTTCACACTGTTGTCCTGGACTTCATTCATTGAGTTGCTGAGTCAATCTGAGGAGGCTACAGTGCAGGTCTGGCATTGAGTTGCAACACTAGCAGGCATTGTCTGCTGATCTGCAGCACTAGTATGTGCTGCCTCCTAGTTATGGAAGCCAAGTGGTCTCCAGGCTGGTGTTGGCTCTGCTACTTAGGAGGCTGAGACCTGAAGGATCTTAATTCTAAGCCAGCCTGAGCAGAAAATGCTATAATATTCCATGTTTAATTAACCATGCTGGACTGAAGGTGTGGCTCAAGTGGTAGACATACAAACTAAGCAAGAAGGTTGAATGATAGCCAAGGCACCAGCTGGGCATCTGTGGCTCATGCCTATAACCCTAGCTAATCAGCCCTGAAATCCTAGCTACTCCAGAGGCTGAGGTCTCGGGATCATGGTTCAAAGCCAGCTGGGGCTGAGACTCTTCAATTAACCACCTGAAAACTGAAAGTGGTGCTGTGGCTCAAATGGTAGATCACTCCCTTTGAACTGAAGAGCTGAGGGACAGCCTGTGCCCAGGCCCAGAGTTCATGCCTCATGAGTGAAAAAAAAAAAAAAAAAGCCAAGGCAAAGTGGTAGAGTGCTAGCCTTGAGCTGAAGAGCTCAGGGAACAGCACCCATGCCCAGAACTCAGGCCCCATGACCAAAAAAAAAAAAACAAAAAAAACTTGGAGTTCAATTTCAATAAATAGTATTTATTTTTGCTGGTCCTAGGGACTTGAACTCAGGGCCTGGATAGCCTTTTTGTGCTCAAGGCTAACCCTCTACCACTTGAACCACCTCTGGCATTTTCTGAGAAGTTTAATTGGAGATGAGTCTCATGGACTTTCCTGCCCATGCTGGCTTGGCACTTTGATCCTCAGTCTCCTGAGTAGCTAGGATGACAGGCGTGAGCCACTGGTGCCTGGCTAAATACTATTTTATTTTTTTATTTTTATTGTAAAGGTGATGTACTGAAGGGTTACAGTTACATAAGTCAGGTAAATTGTATTTTAAATATTCAGAGAAGTTACACCTTGGGATTCCTCCTCTGTTATTTTTCAAAAGGCAAATTGAGTGCTGAATACCTTGTAAAGTGATAAAAAAAAAAAAAAAATGTGTCTGTGAAATCCCCTAGTTTAAGAAAATTCAAGCCGGGCGCCGGTGGCTCACGCCTGTAATCCTAGCTACTCAGGAGGCTGAGATCTGAGGATCATGGTTCAAAGCCAGCCCGGGCAGAAAAGTCCGTGAGATTCTAATCTCCAATAAACCACTAGAAAACCGAAAGTGGCGCTGTAGCTCACGCCGTAGAGCACTCACCTTGAGCTGAAGAGCGCAGGGGCAGTGCCCAAGCCCAGAGTTCAAGCCCCACAACCGACAAAAAAAAGAAGAAAATTCAAGCTGGGAGCTGGTGGCTCACGCCTGTAATTCTAGCTATTCAGGAGACTGAGATCTGAGGATCGCAGTTCAAAGCCAGCCTGGGCAGGAAAAATCTGTAAGACTATTATCTCCAGAAAACCAGAAGTGGCGCTGTGGCTCAAGTGGGGGAGCGCTCGCCTTGCACTGAAGAGGTCAGGGTCAGGCCCAGAATTCAAGTTCCACGACTGGCCTAAAAACAAAAACAAACAATTCAATTCCTTCGGAGCTAGTGTTTTGCCTTGGCACCTCCTCCTGCCCAATTGCCACCTGCTGTAAACTGGGCGGGAAGAAATGAGAAGGTACATCGAAAATTGCTCGGGCAATAGCATAATTTTTGTCAGTTAGCTTTTTGTCTATAAAATGAGGTCAGCTCTGTCTAGCTCAGTAAAGGCATGAGAGATGCAGAGGACCAGCCTGGCACATGGTAGACCCTAGAGTTCATTCATTTGTGTAAGAAGTATTAAGCAACTTAGTGCTGTGGCTGATGAGAGCGGGACACTAGAACAAATCGACGAGCAGGGGCCGGATTTTTCCCATGCAATTCCACGCTAGCATGAGGGAGGTCCCGCGTGCTTCCAGCCTAGTTTGACACGCGCACTTGACACGCCGGATATGACGCCACCGCCCCTTGGTTCCCGGAACCAGGTGTTGGGACCGGATGTTCGCCCCTCCTGCCCCCCCCCTCCGCCGATGACCGGAAGTGGGTCCTGACGGGTGCTGTCAGCCCAAGCTCCTGGGTGCCTGCAAAGAGCTCGAGGAAGGCGGGGTGCAGGGCGGGGCCGCTGCAGGGGCGGGGCTTGCGGGGCGGGGGCCGGGGCGGGGGACCCTTCGTCCCCGCGCCGATCCCCGCCGGCCCGGGCGTCCGTGGCGGCGCGGCCATGAAGCTGAAGCTGAAGCTGAAGAACGTCTTTCTCGCCTACTTCCTGGTGTCGATCGCGGGCCTTCTGTACGCGCTGGTGCAACTCGGTGAGCGGGGCGGGGCCGGGGGGGCGGGGTGTGTCGGGGCGGCCCGCGGGCGCGCGCCCAGCCGCGTCCCGCCCTGGGGACGGAGCTCTGCGCCCACGCGGTCCATCCCGCTCGGCCCTCGGGACAGCCCTCGGCGGCCCCGCGCCCTCGCCGCTCCGGGGCGCTCCGCCTCTCTCCTAGAGGCTGCAGGGCCCCGCAGGACGCTGCCAGGGGCCAGGGTCGACCTCTCTCCCTCGTCCTGTTTTAGCCGGACTGGCTTCCTGACAGCCTCCCCAGAACCCCACATTCGTGCTCTCTTGACTTGTTCCCCCGGCTGGCAATGCTCTTCTCCCAGCTTGTCCTGAACACCTATTTTTTTTTCTCACCCTTGCAGTTTTAACTCACTTGTCATCTCCTCAGAGGCCTTCCTCGGCTAGCTAAAGTGATCTGTATTATTCCAGATTCTCTTGTAGCCTCTCTTTATTCCCCTCATGGCCCACTGCAGTTTGTAACGATTTTTTTTTTTTTTTAACAATTTGTTTCTTTGTGTAGGGTCTACTTCTTCCACTAAAAGTGAAAGGTCTGTTAGCACAGGGTCTAGTCTGTGTTTTCCTAGGAGTATCCGGTGGTGGAACCAGTGGATTTAATGACAGAACTGTGGTCACACAGCCCAGGGAGCAGACTGAACTCCACCTCTTATACAGGGTTTTAAGGATAGAGCCACTGGGCTGGGAAGATGGCTCAGTGGTAGAGCGCTTGCCTTGCATGCCTCTGAGGCCCTGGGTTCGATTCCTCAGCACCACATAAGCAAAAATAAAAAAAAAAGCCGGAAGTGGCGCTGTGGCTCAAATGGTAGAGCGTTAGCTTTGAGCTGAAGAGCTGAGGGACAGCGCCCAGGCCCAGAGTTCAGGCCCCACGACAGGACTCAAAAAAAAAATAAAAATAAAAAAGGATAGTGCCACTGCATGGTCCTCAAGTATATTGGTTTGATTAAAGGGAATATTGATGAGGAGCTGGGAAGTTGGCTCAGTGGTAGAGTGTGTACCTCGCATGCATGCGGCCCTAGGTTGGATTCCTCAGCACCACATAAGCAGAAAAAAGCCGGAAGTGGTGCTGTGGTTCAAGTGGTAGAGTGCTTGCCTTGAGTTGAAACGCTCAGCACCCAGGCCCAGAGTTCAAGCTGCATGACCGACCAAAAAAAAAAAAAGGAACATTGATGAGTTCCTTAGAAATCTAGATTGTAACATTAGGACCATTGAATAGAAAGGATAAAGACAGATTAGTAGCTCTGTGTCCAACTGGAAAATGTTAGATTGTCTAGGAGAGGAGCTTAGTGGTAGAGCGCCTGCCTGGTAGTGAAAGGCCCTTGGTTCTACCTGCAAGGGGGAATGGGGGAGGGGGAATGTGGTGGTTTAGGGCACCGCAGTACATTCCAGTATTCAGGGGTTAGAAGCTAGAAGGTCAAGAGTTCTAAGTCAGCCTGGATTACGTAGTAGGATGCTGCCAATTGAAGCAATGCATTCCAGAACTGTAGCAAATGCTAAAATAAAATTGTAAGGGATATTGGCTGTGAGTTAATGAAAAGATTTTTTTTGTCCCATTAGGATGCTGAACATTTTATGGTTCTCTGTCCCCACTCCCTTTCCCTATTGGTGCTTCCTGGGACCAGGCCAGCCATGTGACTGCCTCCCTCCCCTGCGGGCAGCAGCTGAGCAGCTCCGGCAGAAGGATCTGAGGATTTCCCAGCTGCAAGCAGATCTCCGTCGCCCACCCCCTGCCCCTGCCCAGCCCCCTGAACCTGAGGCCTTGCCTACTATCTATGTCATTACCCCCACCTATGCCAGGTATGGGTTGTGTTGTAGCAGAGGGATGCATCAACCAAGAAATTGGGTTGGGGGCTGGGAATGTGGCTTAGTGGTAGAGTTCTTGCCTAACATGCATGAAGCCCTGGGTTCCATTCCTCAGTATCACATAAACAGAACAAGCTGGAAGTGGAGCTGTGGCTCAAGTGGTAGGTACTAGCCTTGAGCAAAAGAAGCTCAGGGACAGTGCCTAGACGCTGAATTCAAGCCCCAGAACTGGCAAAAAAAAAAAAAAAGATGAGTTGATGATGAATTGGGGCAGACCCTGGGGTAGGGGATGTTTGTAAACTAGAGCTGCCAAACAATACCATAAATGAGCTATAAGTTGTGGGAAAATGGATTTTTTTTTTAAAGAACATAACAGTGTACTAGTAAGTATATAAAATTCCTGCTGGGTTTTTTTGTTATTGTTGGTGGTGGTTGTAGGCCTTGAACTCAGAGCCCTGGTGCTGTCCCTGAGCTCTTTTGCTCAAGGCTAGTGGTCTACCACTTTGAGCCACAGTTCCACTTCTGGTTTTCTGCTGGTTAATTGGAAATAAGAATCTCACAGGCTTTCTTGTCTGAGCTGGCTTTGAATCATGATCCTCAGATCTCAGCCTCCTTGAGTAACTAGGATTACAGGTGTAAGCCACCAGTGCCCAGCTTGGATTTTGAAATAATACAATAAAATTACAAAAAAAAAAAATTGGGGGGGGGCAGGGGTATGGGGGGTGGGGAGGTGGGAGGGGTGGGGGGGGACTTGGGAAGGGATGGTAAGGGGAAACAAAGGAGGAGGCAACAATGCTTGATAAGAAATGTACTCATTATCTTGCCCATGTAATTGTAACACTTCTATATGGTATTTTCACAATTAAAAAAATGAGTAAATTTAAAAAAAAAATCAAATCTGGGTGCTAGTGCTCATACCTGTAATTTTAGCTACTCAGAAGTATCACTGCTTTTTGCCCTGGCAGAAAAGTTGATAGATTCTGTCTCCAAAATAACCAGCCAAAAGCAAGGCTGCAAGTGTGGACCAAATGGTAGAATGCTAACCTTGGAAATTCAAATCCCCATACTGCCACTAAAATAAATAATTAATTAATTAAAATTAGAGGGCTGGAGATGACGCTCAGTGGTAGAATGCTTGCTTATAGCACCGAAGGAAAAAAAAAAAAAAAAATTGGGAAGGGAACTGAAGGTTGTGGCTCACACCTGTAATCCTAGTTACTTGGATCCAGTTTCAACAACAGCCAGCCCAGGCCTTATAAAGGCCTTACAAGACCCCATCTAAACTACTAAGAAGCTGGGTGTGGTGGCATGCATCTGTCCACATCCCAGCTATAGTGGGAAGCATATATAGGAGGATTACAGGTCAGGCTGGCCCAGACAAAATAGTGAGACTTTTTTTTTTTTTTTGGTCGATCGTGGGGCTTGAACTCTGGGCTTGGGCGCTGTCCTTGTGCTCTTCAGCTCAAGGCGAGTGCTCTACTGCTTGAGCCACAGTGCCACTTCTGGTTTTCTAGTGGTTTATTGGAAATAAAAGTCTCACGGACTTTCCTGCCTGGGCTGGCTTTGAACTGTGATCCTCAGATCTCAGCCTCCTGAGTAACTAGGATTACAGCCGTGAACCACCAGTGCCCAGCTATAGTGAGACTCTTATCTTAAATATAATGAAAGAGATAAGGATTAGAGGTGTGGTTTCAGTGATAGAACACTTGCTTAGCAAGTTATGAGGCCCTGAGTTCAAATCTTAGCACCCCCCCCCCCAAAAAAAAGCTGTCGAAATAGGCCAGTTATTTTAATTTCTAGAAATGCCTTCACTAGCTATCATGTACAGTGTGTTACTCTTTCCCACACACTGTGCTAAATGTTTGACATTTGTGTTAAGTCAAAGAATAGCTTTATTACTGATAAAAAACCAATTTGGAAATGTAGTTTGGGATCTGCAGCCAAAAGGGCCTCATAACACATGTGGCTCTCTGGAGTCAGATGGCTGCGCCATCTCCACACAGGCAGCTCTAGGTCCCCTCCACCCATGTGCACATTCCTGCATGCACCACCACTCCTGGGGCAGGCAGCAGATGTAAACGATGACTGAGTCTTCCTCCCTGCAGAAGAATGATGGAGGAACTCCTCTAGAATCCCTCTCCCTAGACACCCAGCACAGGAGGAAAAGAACCTGAGAACCTGGTCTCCTGGTGTTTTCAAAAAAGTCATGATCATGTTTACTTTTACAATAACATTGTTACAAAGTATTGTTATTCCCATTTTACATCTGAGTAAAGGGAAGACTCAGAGCTAACCATTTCTCCCAAGTATTTCAACCTTAGGTTACACAGCTGGGATTCAAACCCAGATCTGTGTGGTGGTCCCAATGCCTGTGTGGTTAGTTGATTGTCCCCTAGGTTTGAGATTAGAATGGCAGGGCAGGGCAGGTGAGTGTGGGCAGGGAATTGATGGTTAATAAAGAAGGCTCTTGGAAGCTGGGTGCCTGTGGCTCACGCCTGTAATCCTAGCTACCCAAGAGGCTGAGATCTGAGGATCGCGGTTCAAAGCCAGCTTGGGCAGGAAAATCCATGAGACTCTTATCTCCAATGATCCACCAGAAAACTGGAAGTGGCCCTGTGGTTCAAGTGGTAGAGCTCTGGCGTTGAGCTGAAGAGCTGAGGGACAGCACCCAGGCCCAGAGTTCAGGCGCATGACCTACAAAAATAAATAAATAAAATAATAATAAAGAGAGCACTTGGGCACTGGCTGGAGAGTGAGCCAGGAGAAGCTTTGTACTATCCAGGCTGCAGTGGGCCCAGGATGCCATGTACCTTCCTGCATCTCTTCCCCTGCAGGCTGGTGCAGAAGGCGGAGCTGGTGCGGCTGTCCCAGACCCTGAGCCTGGTGCCCCGGCTACACTGGCTGCTGGTGGAGGACTCCGAGGGCCCTACCCCGCTGGTCTCGGGGCTGCTAGCTGCCTCCCGTCTCCTCTTCACACACCTAGCCGTCCTTACCCCCAAGGCCCAGCGGCTTCGGGAAGGAGAGCCAGGCTGGGTTCGGCCCCGTGGTGTAGAGCAGCGAAACAAGGCCCTGGACTGGCTCCGGGGAAGAGGGGTTGCAGTGGGAGGGGAAAAGGACCCACCAGCACCAGGGACCCAGGGAGTCGTGTATTTCGCTGATGATGACAACACCTACAGTCGGGAGCTCTTTGAAGAGGTGAGACCTGGGATGGGAATGGGGAAGGAGGCCAGATGGAACCGCCTGCATCTGTTACCTTGGTTACCAGTGTCCCTGAAGGCTTCTGGGTGAGCCATGGGGAGCAGTGTTGGGCAGAGTGAACCAGGTGGTTCTTTCTGCTGTTCCCTCCGCTCACCCCTCCCCGGGCCACCCGTGTCTCTTCTCTCCCCATCTCCGTTAGATGCGTTGGACCCGAGGTGTCTCAGTGTGGCCCGTAGGGCTGGTGGGCGGCCTGCGATTCGAGGGCCCTCGGGTACAGGATGGCCGGGTTGTGGGCTTCCACACGGCATGGGAGCCCAACAGGCCGTTCCCTGTGGACATGGCGGGATTTGCTGTCGCCCTGCCCTTGCTGTTGGCTAAGCCCAATGCCCAGTTTGATGCCACTGCTCCCCGGGGCTACCTGGAGAGTAGTCTCCTGAGCCATCTCGTGGATCCCAAGAACCTGGAGCCGAAGGCTGCCAACTGTACGCGGGTAAGGGGGATGGAGGTGGCACAGAAACCCAGCTCTGGGACAGATAGGTGGTTGGAGAAGTGGGGCAATATAAGCCAGGTGCAGTAGCTCATGCCTGTAATCCTTGCTCCTCAGGAGACTGAGATCTGAGGATCACGGTTCAAAGCCAATAGGAGCAGGAAAGTCCATGAGACTCTTTATCTCCAATTAAACACCAAAAAAGCCGGAAGTGGAGCCATGCCTCAAGTGGTTGAGTGTTGGTCTTGAGCACAAAATGCTTAGGGATAGCACCCAGGCCCTGAGTTCAAGTTCCAGGCCGGTACAAAAGCAAAACAAACAAACGGGCAAGAGCCAGGGAATGGGTATTTGAACAAGGAGGGACATTCTGATCTCTGATCAACCCTGCTTACCCTTCTATGGGACAGCTGGGTGCTAGGGAGGAACAGCGTTTGCTGCCACTGCTGCCACTGCGTGTCACAGACTCCTTGGAGCCCCTGAGGGCAAAGGAACAAAGCCCCATTTTAAAGGCACTGACATCCCCTCCACCCCTGCCCTTCACATAACACTGAAGGTAGAGAGGGAGGGAGCATCCACTGTCCATCAGGCCCCAAAGGCCTGGCGATGGCCCGTCCTGGCTGTAACTGAAACCCTTCGGCACAGGTGCTGGTGTGGCACACACGGACAGAGAAGCCCAAGATGAAGCAGGAGGAGCAGCTGCAGCGGCAGGGCCGGGGCTCAGACCCAGCCGTTGAGGTGTGATGGAGGCTCACTCCGGCTTCGACCTCACTTTAGGCACAGACCTCGTGGGATTGGGCCCCAGGCCTATCCAACACGTGCTACTGCAAGTCTTGACCCCTTAGCAGAGCGGCTCCTCTGGCCCCAGGACGTGGTGTACCGCCTTCTCCCTTCCCCAGCCTGCCATGTGGAACTGTCCACAGGCTGGGGACAAGCAGCTGTTGTGTGGAGCCAGGTCAGCTCTGCCTGGGGTGGAGCAGGACAGATGGACTCAGCAGGGAGGGTGGCTGAGGAACTGGGTAACTTATTGGGGCTGGGCATGCACTGGGGGGGCTGGAGGAGCTGGGCTGGACCCTCCCCACCTGAGCATGCGGACCCCTTCCTACCTCCAGAATAAACAATCTCAATCTGAAGGGGCCTTCTGTTTTCCTTTGCTTGGCATCCCTCGTTCATGCTCCGTGGTTCTGAGAGATGTGGGCACCTATAGGCACCTATTCCTGCACCGGCCGGGCCAGGGTCAAAACTCTGGAGTCCTGGCTTCCCCTTCACACAGAAAGGCATTTTTTTGTCATGCACTCCATGAGAAAGAACGATGGTTTCCATCCAAACACTTTTTATTTACAGAGCCTGCACCAGAGGCCATCTCCAGCCCTGCAGGGTACTTTCCCATCACCCAGTGTTTTCTCATATCTAGTGGCTTTGACCACAGGGCTGGTTCCTAGGAAATCTAGTTTCTCACCCCAGTCTAGCCTGTGACTACCCGTGACCCTTCTAATTCTAGGAGTCTCCTCCTAGAGTCTTGATGAGGAGTTGGAGTTTGCCAGGCATAGGGTGGCATCCTGCCTGTAATCCTAGCTACTCAGGAGGCTGAGATCTAAGGATCACAGTTGGAAGCCAGCCTGGGCTAGGAAAAGTCTGTGAGTCCCTTTATCTCCAGTTAACCACACAAAGAAAAAAAGAAAAAAGCTGGAAGTGGAACTGTGGCTCAAATGGTAGAGAGCCCACCTTAAGCAAAAAAGCCAAGGGAGAGCTCAAGACCTTGAGTTTCCCACATTTGTCCATCCCTTCCTCTTCCTCTGCCCCTGTGCCCCATCCCAACTGCAGATTGCTAGGCCTCTTCCGGCTGATCCTCCTTGGGAGGGTCGTCTTCTGGTGGGGCTTCCTCAGGCGCTGGTTTGTGGGTACCCCCTCCTGGCAGCCATGCTGTTTTCAGCATGTCTTTCAGCCCACCAGGGAGAAGGTAACCCTGTGTTTCTCCTTCCCCATCAATGACCCCTCCAAGCCCCTCCAGCGCTGTCTGCAGATACCTCAGGCCGAGGAGCACCAGAGCCTGTGGGAAAAGCGAGGGTGGGGTGGTAGTCAGTGGTTCCCAGAGCCCCAGGGCTGAAGTCCCAGATGGAAGGGGACCCAGGGTCCTTTGCTGACTCACCTGCAGCAGGAATGTGACAGCCAGCATGCTGCCCAGCGTGCTAGACAAGTCCTGCAGGTGTCCCAGCAGCACCTCGTGGCACCCTTGGGCCCAAAGGTTTAGGTTGCGTTGTCGGGGATCGAAGAGAGGGTGGGCGTAAGGGTCTGAGAGCCGGCTTTGCAGGCAAGGCCGGGGCGAGTGGGGGTTGCAGCAGGAGAAAGGGACCCCATCAGTCAGGTACAGGCCTTCCACATTGCTCTGGATCCGGCTGCAAGGCAAGGGCTTAGGATGTTGGCCAACTCAGGCCTGGGGGAAAAGCTGTGTGTGTGGGGTCCACAGGAATTAAGGAGGGAAAAATGATAGTAAAACATTTATAGACTGCTTTACTCTGTGCCAAGCACGCATAATTCACTTATCTTCACAACTCCTAGCAAGATAGGCACTGTTATCTACATTTTATAGAGGAGGAAATGGGCCCAGAGTGGCTTTGGCAACATGCCTTGGGTGGCACAGCTGATACATAACAGAACTGTAACCCCAATTCTCAACCACTCTGTTCCATTTATTGCCCGTCTGGATCGGATGGGGGTGGGGAGGGGTGGTTCAAAGCAGCAGGAGGGCCTGGAGTGCAGGGTGGGGGGCGAGGAAAAGAAGGAAGAGAAGGGGAGAAGCAAATCACTCACTCAACCACATCCTGGTCATTGGGGTCCAGGTAACGGCTGCTGACCCACTGGACCCCAAACCAATCCTTGTAGCCATGGCGCCCGCAGCAATGATGCTTCAACTGCAGCTCATCCATCAGTCGCTTGGCCTGACAGCGCCCAGGCACCTCAGTGTCCTTGTAGTGAGCCAGGGCGATCCCCAGCCCTTCCTCCAGCCCCTGGTCCAGACTCATAGGCAAACCCAGGGCTAGCCCCAGGGCAAGGATCAGAAGCCCTCCGCCCCCAGCTGTGCCAGCCGCCAGCAGCGGGCCCAGGACGCCTCGCCAGGGAGGGAACCGAGCCGCATCCAGACTCGCCCGGCTGGCTCCTGCCGCCCCCAGCCCGGTGCCCAGAGCCACCGCCCCCGCCGCCAAGGCGGTCTGCGGCAAGGCAGGGAACCGACAGGAGGGGGCCAGGAAAGTGCCCAGGTGCCTCAGCTGGGCCAGGAGGTGCCCACTAGAGACCAGGGTGAGGCCGCTGGCTAATGCCAGCAGCCAGGAGAGGAGCCAGAGCCCTTGCGCCAGACGGATGCGGGCCTGGAGGGGCAGCACCAGGGGCAGCACCGGCGCCATCTCCCATCTCTGCCCGAGGGGAGAGTGCAGAGCCGTCGGGGATGACGGATGGCCAGGACAGGGTGCTGAGTCAGCCCGGCCTGGCTTGAGCTAGGTTAATGCCATGCTGACCCCAATACCCTGGGCTTCCTCCCACTGGGCCTTAACCCTCTGCCGGCCCCGATTCTGGATGCGCGGGCCTTGCCCCTTCGGGAAAGCCCCGCCCACGGGCACAGCGCCCACTTCGTGACCCCGCCCTGCCCCTTCGCGGAAGTGGGGGTTCGACCGGCCCGGCGGCGGCCTGGCTGCAGGGTGGGGGGGTGGAGAGGAGACCTCGGGAGCCCGCGCCCCCTCCCGAGTCCCTTGGGATCCCGGGACGGGGCGGGGAGGGGGGACCCCGGAAGGGCTCGGAACTCGAGGCCAGGAGCGGTCAGGGGCCGGGCCCGCCCGCGCACAGGGCCGCGGGGCCCGGACGGGGAGGGGTTACCCGGCGTCCCCCCCCTCGGGTCCGCCCCCCCCCCCCCGCGCTTCCTGGCGGCTCCGCGTCCGGCGCCTGTTTGTGCTGCTGCGGCGCTGGGGCCCCGGGACGGCCCCGCCACCCCAACCCCGGGAGCCGAGAGCCGCCCCGGCGGGCCCCGGGGGGGCTGCGGCCCCGGCTCCCTAGCGCCCCCTCCAGGCCCCATCCCCGCGCCCGACAGCGCCCCCCCGAGGGCAGGCACGGCGCCCCCCCTTCCCGCCGCCGCGCGCGCGCCCCGGGGTGCTTCCCCTTCCCCGCTCCCCGGCCATGGCCCCCGCGGCGTAGACAACTCCTCCGCCGCTGCCGCTCGGAGCCAGCCGGGGGGGCCCCCGGATGGACGGGGCCGAGGGGCCCGGTGAGTACGGGGCGGGGCGGGCGGCGCGCCTCTGCCCGTCGGTGCCCGTCGGTGCCCGTCGGCTGGCGAGCCCGCGTGCTCCTCGGCCCCCGGTGTGGGGGGACGCTCCGGGCATCCTCCACTGCCCTTCCGGCCGCCCCCGAGCCCCTGGGGTCCTCCGGCTGTCACCTCGGCCTTCCTGAACGCCCGCCCCCCTCCCGAGGGCCGCCCCCCCCCGTCTCCCCCGTCGCCTGTCACCCCTGCTGTCCCCTGGGAATTCCGAGTCTTTCCCCCTGGGACCCCTCCCCCGCCCCCCGCGGGTGACTTGGACGTCGGCTGCGCCTCCAGTCCGTCACCCTGGCCCCGCACCCTGGAGCTCCTTCCTGGTCTCTGACCCTCACTGTACCGCCGCGGGCCTCCCCTCTGCCCCCCCCCCCCCCCCCCCGTCCCTGGCTTGGTTTCTCTGCTTGGTTTTTCTTTTTCTTTTTGAGGCCAGGGCTGGCTGCGGGTGTTGGGAGGCCCCCCGTCCCTCACCCATCCCGCTGCGCCCGCCCGGCTCCCACGTTCCTCGGCGGCACTCCATATTCCCCCGCTGGTACTCCGTGGTACTCCCTGTCTTCCTTGCGGAGGCTGAGATAGCAGGAAGGAAGCTCTGCCAGGCTTCCCTGCTTTGCCCTGCCAGGAGGAGGCCGCTGATCCTCCGCCGCCCTGGGCTCCTGCCCTCGGATGCGCCTCCTTCATGCCCGGGGCTGCTGCAGAGGGGGCGGTCCCGTCGGACCGTGGTGAAGTTTGGGGGGAGGGAGTGTGTGTTGGAGGGGCACAGGCCTCCCTCAACCCTTTCTCCAGGTGGTGGCATTTTTGTTTTGAGTTCGTCTTGTTCCTTTCCCAGAAGAGGGCTCTGCCCAGGACGCCCTGCAGTCCCTGAGCCAGCGGCTTCGAGTGCAGGAGAAGGAGATGGAGCTGGTCAAGGCGGCCCTGGCGGAAGCCCTTCGCCTGCTCCGGCTGCACGGGGCCTCCCCCTCCCTGCAGGGCTCTGGCATGCCAGCTCCTACACGGGACAGGTATTCATGCCCCACAGCCTCCTCCTCCCCCTTCATGGAGCTTCTAGGGGGGCATTAGGTTGATTCGCTTTCTCCCCAGCAGCCCTGCAGCACCCCCAGGACTGCCACCTACATGCAGCCCCTCTTTGGTGAGCCGAGGCACCCAGACAGACACCGAAGTGGAAATGGAGCCGTCCCCTGCGCCCCCTGGCCTGAGCAATGGGCCTCCAGCCCTTCAGAGGGGTGGTGAAGAGCCTAGTGGCACGCAGTCTGAAGGAGGGGGCAGCAGCAGCAGCGGGGCTGGCTCCCCTGGACCCCCAGGGATCCTCAGGCCTGTGCAGCCCTTACAGCTCGCTGAGACGTAGGTGTTCCCGCCGCCGTGGAGGCTGGGAGGGGTGGAGGATCCCGAGCAGACCTTCACCTGCTGACTCTACCCCTACCAGGCCTCGGAGAAATTCTTCCTCCTCTTCCTCCCCCTCTGAGCGCCCGCGGCAGAAACTCTCCAGGAAGGCAGCTTCTTCTGCCAATCTGTTTCTGAGGTCAGGCAGCACGGAGAGGTGAGCAAGGCCCCTCCTCAACCTGCCCTGTCCAGACACAGGCTCTGGACTTCCCACATTGCTCACCTCACTTTCCTGGGTAGGAAACCAGGTATGGGAATCGCATTACTCATCAGAATGAGGGGATCAAGCACTTTTGCTCCTCAGGATCCTTGCGGTGTACATGGCACTGTGCCACACCTGCCATCTCATTCAGTCTCTACAGCATCTTTTTTTGGGGGGAGGGGCAGGGATAGGTGGTCCCATGCAGTCCATTCAGTTCATTACATTGGTAAGGAAACAGGCTCAGAGATAGTAAATCAATTTGCTCAAAGTTACACAGCTAGAGTTAACCCAATTCTTCCTTTCTTCTTTCTTTTCTTTTTTGTTGGTCAGGGGGCTTGAACTCTGGGCTTGGGCACTGTCCCTGCGCTCTTCAGCTCTACTGCTGAAGAGCTGCAGCGCCACTTCTGGTTTTTGAGTGGTTTATTGGAAATAAGAGTCCCACGGAGGGCTGGAAAGGTGGCTCAGTGGTAGAGCGCTTTCCTTGAATGCTTGAGGCCCTGGGTTCGATTCCTCAGCACCACATAAGCAAAAAAGAAAAAAGCCGGAAGTGGCGCTGTGGCTCAGGTGGTAGAGCGCTAGCCTTGAGCTGTAGAGCTGAGGGACAGCGCCCAGGCCCAGAGTTCAGGCCCACTACTGGACCCAAAAAAAAAAAAAAAGTCCCACGGACTTTCCTGCCCAGGCTGGCTTTAAACCATCATCCTCAGATCTCAGCCCCCTGAGTAGCTAGGATTATAAGCGTGAGCCACCGGCGTCTGGCTTTTTTTTTATGCCTGTATTTGGGCTTGAACTCAGGGCTTGGACACTGTCCCTTACCTTTTTGTTCAAGACTGGCACTCTGCCACTTAAATCACAGCTCTACTTCTGGCTTTTGGCTGGTCAGTTGAACCTAAGAATCTCACAGAGGCTGGGCGCCAATGACGCATGGCTGTAATCAGAGCTACTCAGGAGGCTGAGATCTGAGGATCACTGTTCAAAGCCAGCCCCGGCAGGAAGGTCGATTGAGACTCTTAACTCCAGTGAACCATCAGAAAACCAGAAGTGGTGCTGTGGCTCAAGTGGTAGAGCACTCACTTTGAGCTGAAGAGCTGAGGAACAGCGCCCAGGCCCAGAATTCAAGCCCCAAGATCAACCAAAAAAAGAATCTCACAGACTTTCCTGCCCAGGCTGGCTTCAAGCTGTGATCCTTCCATCTCAGCCTCCAGAGTAGCTAGGATTGCAGGAGTGAAGCACCAGCGCCTGAATTCAACTCTGCTTTCCCCTGCCCTTTCTACTGTATCACAGAACACCTTCCAGGATTCCAAGAGGATTTTCCACTCTCATGATTTTCACGCATGACTGTTCTCAGAGCTCAGATTGCCTTCTCTCTCTATCCTGGCTTCTTTATTTTTAATTTTAATTTTTTGCTTATTTTTTGCCAGTCCTGTGGCTTGAACTCAAGGCCTGGGCACTGTCCCTGAGCTGCTTTTTGCTCAAGGCTAGCACTCTATCATTTGAGCCACAGCGCCACTTCTGGCCTTTTTTGTGTATGTGGTACTGAGGATTCGAACCTGGGGCTTCATGCATGCTAAGCAAGCACTCTGCCACTAAGCTACATTCTCAGCCCTCCCTCCCTCCCTCCCTCCCTTCCTTCCTTCCTTCCTTTCTTCTTTCCTTCCTTCCTTCTTTTCTTCCTTCCTTCCTTCCTTCCTTCCCTCCTTTCCTTTTGCCAGTCCTGGAGCTTGAACTCAGGGCCTTTCTTTCCTTTTGCCAGTCCTGGAGCTTGAACTCAGGGCCTGGGTACTGTCCCTGAGCTTTTTTGGTCAATGTTAGAACTCTAACACTTGAGCCGGGTGCCGGTGGCTCACGCCTGTAATCCTACCTACTCAGGAGGCTGAGATCTGAGGAACATAGTTCAAAATCAGCCCAAGCAGGAAAGTCCATGAGACTCTTATCTCCAATAAACCACTAGAAAACTGGAAGTGGTGCTGTGGCTCAAGTGGTAGAGTGCTCGCCTTGAGCTGAAGAGCGCCGGAACAGTGCCCAAGCCCAAAGTTCAAGCTCCACAACCGACAAAAAAAAAAGAACTCTATCACTTGAACCAGAGCTCCACTTCCCAGCTATTTTGATGCTTAATTAGAGATGAGTCTCATGGACTTCTTTCCCTGGGCTGGCTTTGAACCACAATCCTCAGATCTCAGCCTCCTGAGTCCACAGTAGCTAGAGTTACAGGCTACATGAGCTGCCAGCACCCAGCTCAGTTTGGCTTCTTGCTGGTTCGGGCCTGGGCAGTGTCCCTGAGCTGCTTTTGCTCAAGTTTAGCACTCTACCACTTGAGCCATAGCACCACTTCTGGCTTTTTCTGTTTATGTGATACTGAATAATTGAACCCAGGGCTCAATGCTAGGCAAGCACTCTACCACTAAGCCACATTCCCACCCTTTCTTGCTGGTTCTTTTGGAAATGGAGTCTCATGAACTTTTCTGTCCAGGCTCATTTTAAACCTCGAGCCTCTGGATCTTAGCCTCCCAAGTAGCTAGAATTACATGGATGAGCCACCAGTGACCAGCTAGGAACCTTTCTTGTGTCCTACCACTCATCCGTCAAGTGTTGGAACCTGATTCTAGTCTCCTATGTTTTTCTTTCTTTCCAACAGCCGTGGGGGCAAAGATCCCCTCCCCAGCCCTGGAGGTCCTGGGTCTCGGAGAAGCAATTATAATTTGGGTATGTGCAGAGGGGTAGAAGGAGAGACCTTGGATGATGGAGTTAGGGTTTGGGTTCATGCCCCAGGACCTGTATTGGGGGAACTATGAGATAGGATGGGTGGAGTTCTGCTCTGGCTCTTCTGGAAGGGAGGCTGACACCCCCCTTTTTTCTGTAGAAGGCATCTCAGTGAAGATGTTCCTTCGCGGCCGCCCCATTACCATGTACATCCCATCTGGCATCCGCAGCCTTGAGGAGCTGCCCAGTGGCCCACCCCCGGAGACCCTCAGCCTTGACTGGGTGTATCCTGCCCCCCGAGTCCCACAGGAACCACCTCCCCACCACGGGCCCCCGCTTCTTTTCCTTAGAGGATCTTCCTGGGGGATGGGGACAGAGAGTCCTGTGAATGGTCCCCTCCCATCCTTCCACAGATGATGCTGCCAGCCAGAAACCTTGTCATTCTTCTCTCTTCTTCCTCTTGCCCCTGACCTGCCCTTTTCCTTGACGGTGCTTCCCATCCCAGCTATGGGTACCGGGGTCGTGACTCCCGCTCTAATCTGTTTGTGCTGCGCTCTGGGGAGGTAGTCTACTTCATCGCCTGTGTGGTGGTGCTGTACCGGCCCGGGGGAGGCCCAGGGGGTCCCGGAGGTGGCGGCCAGAGACATTACCGGGGACACACGGACTGCGTTCGATGGTGAGGGGCCTGGGGAAGGTGGGCTTGTCTGGAAGAGGGGTTGGCTGGGAATGAAGGAGCAGGAGAGAGAGGTTGACTTGCTGCTCTGTAAACAATGCGAGTTGGGTGGTCTTGAAAAAGACCCCTTTCTCTAGAGTGTCTCCTCCCCTACTTAGCCTTGCTGTTCACCCCGATGGGGTGCGGGTAGCCTCAGGACAGACGGCTGGAGTGGACAAGGATGGAAAGGTGAGGCTGAATACCAGGCAGACAAGATGAAATTCCAGCCTGGCTCTCTCCTTCAAAGCCCTGATCCTTTTCTCCTCTACCAGCCCCTGCAGCCTGTGGTTCATGTCTGGAACTCAGAGTCGCTGAACAAGTTGCAGGAGATTGGACTGGGGGCCTTTGAACGTGGTGTCGGGGCTCTGGCTTTTTCAGTAGTGGTGAGCTGGCCCCAAAGCTTCTAGACCTCTTCTCCTTATCCACTTTCCCAGGAAGCCTGGGAAGTTCTGGCTTCCTGAGCTCCACCCAGCCAGTTCTCCTGAGAAGAGGGTGCATGCCAAATTCTCCTGGCTTCTCAAGCTGTGATCGCACCCTCTGCCCGATGATCATGAAACCCCAGGCCTCCAGGGCTCACTCAGTCCTGCCACTGTGTGTCCCCCATCCTCAGGATCAGGGTGCTTTCCTCTGTGTGGTGGATGATTCCAATGAGCACATGCTATCTGTGTGGGACTGCAGCCGGGGAATAAAGCTGGCAGAGATCAAGGTGAGGAGTCCAGGTGGCCTGGGGAGGAGGAGCGGGTATCTGAGGTTGGGGTGGCATGGGACAGAGGGAGCACACACAGCTTCAGGTTTACCCATACATTCCCTTCCAGTCTTCTAGGCTGTCTCTCAGCCATTCTCTCTTCACCTGTGAAATGGAGACCTTAGAAGTTCTGAGGGGCCAAGTACCAGTAGCTCACACCTGTAATCCTAGCTGTACTCAGGAGGCTGAGATCTGAGGATTTGAAGCCAGCCAGGGCAGAAATATCCCTGAGACTCTCATCTCTGAACCAGCAAAAAGCTGGAAGTGGGGCTGGGAAGGTGGCTCAGTGGAGCGCTTGCCTTGCATGCATGAGGCCCTGGGTTTGATTCCCCAGTACTGGCAGAGAGACACAGAGAAAGGTTTTTTTTTTTTTTCTCTTCTTTTTAACGGTGTTGGAGTCAAACCCAGGGCCTTGAGAATGCCAGGTGAGCATCCTGTCCCTGAGCTACACCCCCAGCCCAGACGAGCGCCTTGAAAAAAGGGTTGTCCTGGCTTCAGTGCCAGGTCACTTATAGGGATGCAGACAGAAGTGAAGGAGAATGAGGGTGCTCAGGGTTTGGGGTGGCCGGACTTAATGTCTTCCTTCTTTCAGAGTACAAATGACTCAGTTCTGGCCGTTGGCTTCAGCCCTCGTGACAGCAGCTGCATTGTTACCAGTGGGAAATCTCATGTCCACTTCTGGAACTGGAATGGTGGAGCAGGGGCTCCTGGGAATGGGACCCTTTCCAGGAAGCAGGGTGTCTTTGGGGTGAGGCATGAATGCGGTGGTGGCATGGGGTGGGACATAGTGGGGCTGGAAGAATGGAGCTGAATACTGTGGACCCTTACACTGCCCCTCTGCCAGCTGTCCCATGACTTCTGGACTTTGCCTTACCCTTTGCCCTCTGCTTTCTGTTCCCCCAGAAATACAAGAAACCCAAGTTTATCCCTTGCTTTGTGTTCCTCCCGGATGGAGACATTCTCACAGGGGACTCTGAGGGGAACATTCTTACCTGGGGGCGGAGCATCTGTGATTCTAAGACCCCAGGCAGAGGTGGTGCTAAAGGTGTGTGGTTGGGGGCTATCAGATGGGATGTCTACCCATGGGGTCTGTGGGAAGACGTGGAGGTTCCTCATCTGTCTACCTTGAGAGATGGCATTTTTTGGGGGGGGGAGTTGAGGGGGTTCTGCCAGATCTCAGGTTCAAAGCTCTACTTTTGCTGCTAGTTGTCTGGCTTTTGATGAACAGCCTAGGATATGCTTGGCATAAATGGGAAGAATAGCTGTGTTGACAGTCAGAGGGTTTAGAGAAAGTAGGGGCTATTAAATAGCTCAGTGGGTGGGACTCCTCTATTGTGATGGCCTAGACTGTCCTTTTCCTTACTCCCCTGCATTCCCAAGAGCCTGACCCATCTATGGCTTTACCAACAGAGACCTATGGGATTGTGGCCCAGGCTCATGCTCATGAAGGTTCCATCTTCGCCCTGTGTCTCCGAAGGGACGGGACGGTGTTGAGTGGTGGTGGGCGGGACCGTCGGCTGGTGCAATGGGGACCTGGGTTGGTGGCCCTCCAGGAGGCTGAGGTGAGGACTGGCCTAGGGTCAAGGGAGGGAGGGGGAAGAGGAATGGGTAGTGTTCTCATGGGTTCTTCACTTTTCTTTTGCTGTGTGTGTGTATGTCCCAGTACTGGAACTTGAACCTCAGGGCTGTCTTTCAGCCTCCTCTTTCACGGCTGTCTGGCATTTGCCTAGTTAATTGGAGATGAGTCTCCCAGACTTTTCAGTTGGGCTTACTCTGAACCTACATCCTCAGATCTCAGCCTCCCGAGTAGCTAGGATGACAGGTGTGAGCGGATGGTTTGCAGCGGGCTCTTACCATTTGGTTACCACTCTGCAGATTCCAGAACACTTTGGGGCCGTGAGGGCCATTGCTGAAGGGCCTGGCTCCGAGCTTCTGGTGGGAACCACGAAGAACGCGTTGCTGAGGGGAGATCTGGCTCAGGGCTTCTCCCCTGTCATCCAGGTTGTGGGGCTTCAGAGCTGGGGGAGGAAGGAGGGAAGCGGTGCTGGGGAAAAGGTGGCAGTGACAGGCCATGTTCTCCTGCAGGGCCACACGGATGAGCTCTGGGGGCTCTGCACACACCCTTTCCAGAACCGCTTCCTCACCTGTGGCCATGACCGGCAGCTCTGCCTATGGGATGGGGAGGGCCACGCGCTGGCCTGGAGCATTGATCTCAAGGTAGAGCTAGCTGTCCCTGATTCCTCGTGCTGTACCCACCATGACTTTTGGGGCCATGGCTCCTTCTCCAACATCCATCTGTTCTTCTGCATTTCTCAGAGGCAGCCAATTGTATTGGTATGGCCGTACTGGCTACTCAGATAGGAATTTATTTATTTATTTTTTTCTGTTGGTTGTGGGGCCTGAACTCTGGGCCTGGGCGCTGTCCCTGAGCTCTTCAACTCAAGACTAGTGCTCTACCACTTGAGCCACAGAGCCACTTCTGGCTTTTTCTGCTTATATGGTGCTGAGGAATCGAACCCAGAGCCTCATGCATGCAAAGCAAGCACTCTACCACTGAGCCACCTTCCCAGCCCTCAGATAGGAATTCTTTTTTTTTTTGCCAGTCATGGGCCTTGAACTCTGGGCCTGGGTGCTGTCTCTCAGCTCTTTAGCTCAAGGCTAGCACTCTACCACTTGAGCCACAGCACCACTTCTGGCTTTTTTCTGCTTATGTGGTGCTGAGGAATCGAACCCAGGGCCTCATGCATGCAAGGCAAGCACTCTACCACTGAGCCACCTTCCCAGCCCCCAGATAGGAATTCTTGTGTCCCTAGTGTTACCTGCTCCACTCCCAAGCCTCCTTTTGGTCCAGCAGCAGCTAAATGGTCAATCTGCAGCATAGCTAGGGGCTTCCCTGTTCAGGTTCCTATGACCCTGCCTCTATTATAGGTCTCTTGCCCATTATTTCCTTGGAAGAAGAGGAGCTTGGAAGTTATCATGACAACAAGGTGTCTCCTAGTTCCCTTACTGGAATTCCCCTTCTCTCCTCCCAGGAGATAGGTTTCTGTGCTGACTTCCATCCGAGCGGGGCAGTCATGGCCGTAGGACTGAGCACAGGAAGGTGAGAGTATACCAGGTCCCTGGGGAGATGTGGAAGGGTTGCTGGTAATGGGGAAGGGCATGTGTGACCAAGGCTGCTCAGGGGCCCCCCTGTCTTTCCACTTCTCTTTGCTTCTCCCTGAGGCCTGTGCCTCCCTCCCCTGCTCTCCTGTGGTCACTGTCCCCACCTCTTCCCCAGCCACTCTGTTCCTCTGAGCATGGGAGCCAAGGAGATGGCAGACCAGTATGGGGAAGCAGGGACAAACAATGATAGGCTTACTGACTCCACAAGGCTCTTGTGGTAGGCCTGCTCTGTACTTTCTCACTTCTTTTTCTTTTTCTTCTTCTTTTTAATTTTTTTTGCCAGTCCTGGGGCTTGAACTCAGAGCCTGGGCACTGTCCCTGAGCTAATTTTGTTCAAGGCTAACACTCTACCACTTGAGCCACATTCCTGGCCTCAGTTTCTGACTTCTTTTCTGGACAGCATCAGAAGGTCCCCAGCTTTTATCTGCCTCTTGCTTCTTCCCATTCCCCAGTAGTGGAATGCACTCCTCTGAAGTTCTGATTCACTACCTCCCACCTTGCCTAAGGACATCCATACCTAAAGACATCCCTAGAGGCCTTTGTACTTCCTTCTCTCTTTTCCTCTCCTCCTCCAGGTGGTTGGTTTTGGACACGGAGACCAGAGAGATCGTGTCTGATGTCACCGATGGCAATGAACAGCTCTCAGTTGTCCGGTACAGCCCAGGTGGGAGCTGCCCCCAGTCTGGATTCAGATTCTTCCCTGGCCCTTCTTTCTCTGAGTGACTCTCTTTGCAGATGGGTTGTACCTGGCCATCGGTTCCCATGATAACATGATCTACATCTATAGTGTTTCCAGTGATGGTGCCAAGTCGAGCCGCTTTGGCCGCTGTGTGGTGAGGAAGCTAAGGCGGAGGGTGGGACAGGGTCACTGTGGGTATAGGGACAAGGGATCTGGTGCATTTCATGGGCAGTCTGGGGATGGTGACTGCATTGGGAAACTCTACTCTTGTTCCCAGGGTCACTCCAGCTTCATCACTCACCTTGACTGGTCCAAGGATGGGAACTTCATCATGTCCAATTCTGGCGACTATGAGATTCTTTATTGTGAGTAGCAGTGGGGGGAGGACATTGGAAAGGGGCAGTTGGAATTGGTTTTGTGGGAGGCTACTGGTTGAGAAAGGATGAAGAATACTTGGGTAATACTAAGGGAATACTAAGAATACTTAGGGAACACCAGATAGGGACATGGAAAGAGTTTAAAATGGAATTGGAGGCCAAGCATGGTGGCACATCCCTGTAATCCTATCACTTGGGAAGCTGAGGCAGGAGAATCTCAAGCTTGGGACCAGCCTAGTCTATACAAGTTCTAGGCCTGGGCTACATGGCTAGAACTGGATTCAAACTGTCCCCTCCAAAAAAGGGAGCAGTTGAAATTATACCTATAAGAGAAATTATGTGATTTGGAAAAGTCTCAAATCATGCCTTCTCTCCAGAAGGATCTGAGGGGATTTGAAAATGGACTAAGAAAGGATTGTTTTGGAGGCTGGGTATCAGGTGACTCATGCCTATGGTCCTACCTGTTCTGGAGGCCGAGATCTGAGGATCCCAGTTGCCAGCTGCAGTAGGAAAAGTCCTTGAGACTCCTAGCTCCAATTAACCAGGAAAAAGCTGGAGGTAGAACTGTGGCTCAAATGGTAATGGGTTGGCCTTAAGCACAGGCTCTGAGTTCAAGCCCTAGTACCAGCACAATAACTGAAGTTTTCTAAGTTTCTTAGGGTAAGTATGGAGAGGCTGGTTTATCTAGGGAGTCTGAACTGATGAGATGTTAGAACTTTAGGGAGTACTCAAAGGTGATGATGGGGGGGGGGTAATGCTTACTGCTGCGTTCACATGTCACCTCTGCTCAAACTCCTCTTGCCAACCCTTTCATCTTCCCGAGGGAAGGTGGAAAGTGGAATTGAGTGGACCCCCCTCTATGCAGGGGACGTGGCTGGAGGCTGCAAGCTGCTAAGGAATCGCTATGAGAGCCGAGACCGGGAATGGGCTACTTACACCTGTGTGCTGGGTTTCCATGTCTATGGTGAGCAGGAGGGATGCAGGGCTTAAGACCTCCTGCTGGGAGTCGTGGGGAGACGAGATGGAGAATGCCTCCTGAGCTCTGAATGCTCTCAATACTGGGCCTTTGTGTTCTGGGGTGGGTGTCTAGAGACATGGCAGATCTAGGCCTGGAGGCTCCTCTGGCACTCATGCATGGGAATGAGGTTGATGGGTGCCCTATGGGCCAGGACCTGTGTAGCCCGGGGTGATGGACGGAGGAGGCCTGGCTGAGGAAGGTCTGTGTTCTAGGCGTGTGGCCCGATGGCTCCGATGGGACGGACATCAACTCCCTGTGCCGCTCCCACAACGAGCGAGTGGTGGCCGTGGCCGACGACTTCTGCAAAGTCCACCTCTTTCAGTACCCGTGCGCGCGCGCCAAGGTGAGGCCCTGGGGGTCCGCGGGGTCCCACTGAGCCCCCCGCCCGTCCCCCAGGGGTTCCTGCCGCAGCCGCCGCAACAACTTTACATGGTGTCTGGTTCAGGCACCGAGTCGCATGTACGGGGGCCACGGCAGCCACGTGACCAGCGTCCGGTTTACGCACGACGATCTGTTCCTGATCTCCCTGGGTGGCAAGGACGCCAGCATCTTCCAGTGGCGCGTGCTGGGCGCGGGGGGTGCGGGGCCGGCGCCCGCCACGCCCTCCCGGACCCCGTCCCTGTCTCCCGCCTCCTCCCTGGACGTCTGATCGGCCGTAGACGGGACGTGGACCGGCCCTGCTGCGTGACTCCGCCCCGCCCGAGCCCCCCAGGTGGAGGGACGACCTTGCCCTGGCTGACTCCTCTCTAGACTTCCAGACATTCCCGACCGTGCCTTTGCCTGGAGGGGACGAACGGCACCCTTTGCACACACTGTACAGACCCGCTGTGGCCGAGCCGGGCAGCCCCAGCCCGGGCCTTCACTCGCGCTGCCTGCTGAGGGGCAATAAATAGAAAAACAAATTCGCCTCCGCTTCTCTTGTTCCTTTTTGTGGGACGCGGCTGAGCGCTTCAAAAGCCCTAAGGGGTGGCGGGGTAAAGGCAAAAAGTGGAGTGTGGAGAAGGGAAAGGGAGCGAAGACCAGTCATGCAAATAACAGGCAAAGCCGCTTGCAAATCAGCCCCCGAAGCGCGAGGGCGCGCGAGCGCGGGGGCCCCCGGGCCGGAGACTCGGACAGCAGAGGGTTAACCCCCGCTCTCCACTCCCGCCCTCCGGGGCGGGGCCGAGCCGCGGCGGAAATAGCCGAGCGCCGTCCGCGGTTGGCCGGAAAGAGCCGAGCGGCTTCCGGAAGTGGCCGATCCGCGCCGTCCTGCGCTCTGTCCGGAGCCGACCGGCCGGCCTTGTTCTCGGGATCGGCCGAAGGTGTTCCGGAAGGAGGCGAACGGCGAGGCGGGCCGGGCCGGCCTTCCCTCCCGGTCGGCAGGACCGGACGTCGGCTAGGGGTGGCACTCGGGAGAAGGCGGAGGGAGCCCGAGCTTGGCTCCGGTCCGGCAGGAACCGAGCCCGTTCCGGAAGCAGCCGAGCGGCCCGGCGCCGGCCTCGGCGTCCCGTGAGTGAGGCGGCGGCGGCGGCGGCGGCAACCGCGCGGGCCGGGATGAACCGCGACGGCTGAGGCTGCGGAGGTGCCTGCTGCGCGGGCCCCGGCGACACCCCGGCGACGCGCCAGCCCCACGCTGGGGGCCCCGCCTCGAGCCGAGCTCGGTCCCCGCGAACCTCTCGGACCCCTTTGTGCGGCCGGAGGCGGCGGCGGGAACGGCCATGGCGGCCAACATGTACCGGGTGGGAGGTGAGTATCGGGAGCCGAGTGGAACGGACCCCGGAGTAGGAGATTTGGGGGAGCAATGGATGGAGCGGTTCGGTCCCGGGAGGTGCTGGGGAGCCAAGCCCCGGGGCCGAGTGGACCGGAGCGGCGACCGGAACCGGAACCGGGGAGCGGACCGCGTCGCGGTGGGGCCCTGAGTCTTGAAGGGGCAGCGAGCGAGATCCCCGACGGCATCGCGAGCCCCGCCTGGGCTTCCCCCGGGACGGGGAGAAGGCTTGGGAAACTGGCTTCGGAAGGACTGACAGGGCAGCCAGGGGGCGCGGGAGCCCGGGCGACAGCTTGAGGGCTGCGGGGGAGACACCGGGAGATTTCCTCGTTCTCGGCTCCCGGACGTGGGGGCTCTAGGCAGAGTGTGCAGTTCGCTGCCTTCGATCCTGGAAGACAACGCTCTGCTTTGAGTTGTGGGGACAACCGGGGAATCCTTGCCTCGCCTTTAAGGTTCACTTACTAGTGCAGACCTGATTTTATAGAATAGTTGCAACCGAGGTGATGTTTGGGGTGGGGGTGGGGGTGGGGATGGGTGGTGCAATCTTTATTGCCTTAGTTTCTCCACTTCCAACATTTCAGCGGCCTCTTTCTTCCACCTGGAGCCTCCTTTTGGTCCACTCAGACTGACTTTGCTCCTGATACCGTTCTCTCCCATTTTTCTCTGATCTTCTTGGTACTTCTCCACCCCCTTCTACAGATTACGTCTATTTTGAGAACTCCTCCAGCAATCCTTACCTGGTTAGACGGATTGAGGAGCTCAACAAGGTGAGTTGTGTGTCCCCCTCCCTCTGTTCCCACCCCGTGGTCTCAGGTGGGAGGGAGGACCCTGTCTGAATGAATCCATTCATTCATTGTGTGTATTCATGAAAGATTTCTGAGAGCTCAGTGGGAACTTTGCTGTTCCTTGGAGGCCACAGAAGAAAGGCGTTTAGAATTGTTTGTGTGTTTACTGGTAATTTCTTGAGCTTTTTCTCCTTAGGCCCCCTAGAAATGTATTGGCTGCTGTTAGTCTCTGCTTGGTGTGTTTCCACCTTCAAACTCATATTTACTACCCACATTTTTTTCCCACCCCTTAGACTGCAAACGGAAATGTGGAAGCAAAGGTTGTCTGTCTTTTCCGGCGAAGGGACATTTCTAGTAGCCTCAACAGCTTGGCGGATAGTAATGCCAGTGAGTGTCTTCATCCCCTCCATCCTCTCCCTACCCATGTCTTGAGGCCTGGGCATGTCCTTGCAGGTGTTTCCCCTGGTAGCATGCCCAGGGCATGGGTGGGAGTTTGGGGGTGGGAAGTGCCTGGTCTGTAGAGAAAGGCCTGTTTTTACACGTTGGAGTCAGGAGCAGGGTGGGGAGACCATGATAAGGAAGGCCCAAATGTGGGGTGTGTGTGTGTGTGTGTGGTGGGGAGAGGAGTATTTAGATGAGGATGAGGGAGAGCTTTAAAGAAGCAAGACACTTGGGAACAGTTTAAGGTACCTAGGGACAGTGGGTAGTGTGAAGGTCAAGGTAAAGAGGATGAGAATATATTGAAAGGAGGCAATAGAAAGCTAGGATATGGTGGGAAAGTTTTCTTGCACTTTTTCTTTTACACATCTAAATTTTCTACTCCTCTTCATGTACATCTGTTATTTCCTATTGGTTTATCTTCATTCCCTTTTTTTCTTTTAAAAATAATTTTTCTTGGTACCTTTTATTCTTCCTTTGATTCTCTTTCTCCTTCTGTCCTTAAATTACTTTCTTTTTTTTTTCTGGCTGTTTTGGTCATGAAGGGGTTAATCAGGAGCTGGGCCTACCAAGTTCCCTGGCCCATTGGGGTTTCCAGGCCCATCCAGCAGGGGCTGACCTTGGCCTTGTCCAATCACAAGGGGTGTGGGGGTGTGGTCCCCCTTGCCTTAGTACTGGGTTTCCGGAGCACACTGGTGAGGGGCGGAGTCTACTACACTCCCCTCCCCCCCTTCTCCCTGAGGTTGGGAACAAAGCACCAATAAGCCCAGGCCCAAGCTTTTCTGCCTCCTCCTACTTCGGTTGGCACTTATCCAGGTTAACCCCTTCCAATCCAGGCTTAAGGACAAGCTGCTGCTCCTTGTTGTGTGGGGAGAGTTATTGGCTGTGGCTTGAGGAGCTGTCCTTGTTAGCCCACAAACTATTATTAACCAAGTAGAAAGGGAGGGATAGTTACTAGTTGCATGTGATACTTTAGAGCAGAAATCTTCAAAGAGGAACTAGTAAACATAACTGTGTGATGTTCTTCCATCTAACTGAGTTTCTGGACCTTGGGCTGGTTTAGAAAGAAAGAGCAAAATACAGTATTCATCATGTGCCTGGTATGGCTTTATGGTTTGTGCTTTATGAGTGGTGTCTGAGCATCAGCAACTGGGCCTGGAGATGCATTTCTGTGGCATTGTGTGTATCTCTACAGCTCTTTGCTTAACTGTATAAATGATGGATGGAGCATATATATGTGTGTGTGTGTGTGTGTGTGTGTGTGTAAAAACAAAGCTCTGAGTTAAGGGAAGCTGGTTGAATAAGATGCCTGGGAAAAATGAGAAGTGTTTCCTTGGGTTAGAGTTTCTAAGGTGTTTTCTTTTTGGACTAGTTTCTGACTTGGTTTCTTCTTCCTCAATTTCCTAGGGGAGTTTGAGGAGGAATCAAAGCAACCAGGGGTGACAGAACAGCAGCGACATCAGCTTAAGCATCGGGAGCTTTTTCTTTCTCGGCAGTTTGAATCATTACCAGCCACCCACATAAGGTATAGGACAATCAGGGCCATTATGGCCTTTAAACATTTATTTAGAAAGGAAAAGAACATGAAGTCGTCTTCTTTTTTTTTGTTTGTTTGGTGCCAGTCCTGGGACTTGAACTTAAAGCCTTATATGCCCAGCTTTTTCTTTTTCTTTCCCTCCCCTCTCCCCCCAAGTTCTGGGGCTTGAACGCAGGACTTGGACACTGTCCCTCAGCTTCTTTGTGCTCAAGGCTAGCACTCTACCATTTGAGCCACAGCACCACTTCAGGCTTTTTCTGAGTAGGTTTTTGGAGATGAGAGTCTCCTGCCTAGGCTGGCTTCGAACTGGGATCCTCAGATTTCAGCCTCCTGAGTAGTTAGGATTACAGGTGTGAGCCACTGGCACCTGGCTACTCTCAGCTTTTTCACTCACAGGCTGTCAGTCTACCACTTGAGCCACAGCTCTGCTATAAAGAAAGGGATGAGGGATGGTGTTTTCGTTGTAGGTGTTGTAAAGAAGGAATGAAAGGCTCACACAGAGGTTTCCTTTTTTTTTGTCAGTCATGGTGCTTGAACTCTGGGCCTGGGCGCTGTCCCTCAGCTCTTCAGCTCAAGGCTAGTTCTCTACCACTTGAGCCATAGCACCACTTCCGGTTTTCTGAGTAGTTTATTGGAGATAAGAGTCTCATGGCCTCTCCTGCCCAGTCTGGTTGAACAGTCTGATTGAACCACAATCCTCAGATCTCAGCCTCCTGAGTAGCTAGAATTACAGGCGTGAACCACTGGCGCCCGGCTTCACACAGGGTTTTCTAACTTCTTTCCTGTAGGGGGAAATGCAGTGTGACACTCTTGAATGAGACCGATATCTTGAGCCAGTACCTGGAAAAGGAGGTGAGAAGAATGTGTTGGAAGAAGAGGGAGGAGAGTGGGTATTGGCCTCTGAAAGATGTGAGGAAAGTAGAATGATGAGGTGAAAGTATGGCAGACTGAGGACTCTCTGTGTATCCTACTGTCCTGCCCCCCTTTCCCCTTCATATATTGATTGCTGCTCTGCTTACTTTTGTCTCCCCATCTCCAGGACTGCTTTTTTTACTCACTGGTGTTTGACCCTGTGCAGAAGACACTTCTGGCTGATCAGGGGGAAATCAGAGTTGGTTGCAAATACCAAGCTGAGATTCCCGATCGCTTGGCAGAGGGTAAGCAGCATACAGGTCGTGTGGCTACTGGGTTATTTAACTCCAAGGGGGTCTCAAACATGCAAGTTGCTGTGAATGGCATGCCCTGGGGTATGGGAAACACAGTCTGCAAAGCTTTCTGCTGTGGCCCTGACAGGATGGCACCTTAGGAATCTGAAAGGGACAAGTGGGTACTGCTGGGAGGAAAATTCTGAGAGTTGATTTGACTGACAGAATCCAAGCAGAAGAGGAGAAAGAGGTGC